TTTACGTACACATGTACTATAAAAACCAAGATCACTGTCGGGCTTAAACATTAGTTTATTGTTGATTAAAAAAACTGAATAATTATATTAAAAAATCACAAAATGTAAATGTTGTAAATGTTTGACACAATTATAGTAATAAGTAAATAAGGACATATTACACAAACAGTTAAACAAATATAAGTGCTGCACAAGTTCTACTACTAGAAAAGCTAAATTTGTGTTTTTGGTTGGTTTGGCCCCTTAAATCCAAACAACCTATCCAGAGGATATCTGTGTTTCATCATTGGATCATCATGGATGGTGCTTTTCATAGGATAAATCAGCCAATCCAGATTTAATATTGGTGTCTCTAGTTTAATACATGCATTTCTTTGGCCTGTTTTGTAGTGCTTTTCCACGTTTGACATAGGATGTTAGCTACAGGCACATGTAAGATATTGCTAAAACGACACTTTATGAACAGATAGTTAAGTTGTACAGTTCAAGGAGGTAGGATAAATCTGCAAACTTGCTGGTAAAAATGGCAAATTTCCTTGGCATTACATTTATAAATATTTCATAAACATTTGAGATTAAAGGATTTCAATGCAACACGCACATAAATAAGGATAATCAAATTAAACAGAAGTAATTTCTCTGTCTTTTGTAGTTGGCCATCTTGCAGAATGTTAGAGACATCAACAGCAAAACAAGGGTATTATTGGTATACTTTTTTCCAAATATGGAATGGATAAATGTTTTGTTAGCAACTATCATGGCTTTTACGATGTTTATACATGTAGTAACTATGTTGCGTTATGGGAACAATTCTTTGAATGTGGTAATAAATAAATTTCTTCTTCACTGGATACTTATTGTGCTGTTATCCAGCTTTTGTGAAACACTACTTAATACAAAGGATCCAGAGGGTAGCCAATTTATCCAACAGACAGGGATAACTATGATACAGAGTTATCCAGCATTGATGAAACTGGGCCCTGCTAAACTAACATGCATCTTTTGCAGTTATCTTATCTTATCTACACTTTCTGTAGAGCTACTAGTTTACATCCTAGATGCATATAGCACAATGTTTTAACTTCAGAGCAAAAAGTTGCTGTAAGTCCAACAACTTCTTGCAGACTTTGACGTCTTCTGGCTTATTCATACTGATCCAAACATTAATTCAGACAGTCTATTTCATTCTGTAGTTAAATACATACACAAAAAGAGTATTTAGAGACTAATATTATATATACCAATACTTACCATAACAGTTTGGGTGTAACTGGAAATGTCCCTTGACCCTCTATCAAGTGAAAACCAGGTCATTTTTTGAAGTGCTGCCCCCTTGGTGTTTTTTTGCAAAATCCAGGCCATCATCATCACCATACCACTGGCACCTACTACTTTGGTAAATAACAGATAGTACTATGTCTACGAGTTGGGACTACTGTACACTTTTGCTGCAAAGTCTCTGTCAAGCCAGTTCAGGGTCAATTACAGTGTTGCTTCCATTTTAATATATATATTCTGATCACTGCTTTTCTGCGTTGTTACTGATGCCATCCAAAATATCACTCATAATAACTGCCAAACCATTTCTTGTTTAACTTCACATTTAATAAGTAGAGTTGTTTGCTTAAGGGTTCCTTTCAAAAATCAGCATGATCAGAATATTTTTATAAAAGTTTTTTTTTTCTTTTTTTGCATGCACATTGCCAATATGGCCCATATGCATTTTCGTTTTTTTTTTTATTTTTAGATATTGTTACAATGTTTTTACATACTAGTAGCTATCAACAGTGTCTGTTATTGTTGCCGTTGTCATCATTGCTTTGCACTTTTCTCCATAAACACAATTGACAGAATAATGGATAATCCTGCTACTTATTATCCTCAAACTTTCTGTAATCATTGTAAGACTTAATTGCAGCTCAAGTTACAAAACCTGCCCTATTGGATTATTTTTGTTTAAGTTATACAATTGTCATTTTACAAATATTGTCATTTCCATTGCAAGTCTTTGAACTGCCATAGACCTGAAGCCCCGAGCTAGTTACATTTTCTGAATGTCCATGTTATTAGTAGTACACAGTTTAAATTTTATACATCTTGTATTGCATCAAAATTGACAACCCAACATGTATATTGTGCACTATCATTATCTGTTTAATGTCTGTACACGTGACAGCTTTGCTGCCTTGTTTGCTGTGTGCCAGCTTTGCTATCTAGTGTAAACATTCTCTTTAAAAATAATGCTTGATTGCCTAAAAAGTAATGCTTAATTAGGTCAGTGTAATCAGGATTTTATTTAATACTGTTGTCTCTAGTTGAGCACATGCATTTGTTTTCAATGGCCCATTTTGTAAACATTGTTTTGTCTGTAATTGTTATAATTATACAAGGGAATCAGTACTGTTTCACTTTTTGATAACTTAGTAAACTACCATGAAAAGTTTAGGAACAATTTTGTGTTTGTAACTGTACATATGTCACTTAACTATCTGTTAATCTATAAACAGTAAATATATACAGCCCAGATAGTATGAAGAGTAGAGTGGCCGGGCTACCTAACAGCTTGCTGGCAATGGATATCAGTTCGCAGCTGTGACAACTGTTCATTGTGATTGGTCCAGCATTGGGTTTGAAGCAGAAATGTGCAGCTGACCAGTTGGTCTGACATTGGTCTACTGCCACTGTCACTAGCAGACCAACTATAACTGTAGCATAAAGGCTAACTGCTTAGTGGCAGGGGCCCTAATGTCAGGGCTCTAGCAGCATGCTATCTGCGTGAGGTCTCTGTTAACATTAGTGTCTTTATGCTTTTGCTAAAAATCTTTTTTATTTGGGTTAGAAAGTTTTAAAAAGTTGAAAAAGTGAAAATGATATTTAAAACAGTATTCTCATTTTGTGAGTTACAGATATTTATACTTTTTAGAATAAAAATCAGTTCCCATGCTTCCATGAATGGGTATATCAGATCTCATAGGATGCTACATGTAGCTACATGTACCTACAGGTAGTATACTACAAAAACACCATTTAATGAACTTTCAAAGAGAGATTACATAAATAACTTTTGTTTTTGGTTTTGGAGAGAGAGTCTGACAGGGAAGTCACCAAGTCTTTAATTGAAATACTTATATACAGCATGTACTCTCCAACAGCATTCTGTGAAACTCTGGACAATAAGACTCCATGGTCCCAAAGTTTCTGTCAATCATATTTACATGCATCTGAATAAATTACATTCAAATCTCTTCTCGTTTGTTCCTGTTTTGTTGTTATTCAGTGCCATAGGATTGTTATTTGCCAACTTTTTTTCATTATTTCCTTTTATATCAGTTGGAAAATTGAAAGTTGCCACTTCAAACTTGACCTTTTATACTGCATATCCTCAATTTGTTCTTCATAACATACCAGTGCCTTAATTCACACGTCAGCATGAATAAAAAAATGTACATCTTGTATTCAGTTTGAGTGAAGCCTACATCACAATTAAGAGAAAAACAGACCTCCTTATTAAAGTGATCACATTAAACACTATCACATGGTGATCTTGAGAGATGGTCGACGTGTCTTAATAATTGATATCCCCTCAAAATGTTTCTCTGTATAAATGTCATTTGATCAAGAGTTGAATGAAAAGCTTCTGGACAACATTCCGCTGAAAGAAAGGTTGTTATACATGAATATACTGTATATATATATATATATACATATTTATACACTGGCATTTTTTGCTTGTTTTTGTGTTGACATATTATATAAAACAGATCCCTTCTGACAATGAAATGCAAATTTAGTACTTCTGTCAAATATTTGGATCACTGAACACACTTTTAGCTATGTTTTTCATGGTCTCGTATCTCTGTTTAGGAAACTGGCTCTTGGATGCCTCATAGTTCTCATGCATGGTTTCAATCAGCTTCTTAATATGCAATACTTTCTTTCGATAATCCTTAACTTGAGATTCCATTTTTTCAGTGAGTGCTCGTACCTCTTCTTTGGAGTTTTCTGTAAAATAAAACATTAATGTACTTGATAAAATGTCATTGCATTTGACAGATGGGTTTTACTTAAATATGCCTATGAGGAGCTTGATGTTAAAAAAGTACAAAAAAATCATGAAGCAGTAAATTTTTTTTACGTGCTAGCAGAAGTTTATGCAGTACCAGTACACGTATCATCTGTTAACACCAACCAACCAGTTAGGAGAAAAACCATTCTCAATATAAGTCATGTTCACAAATGTTCTAACTTAGACCAAGGAAATGTATGTGACATCTTAATTGCTGACAGCAGGGATTGGTCTCACAAAAGAACTTTAAATCGAAGTTGGTCTTAGCTTCCAGACAGCTATGTAATAAATAGATAATCACTCTGACAAGACAGGACAGTAGGTGTTTACCTAAATGGAAATGCTAGTCCTGTATTACAAAAAGTAAGCAATGGGTGTCCAATAGCTACTGTATTGTGGTGGACTATTAAACCATATCTTTAATTGAACTAATTGATTTAACCATACAACCAGAATGCCTCAAGAGTTGAAGACCTCAGTCTCTCAAAAAAAAAAAAAAAAAGTTTGGTTATTCCATGATATGTCATAAAGACTATTTCCTGCCAAAATTTGTAAAACTGTGAACATGACTTTGTTGTACCTTTGTATTTTAAAATCAGTATTTCTCTCTCTTCCACTTGGCGTTCTGTTTCAGCTAGTGCCATGGCTGCTCCCATTAAACCCCCACTCCTGGTGGCAGCTCGGATATTTTCTTGTTTCACCTTTTCAAAACCTTCATAGCAGGCTTTAATCATGTCCTTTAGTTTTTCGTATCTGTCCAGAAAGGCACCACATTTTGCTGTCTGGTAATGCTGTGACAATTCATTTATCAATGTTTTATATTGTTTGTACTGTGCTTCAAGCTTATCTCTTTCCACATGGACTCTTGCAGCTGCTTCTTCTGTCTTTCCCATGATGAGCTTCTGCTTCCTAAACCAAAGCAACCATCTAGAAAAAATGAAAATGGAAATGTATCCTGTAAAATGATAATAGTCATAATGGCACAAGATAGATAAAATAATATTTGAGACATGGAAAAGCTTCTGTTTCAAATGAACTTCATCTTACCTCAGTGCTGTTCTATATCTCCATAAAATGAACAGATCTTACTTTAAATACCACATAATGGAGAGAAATATCCACAAAATGCAAATCTCATCAGCAGAATACTTCATTCACTTGAAACCAATATCTTCCTGCATTAAATTGCATTGTGTATATGCAAGCTGTTGCAGAATGACTGATTTTGAATCATACTGTAGCATTGGTAAGGAGGCCAAAGCTGGCACCCCGAGGCTCACTGTACATTGGAAATCAGCCTTTGTGATAGGCAATAAGATGCTGTGCAGCACTGAGCTAGTGGTAATAACAGAGGCTTTGAAACTCAGGGTGGCAATAGGCAGAAATGATGGTCATACATCTTTAACAAACTGCATTTTCATGAATAATCCATGCAGTGTTGTTCCAAGCATTAATTTTGCTATGAGATTGATCCAGACTATTTGACATTTGAAAGTTCTTCTAATGGTATTATATGATCATCCATAGTTCCATAAGTGTTTGTACAATCTGGTAATTGTTGAGCAAGTCATAATTTTTTCCATTTATTTTACGTTCAGAAAAACCTTTGCTCTCTCTAAATTTTGTGAATGTGTGTGTGTGTGTGTGTGTGTGTGTGTGTGTGTGAAATCTTGTAACTTTATAACCCAGAGATAAAAGCGAGTAATCCAAGCAAATCTGGACTGCACAAATGACACAAATTAGATGCCAAAGTTGAAGTCAATAATAGCCATTTGTATCTCCCTCAAAACATTTCTTAGGCTTCGTTCACATGCAATGTCTATTTTCTATTTTCTATTTTCGGTATGTCTTATGATCACGGTCTGTGCACTGAATATCCCGCGGCGTAATTACTGGCAGCGCGAGCCAGTTACTATAAGTTACTATAAGTAACTGGCTCGCGCTGCCAGTAATTACGCGGCAGGATATTCAGTGCACAGACCGTGATCATAAGACATACCGAAAATAGAAAATAGAAAATAGACATTGCATGTGAACGAAGCCTTAGTGACATTAAAGTCAACCAGGGTATGATGCAAAGACATGAAGATTTATAGTGGTTGTATCTTATTATCTCATATCAATATTTTCCATATGTTCTAACTGTTGTGCCAATTAAATTAACAAATTAACAATTATGGCAGTGGTAAAGCTGAGAGATATTGCTTGCTGTTATTTTTATATTACTAAATGAAGCTAATTAATTTAGGGACTTATTCTGACCCTTTTTCACTATCAAAATTAATTTCATAATATTTTTCTGTCATATTCAATGAATTAAGGTCTGGGGTTGTTGAAAGGTTAGAGCAGCTCTTGAGTAATCAAAAACTTCAGCTGTCAAAATGTTTCCTGTATAAAATTTACATTTTTTTCATGTGAAAGGGACAGCATACAGTATGGGATTACAGTATAATGAAATCACAGTGAACCATTATTCCTGTGGTGGACAAGTTTGTACCACTTAAAGGCTATATTATCCATCCATCTTTAAACTTATTATAAACATTCAGACAACTCTTTAGTTTTCTTGGCTTAAGCTAAGTGAACAGCTATATGTAACAATGTAATCTGTGACTATTAATGTTATATGTGTGTGAACAGGGAGTATATTTTCATTACTTACAAAAGGAGACAACGCCTTTGGACATGTCTAATCTAAATAGAAAATAGGATGATATAAGGCAATATGACAACCCCTTGCACTGTCTTGTTACACATTCCCTTTTTGTCATAGTTTGACATGATTTCATCTCTAAATCATTCCACATTGAAGACATTTTATAACATTGTTTAATAGAATATTCACAAAAATTGTATTCATATTGTCATTTTCATCCACACAAGTGGATGCATATGTTACAGTGAAATAAACTATGTAAGAAACTATAACAGTTACTTTGGTACTGGGCAAGATGCCATGAACTAAAAAAAATAGGCTATTGGATTAAAAGCTATTAGACCAATTTATACATATTTGTACTATTGGTTTCGTCAACCAAGTACCTTCTTTCATTTAGAAAAACATAATGCAAATTTATATCTTTTCGTGGTTTCAACATTTTAGATGCATATCACTGTGATATATGCAGCAGTAGCACCTGCCCAATACAATAAATGGATACCATCCTCTGGTGGCATGTCTTGGACCTAAACCAGTTTGGGTTTATTTTTGTTTTTTCACCCAGCTTTAAAGGGCAACTAATTATGTTAAACCTGCCTAGCAGGGTCCACCAAAATATTCATCACTTGTATTCAGTATACATGTACATGTAAAGCTACTGGACAGGAATACTCTATGGGAGGTTGTTCTGTCTATAGTCAGTGTAAGACCGTATGCAGCAGCAGTAAATAAAGATGTCAGCTGCTTACAAGTGTGTCAGGTCAGTGAGAATACCATTAATAATACCCTGTGTTCAGGAATGTCCAAATAGAATGTGTTTTTTTATGAGTTCATCACATTCTGTCTGTCTTAAAATGGACAACTGTTAAGTCAGATGTATTTATTCCTTCTATCTGTACTTCAGCAAAGTCATCTATTCTAAATGTACACAGAAAAGGGATCAAAACACCTAGGTTTTATGCTTCTACTTTTAAAGAAGACTGTACATATCTTTCCCATGCAAGTTATCTCATTCACACTTTTTACAGACCGGGTATAAATATATTTTCTGCCTTATTCATACTGATTTATATAGAGTGCTACAGAAATCAACCTAGTGTATTTCTTACTGTAGTTTAATTCATAAACCATATGAGCATTCAATGACTAATGTAATGTACTTACCATAGCCAGCTTGGGTGTAACTGAAAATGTTCCTTTATCCTATCAAGTGAAAACCAGGTCATTTTTCAAGTGCTGCCCCCTTGGTGTTACCTGAGGAATCCAGCCCATCATCATATCATTAGCACTCCGTTTGTTGGTAAATAACGGGGGGTTGTGTGTATACTTGCCATTGTTTCAGTTGTTTAGATCAGTGATTTTAAGTATCTTTGGGTTAAAGTAATATGTATTGTAGAATAGAAAATAGATAAAACTATTTACTAGTAGAGAGATGTTTCAAGTTTTTATTAGTTTATTACTTTTTTAGACCGAAAAACAGTAATTTTCATCTTGCGAGGCAATGCTACAGGTATTTTGACTCTGGAGAATATTAATCACTCAACAGTAATCTTAGCATAGTAGCAGTGGTCACGCTTCAGTGAAACTACACATATAGAGTGGACGTATCAGGTCGTCTAGATTGACGAGAGGCTACCAGCCGCCACAGGTAGAATATAACACACCACAGTTTGAAGTTTCGAGGAGAGATTCCACACATAGCTTTGTTTGGCAGTCTACCCAAGCGCCGGATTTAGGGGGATCAGAATTAAGACTGCCCACACTTTGGTTTTTGAAAAATAAAGCTCAAACCAAAATGCGTCTACCTGAATCATAGTTCTAAACTGTACCTATTGGCACCGTTTGCCCTCCAAAGCATGTTTTGTGGGGGAGGGGGGCTTTGAGTGGGCCCCGAACCCCACACCAGGGTTTTTTTTTTTTTTTTTTTTTTTTTTTTTTTGGGGGGGGGGGGGGGGGGTTTTCCCCCCCTCCCATCACGACCCCTTTTTTCAAACCCCNCTACGGGCCTGAACAGTAAAGATAGTATGAAGAGTAGAGTGGCCGGGCTACCTAACAGCTTGCTGGCAATGGGTAGCAGTGCGCAGTTGGGACAACTGTTCATTGTGATTAGTCCAGCATTGGGTTCAAAGCAGAAATGTGCAGCTGACCAGTTGGTCTGACATTGGTCTACTGCCACTGTCACTAGCAGAACAACTATAACTGTAGCATAAAGGATAACTACTTAGTGGCAGGGGCCCTAATGTCAGGGCTCTAGCGAGTCTAGCGGCATGCTATCTGGGGTCTCTGTTAACATTAGTGTCTTTATGCTTTTGCTCAAAATCTTTTTTATTTGGGTTAGAAAGTTTTAAAAAGTTGAAAAAGTGAAAATGATATTTAAAACAGTATCCTCATCTTGTGAGTTACAGACATTTATACTTTTTAGAATAAAAGTCAGTTCCCATGCTTCCATGAATGGGTAGGTATATCAGATCTCATAGGATGTTACATGTAGCTATATGTACCTACAGGTAGTATACTACAAAAACACCACTCAATGAACTTTCAAAGAGAGATTCCATAGATAACTTTTGTTTTTGTTTTTGGAGAGAGGCAGTCTGACAGGAAAGTCACCATGTCATTTAATTGAAATACTTATATACAGCATGTACTCTCCAACAGCGTTCCATGAAACTCTCGTCGATAAGACTCCAGGGTCCTGAAGTTTCTGTCAATCATATTTACATGAATAAATTGTATTCAAATCTCTTCTTGTTTGCTCCTGTTTTCTTGTTACTCAGTGCCATAGGACTGTTATTTGCCAACTTTTTTTCATTATTTCCTTTTATATCAACTGGAAAATTGAAAGTTGCCACTTCAAACTTGACCTTTTATACTGCATATCCTTAATTTGTCCTTCATACATACCAGTGCCTTAATTCACATGTCAGCATGAATAAAAAAAATGTACATTTTGTATTCAGTTTGAGTGAAGTCTACATCACAATTGAGAGAAAAACAATTTGTGACAGACCTCCTTCTAAAAGCGATCACATTAAACACTATCACCTAATGATCTTGAGAGATGGTTGACATCTTAATAATTGATATCCTCTCAAAATTGTTAGTTGAATGGAAAGCTTCAGGACAACATTCATCTGAAAGAAAGGTTGTTGTACATAAATATATATATATACATATTTATACATTGACATTTTTTGCTTGTTTTTGTGTTGACATATTATATAAAACAGATCCCTTCTGACAAAGAAATGCAAATTTGGTACTTCTGTCAAATATTTGGATCACTGAACACACTTTTAGCTATGTTTTTCATGGTCTCGTATCTCTGCTTAGGAAACTGGCTCTTGGATGCCTCATAGTTCTCATGCATGGTTTCAATCAGCTTCTTAATATGCAATACTTTCTTTCGATAATCCTTAACTTGAGATTCCATTTTTTCAGTGAGTGCTCGTACCTCTTCTTTGGAGTTTTCTGTAAAATAAAATATTAAAGTGATAATAACTCTTCGTTTCGGCCAAAAAATGAATTTTCCTGGAGTAAACAACAATTTTCCCATACTTACCAATGGTTAATGAATCCATTTTTACATTCAAAGTTAGTCCCTGGTTTTTTTCTAAAAAGTTTGGTTTTTTGTTAAAATCTCTTAAGAGATTTTAACAGAGTATAGCCATCAATGGAGGTCACGTGGTCTAAAGACAAGCTCAGATATCAGAATAATAGCTATAACAGCCGTTTTTGTGGGAAAACAGAATATATTATACTTTTATGAGTAACTCACAATGTTTTTATTGTGAAATACAGATTTCATACGAAGAGTTATTATCCCTTTAATGTACTTGATAAAATGTCATTGTATTTGACAGATGGGGATTATTTAAATATATCTATCAGAAGCTTGATGGTAATAAAGTACAAAAAAATCAAGAAACAGTATAATTTTACGTACCGGTACTAGCAGAAGTTTATGCAATACCCATACATGTATCAATACCCGTACTGTTTTCATGAACCAACCAACCAGTAAGGAGAAAGTCATTCTCAATACAAGTCATGTTCACAAATGTTCTAACTTAGACCAAGGAAATGTATGTGACATCCTAATTGCTGAGAGCAGGGATTGGTCTCACTAAGTGTTTACCTAAATGGAAATGCTAGTCCTGTACAAAAAGTAAGCAATGGCTGTTAAATAGCTACTGTATTGTGGTGGACTATTAAACCATATCTTTAATTGAACTAATTGGCAAGTTAAACAAGCAGAATGCCTCAAGACCTCAGTCACTCTAAAAAATAACAGTTTGGTTGTTCCATGATGTCATAAAGACTATTTCCTACCAAAATTTGTAAAACTGTGAACATGACTTTGTTGTACCTTTGTATTTTAAAATCAGTATTTCTCTCTCTTCCACTTGGCGTTCTGTTTCAGCTAGTGCCATGGCTGCTCCCATTAAACCCCCACTCCTGGTGGCAGCTCGGATATTTTCTTGTTTCACCTTTTCAAAACCTTCATAGCAGGCTTTAATCATGTCCTTTAGTTTTTCGTATCTGTCCAGAAAGGCACCACATTTTGCTGTCTGGTAATGCTGTGACAATTCATTTATCAATGTTTTATATTGTTTGTACTGTGCTTCAAGCTTATCTCTTTCCACATGGACTCTTGCAGCTGCTTCTTCTGTCTTTCCCATGATGAGCTTCTGCTTCCTAAACCAAAGCAACCATCTAGAAAAAATGAAAATGGAAATGTATCATGTATAATTATAACAGTCATAATGGCACAAGATAGATAAAATAATATTTGAGACATGGAAAAGCTTCTGTTTCAAATGAACTTCATCTTACCTCAGTGCTGTTCTATATCTCCATAAAATGAACAGATCTTACTTTAAATACCACATAATGGAGAGAAATATCCACAACATGCAAATCTCATCAGCAGAATACTTCATTCACTTGAAACCAATATCTTCCTGCATTAAATTGCATTGTGTATATGCAAGCTGTTGCAGAATGACTGATTTTGAATCATACTGTAGCATTGGTAAGGAGGCCAAAGCTGGCACCCCGAGGCTCACTGTACATTGGAAATCAGCCTTTGTGATAGGCAATAAGATGCTGTGCAGCACTGAGCTAGTGGTAATAACAGAGGCTTTGAAACTCAGGGTGGCAATAGGCAGAAATGATGGTCATACATCTTTAACAAACTGCATTTTCATGAATAATCCATGCAGTGTTGTTCCAAGCATTAATTTTGCTATGAGATTGATCCAGACTATTTGACATTGGAAAGTTCTTCTAATGGTATTATATGATCATCCATAGTTCCATAAGTGTGTGTACAATCTGGTAGTTGTTGAGCAAGTCATAATTTTTTCCATTTATTTTACGTTCAGAAAAACCTTTGCTCTCTCTAAATTTTGTGAATGTGTGTGTGTGTGTGTGTGTGTGTGAATGTGTGTGTGTGTGAAATCTTGTTACTTTATAACCCAGAGATAAAAGCGAGTAATCCAAGCAAATCTGGACTGCACAAATGACACAAATTAGATGCCAAAGCTGAAGTCAATAATAGCCATTTGTATCTCCCTCAAAACATTACTTAGTGACATTAAAGTCAACCAGGGTATGATGCAAAGACATGAAGATTTATAGTGGTTGTATCTTATTATCTCATATCAATATTTTCCATATGTTCTAACTGTTGTGCCAATTAAATTAACAAATTAACAATTATGGCAGTGGTAAAGCTGAGAGATATTGCTTGCTGTTACTTTTATATTACTAAATGAAGCTAATTAATTTAGGAACTTATTCTGACCCTTTTTCACTATCAAAATTAATTTCATAACATTTTTCTGTCATATTCAATGAATTAAGGACTGGGGTTGTTGAAAGGTTAAAGCAGCTCTTGAGTAATCAAAAACTTCAGCTGTCAAAATATTTCCTGTATAAAATTTACATTTTTTTTCATGTGAAAGGGACAACATACAGTATGGGATTACAGTATAATGAAATCACAGTGAACCATTTTTCATGTGGTGGACAAGTTTCTACCACTTACAGACTATATTATCCATATTTAAACTCATTATAAACATTCAGTCAACTATTTAGTTTGAAATCTTGGCTTAAGCTAAGTGAACAGCTACAGGTATATGTAACAATGTAATCTGTGACTATTAATGTTATATGCCTGTGAACAGGGAGTATATTTTCATTACTTACAAAAGGGGACAACATGCCTTTGGACATGGCCAATCTAAATAGAAAATAGGATGATATATGGCAATATGACAACACCTTGCACTGTCTTGTTACACATTCCCTTTCTGTCATAGTTTGACATGATTTCATCTCTAAATCTTTCCACATTGAAGACATTTTATAACTTTGGTACAGGGAAAGATGCCATGAACTAAAAACAAACAGGCTATTAGATTTAAAGCTATTTGACCAATTTATACATATTTGTATTATTGGGTTAGTCAACCAAGTGCCTTCTTTCATTTAGAAAAAACATAATACAAATTTATATCTTTTCGTGGTTTCAACATTTTAGATGCATATCACTGTGATATATGCAGCAGTAGCACCTGCCCAATACAATAAATGGATACCATCCTCTGGTGGCACATGTCTTGGACCTAAACCAGTTTGGGTTTATTTTTGTTTTTTCACCCAGCTTTAAAGGGCAACTAATGTGTGATATGTTAAACCTGCCTAGCAGGGTCCACCTCAATATTCATCATTTGTATTCAGTATACATGTACATGTAAAGCTACTGGACAGGAATACTCTATGGGAGGTTGTTCTGTTTATAGTCAGTGTAAGATAGTATGCAGCGACAGTAAATAAAGATGTCAGCTGTTTACAAGTGTGTCAGGTCAGTGAGAATACCATTAATAATACCCTGTGTTCAGGAATGTCCAAATAGAATGTGTTTTTTATGAGTTCATTGCGTTGTCTGACTGTCTTAAAATGGACAACTGTTAAGCCAGATGTATTTATTCCTTCTATCTGAACTTCAGCAAATTCATCTATTCTAAATGTACACAGAAAAGGGATCAAAATACCTAGGTTTTATGCTTCTACTTTTAAAGAAGACTACATATCTTTCCCATGCAAGTTATCTCATTCACACTTTTTTACAGAGCTATAAATATATTTTCTGCCTTATTCATACTGATTTATATAGAGTGCTACTGAAATCAAGGAGTTATAACTCCTTGCTGAAATCAACCTAGTGTATTTCTTACTGTACTTTAATTCATAAACCATATGAGCATTCAGAGACTAATGTAATGTACTTACCATAGCCAGCTTGGGTGTAACTGAAAATGTTCCTTTATCCTCTATCAAGTGAAAACCAGGTCATTTTTCAAGTGCTGCCCCCTTGGTGTTACCTGAGGAATCCAGCCCATCATCATATTATTATCATTAGCACTCCGTTTGTTGGTAAATAACGGGGGGTTGTGTGTATACTTGCCATTGTTTCAGTTGTTTAGATTAGTGATTTTAAGTATCTTTGGGTTAAAGTAATATATATTGTAGAATAGAAAATAGATAAAACTATTTAGTAGTAGAGAGATGTTTCAAGTTTTTTATTAGTTTATTACTTTTTTAGACCGAAAAACAGTAATTTTCATCTTGCGAGGCAATGCTACAGGTATTTTGACTCTTGAGAATATTAATCACTCAACAGTAATCCTAGCATAGTAGCAGTGGTCACGCTTCAGTGAAACTACACATAGAGTGGACGTATCAGGTCGTCTAGATTGACGAGAGGCTACCAGCCGCCACAGGTAGAATATAACACACCACAGTATGAAGTTTCGAGGAGAGATTCCACACATAGCTTTGTTTGGCAGTCTACCCAAGCGCCGGATTTAGGGGGATCAGAATTAAGACTGCCCACACTTTGGTTTTTGAAAAATAAAGCTCAAACCAAAAAGCGTGTACCTGAATAATAGTTCTAAACTGTACCTATTGGCACCGTTTGCCCTCCAAAGCATGTTTTGTGGGGGAGGGGGCTTTGAGTGGGCCCCGAACCCCCCACCAAGTTTTTTTTTTTTTTTTTTGGGGGGGGGGGGGGCTTCTCCGACCTCGCAATCCGATCCTGTCATTCCAAACCGTCACCCCCTTCAAAAAATCCAGGCTCCGCCCCTGTACCCTGGGTGACAGTGAAGTCACTGTGTCATTTCAGCAAAGCATGTGCTGGTCGGTGTCAGTTCTGAGAAACTTAAAACGGTAACACTACAAAGTTTTCGATCATGTCCTCATTTAAAGAAATCGTTTTCATTTTTTTTCTTATTTGCTCCCTTTTTCATGTTCAGTGCCGTAAGTCTATTTATTATTTTTATTGTTGTTGTTGTAACTTATTTATTTATTTATTTCAATATCGTAAGTTGCCAAAACTTAATCTGATTTGTCGCACACTCCCAATTTTCTCTTCATTACATAACACATATGCGTGATTGAAAATATCTCCTGGTACGTCTTGTTTTTAGTTTGATTTAGGTTGACTACATACAATAGTGGAATATGAAAGATCTCGGGCATTAAAACACCCCGTTATCACTTAGAACGCTATCACTTTGTGATCGAGAGAGATGTATCGATTACAAATACCCATTACGTGATTTAGGCCAAAGAAATAGAGCACAGAAGTCATTAACCAGAGATATAAGGAGAAGGTGTCCTTCTGTTGGGACTGTAGCTATATTTGTAAACCAAAAGAAATAGAAATGCACAAGAAATGGTTTTAAATGACAGATAGAAATGTGTGTAGGCCGAGCTCCTACAAATGAAACTGAACGTCGTGGAAGTAAATGACAAGCTCGAAAGGTGAGGGCGATCTATTATCGTCCATCTGCTTATTTACTTTTGACAGTTATGGTTGCAAGTCGAGAAAAAATCTGATTTCTTGAGATTCTCATCAATTTCAAGATCATTCTGACCATTATCCTTTTGAACCTCCAACATGGTGTATAAAGCACGCGTTTGACGTTATTTTTTTTAATTGCCCTAGTTAGTACGGTAGCATATATTCCTAGTATTTTCACGACGCAATACAATTGAAATTTTTGAGCAGCGGTAGTAATTTAGGTACTTACAAATATTGTTATTTGCCCTTGAGACGGAGAAAAATATACCCCGCAGCATGATGCAGTCATTTAAGGCATTTAAACTACCACAAATTGTCTTTTGTGGGAGCGTTGTCTAGATCGAAGCCCGTTGCTCCAAGATTAGACTCTTGATTTTCTTATTTAACCTTGATCTTTTTCTGGAGGTGATTTGGCAGACGTATTGATCTATGAGCATTCTTAACAATTTTCTTGAGGTAATAGGGCTGAAATGCTTATTATTAGCCTTACGACACGAATTTCGATCTTTTTACGACAGAATATTAAGATTTTAAACGCATAGTGACAAATTATACATTTTTGTCATGACTGTTAAGACTCGTCAATCCTTGCAAACAATTTTAATACTAGGATCATAAAAGAAATTCATTTGAACTATATGTCACATTTTTGATAAAGAAAACAGGACTGATCGATGCATTTTCTTTATTTTCCGGTCATTATTATTATTATTAAGGTTATGTTGTCAAAATATTGTTATACTGGTTCAACTTTTTACTACACTTGGCAAGGCTGTTCAAAGGATAACAAGATCGATATAATAGTACTGACAGACATAAGAGTGAAGAACTATCATCGTGAAATTCTCTGAAAACGGATTTTAATCCCCACTGCCCAAACGTCAAGTTAACGTTATCCATTCATATACAGTCTATCTAGCTGTGTTTTGCCAGATAATTCACTAATAAGATCCTTACATATGAGATCTCAAATTTCGATCGCCTTTTTTTCATGAATTAGTCTTCTTAAAAATATGCTACATATTATATAATAATTATCAATTTTCAAGATTTGTTTGGAAAAATTAAAATGTAATCCTTTTTCTTGAAGCGTTATTACACCGATAGAATAAAGGTAGGTCTAAAATCTTGGTTTTTAGCAGGCTTGACCGTCGAGGAATAGTGATGCTCAGCACTAAACCTAAGTCCCAAGGAGAAAATACCCCAGTGGCACTCAGTTTCAAAGCCAGAGGTAGAATACCCGTTTATTTCAGCATATGCTTGCCATCCTAACTGTATGACATGACTTGTTTATGAGACTGATAGGTGGGCTGACGATTTCACATTTTTTGCACTTAAGCCAGTAGACGTGTGTGTGTGTGTGTGGGGGGGGGGGGGGGTGTTATTAAAAAATAAAGTTTAAAAATCGGTAATATATCAGAGAGACGGCTCTACTTTGCCAGCTTTCCAGTCAACCATCTTTGTTTAGTTTCGGAAAAGAAACAAATTAATCTAGAACCAAAAACGGTTTTACTTGGAGCTTTTTTGACAAAACGTACATGTATGAGAGGAATCGATGCCCTTTTTTTTTCTTTTATCATTTAAAAAGGGTACCGGGTTTCGTCTGACACGCCCCAAGAGTGCACATTGGTGGCATCACATTAAAACAAAATCCTACCATCATCATTGAGATGTGAGTTAATTGCAGGATTTCGTGCAAATTCAGTATGGCAACGGACATTCATATAAAGCACAGATTTCATTATTGCTAATTGGTACGCATCTAGAAACAGAAACCAATAATTACACAGCATCTTCAGCAAGATATGCCGCCTTGATATCTACGATCAGTTTGCGAACTCGGTATTGAACTTAATCCGCAAGACCTTTCCAATTATATGATGATCTGCAAGATTTCTGTCCCATGTTACCGAGATAATGTACAACGTTTAACATCAAACATTGCTCCCCCTTACGTAACATAACCTATAGATATATCTGAAATCCCATTGCACCAGTTCTTGTTTTGCAAATGGAAAGGGGGAAATTACCTATGCGCCACTGGTCTCCAGTAACAATTTCTGGAAGAGAGAATGGGCAAATTAATGATCACAACTATCAACATGTGCTTTGAGATCTAGCAAACCGGTAGTATATTAATAATATATGGATTGATCGGATGGTGTGGTAAGGTGTAAACGCCGAGGGGCTCTCATAAAGCACATACACAGGGGAGATTCGAAAACGAGCAACTTTTCACTCTCTAATCCGTACAGTCAGCTGGGCCCTGGCCTCGCATGCATAAAAAAATCAATATGACTACTGTTTGAATTCCAAAAAGTAGGCGGCTCGTCTTTAACAGTTTCAGGTTGAATTCATCTCCATGTCGCTGGGCAGGACTTTTATGGAGAAAACGGTCCTCGGGTCCTTAGACGTCCATAGTCTTCCCTATTTGGAGCCAATATACGATGTATTGATTTCCCCGTCAAGAGGTTAAACCAATTTCATTTTGCAGTTCTGAATGTTGCTATAAGCTGTTTGCATCCGAGCACGATAATGTAAGCGCCCCGGTCCTTGTTGAATTGAAAATAAGAAAAATCGGCTTTCTTTATGAGAAATCACTGCCTATCAAAACACGCGAACAGATAGCGCTTACTGCAATCTTTCCCCTGGAATTTCCTTTCCACCAATTCTTCGTTTTTCCACCATTATGCCAGTTTCAGGTTTGAGTAAACGAACCTGCAGACAGTTCACATTCTGTAACATCCTGTCTTTTTTCTGTATTTCTTTCCATATTCAGAATTATTAACGCCTTCTGAAAAGCGGCTAAAGGAATCGGCTGTTGATGACTTCTTTTATCATTCCCTTCATAAGGCGGTATCTTTGTATAGCAATGTACCGCTTAGATTCCTCATATTGGACCTCCATTTCGTGAATAAGGTCTTTTATAATATCCGTTTTTCGCTTGGTGTCCGTTATTTGTTCTTGTATCTCAACGTTTTGCTCTAAAAGGGCATCGTCAGAAAGATCTGAAGCGAAAACATTGATTTAAATTAAAAACTAATATTTGTATTCAAATATTTTGCATGCAATAATAAAAACTAGTATCTTAAATTTTCATTCAAGTGAATGCAATGCTCACCTTACGCCATTATTAAACTAAAGGTACATTAAATGTCATCTGAATAGTTTAAATAAAAAAAACAAAAGAAAGAAAAACCTTTATATCGTTCCTCAATTCTTTGAGCGGCGGCACTCGTATCCTTCTGCCGCACAAAGTCTCTGCACATCTGTTTTAATCCGCTTGATAACGCGTCCCCTCCATTTGACAACCTAAGATGGGTCACTGTCCTTTTAATCATGCTTTTTAGTTGCCTATAGCGTCTAAAGAAATCTAGCTCTTTGGATTCCACGTATTCCCTATGTAGCTGCTCCACCAGCAAACGGAATTTCTTGTAGTCTTGTTGTGTTGCTTCAAGATCGTTGCACAGTTGTTCTGTTTCTCGACGTACTTCGGATTGCCCTGAAAACCATCCAAACACAGCCATATGAAAATGAAACTGACGGTACGATTACGAGGTGTGCAGGAACCACGAGGTGTGCCTTGTTCATTGCCACTCACGGAGCCGCCTATGAAAATAGCGGGAGAATGTTCAGCTCGGAGGTGAAATTGAGTGCGGGTTAGTATCTGCAAATGAAACTATTAGGCTTGTAAAATGAAAATAAATTAATCCGCCCTTCTTTCTATCCCAACTGTCTACATAGCTATCTGGTTTCATGGATGTTCCACTCAAATCAACGTAGCGAAAACCCAATTCTAAGAAAAGAACTGAATATTTTAATCTAAATCCCACACGTCATATTAACTCGGGAGAGACACATCTGATTTCCCTGTAAAGCGGCCTATTCCAATTCTTTCCACGTTCCACGCCCTCCTTTAATCAGTTACGAGACCGAATCAAGTTGTACAATCACACGTCAGAGGCCTCCTGGTTAACTCGTAATCGCACACAGAGAATCACTGATGAAAGGTACTTTCATCCTACTTCCTTCAGTCCTCCACTCCGATGATTAACAGTCGTCCTTACGAAGTGGGATAAGAAATATTGACGTTCAAATAAAGACTCAATTCATCGGGATGGCAATTTGTGTGGATTTGAAAACGATAAATAACCAGTGACAGGATTTCGTTAAAGGGATGCTATTTGATTTACACTTTTCACGCAAAGGCTCAAAGCGTGACGCCAGGTTGGAATTAAGCGCGCGCGGTCACGTTGACGTTAATTTGTCATGGAACATTTGATGTCATGTCACGTATTTCGACAACCAACTTCAAAAATAGTAATATTAACATTAAAACTCCCCCTCACACACACACGCATGCACACACACACACACACACACACGCGATGTACAGATATACCCAAATTAAATAAATGTATCTCCTAATTTCGTCATGTCTTCAAAAGAAAGAACAATCTGGATTTCTATCGTTTCCTTTTCTCCGGACCTTGCTGGAATTATTGATTAAGAATAAACATGTTATAGCTGATATCCTCTCGACCATACAAGGGTTGACAGGCTGACACATCACCAATATCACTTCGGACCAGGCCGTGAACCAGAACGCGTCGACATGAGGGAATTATCAAAATGATTGCATTTTAAATTATCCTGTATATGTCAAACATTCGATATTAGAGACAGGAAGAGAGAACAGTCTTTACGGAATTAAGAGTGATTTGTGCATTTTTGTCTGTCATAAAGTGACAATGTGCGACCATTTCTAATACTTTTGTTTGATTATGTACTGGAATTATCTAGATTTATGTCATCTATTCTGACGGGGACCTTGCTGGAATTACTGATCAAAAATCAACGTGTTCTTTTCGATGTACTGTGTAAGATAAAAATTTATTGCCTTTCACGAAGTCGTCTAGGTTGAGGCCATAGGCCAGTACGCTTCAGAGCGAGTGATATTTCAAAATTTTTGTTTATTAAACCATCAGATCCGTATATGTTAGACACGTTATCAAGAGAAGAGGAAGTGAAATGGAATAAAAGGCTTCACGGTCATTACTTTGCCAATGATAAAATGAGCAACATTACGGCTGTTTACAAAGTGCACATTTAAGAATCCGGAGATGCAAAATTGGTTACGCGGTTAAGTTGACCAGTGCATACACAGACAGACACTCATAAGTGTAAATTACAAAAATTGCCGGTCTGATAGTCAAGCCTTTTTATCACGACTGTCATTCCTATGAAGTCCGAAAATCAGTAGCATGATTTTTTTCTCGCTAAATTAAAAGTGAGATCGATTACATTCGAATATTATTGTTGTATAATTAACTAGCTTGCAAATTAAGGATACCTTGGTTGTGTAATAATCGATAATGCTTATTTTGTGCGCCTATATTTTAAGGCATTATCTATCATTCATCACTGACAAAGAAGTAACACAGGGAACAACTGACAGATTAGTTCACCTTAAGTTGTCTGAGCGAAAAAAATTTTCCGAGAAAAAAATATTAATTGTGTTATGTTACTAATGTGCGTTCTGACTCAGAAGCTTGGAAATGGTTTCTAAACGAAAAAACTCCCCAGAGAAGAGAAACTGTCTCGCTTCAAGGCGACTATGAATATTTCCGGTATATGTAACACGGTATTTTTGCAGCATTCAGCAGTGCGATTCTAATATCATGTAATATGGCGACGCGATATCGGTGAATTTTGGCAAACATTGCCTGTCTCTATGCATGCCCATGTTAACATCGATGCAATAGAAAGTCACAACGCATTCAGAAATATCACGACCCTAATTGCCTTCTAGATTGGTTGCTGTGACTCAAACAATGATTGATCTATAAATGCAGCGGCCAATATAGGGTGATAACGACAGCAGCGTCTGCTAGGGCGTCAGTTGATGGAATTTTAGTCTTCCATCTCAGACAAGGGTCGCTATTAGGCATGTGGACACGAGAACGCATAAGGACACGGAGAGACTGACTGGCATTTTCTTGTCTCTGCGTCTGCTGTCGGATATGTTGCTTTAGTTTGCTGAGAAAGGAAAGGAGATAGTTAAAGACAGATACTCCAGCCGACTCTTAAGGCAAAAATATCATCAAGGGTTTTTAATCCACCCACATCCCTGACAAAATTGTTGCGAGATACGCGAAAAATCGAAAACCCTTATATTTGGCATTGAAGGTGCATGGATTTCCAGTATCACTATTTAAGTTTATCTATGGTTTTCTTGAATAAACTTGTACGGTGAAATTGACTGTGAGATCTGTTCAGAGTTATGATACTGCATACTGCAGCCACTGTCAATTTCGTTTTGAAATAAATAATGAGTTCATACACTCTGAAAGTATTCTTGATTTTCAAGGGCGACATACGTAAAAATACTTTTTAACGGTAAATGAAATTTTATTATTTGTTATTTTAACTAAGGAATGGCTGAAAATAAGGACTCAACACTACCATCTACCATTCGTATAAACAGTCACATTGTGACTAGAAAGTTTACATGCAGTTTTCATTCGACAGTAAACTTCCCTTGTTACGTGTAGTAATACCTTGGGAAGACCATATTTCAGGATCACTCCCCTAATACGTAGTACAATGGATAATTGCTAAGATCTAGGCTAAGCTTTTACTCTCTCTAAAGTCTTCTTTCATCCCATGTGTAAATTCCTGGATAAATACATGGGAAATACGATTGTAATTTCGCTGTGTATAAAACCAAAGGAATCACAGAAGATGCACATCTATCAGACCGATCAGACAGCTGACTGATTTAGTCTCTTCCCGGCACTAGATATGCCAGTCAGTTGAATTTGCAAAGGGACTTGCTTGGACTTCTAAATAAAGAGCACGTGTTCTATTCCCAGGATATTAGATTCGTAACACCCTTATCGCAATTTACAATTTTTATCCATTAAGACTAATAAGTTGCATTTGGTTTTAATTCTGACAGCAATGACAGTTGCTAACACAAAACGAAATTTGGCAAGTAAAATACTGTGTGAAATTAGCGTCATTATTGCAGTTATCAAACTCTGTCTCTCTCTCTCTCTCTCTCACACACACACACACACACACACACACACACACACACACAAACACACATTTATTATATAGAATATTTTCATGGCACAAAAAAATCAAAACACAAGCAGACAATAAGAGACTATTGCCTCTTGTATAGAACCATGTTTTATGAGAAAAACGTTTTGAGCCACCTCTCTACAACCGCATTCATCAATCTTTTCACAGCGCATTGTTCCACAGCTGAATTTACGTAATCAGAAATTGGGATTTCCACCCAAAAACATTTCTGTGTACCGTTTCAGTAGGTTAGTATAAAACCTTGCAATTGATAGATTACAGGTAGTTCAAGGATTTCTTTTTCCAGACAGAAAAATTGGCTAAATATCCTAATGTGATTCGATGTCATAGAGACGCTATTATCGACTCATTGGTATGCAACTAAGCATCAAACCCAAAACCGCAACGAGATCTTAATGTATCTGTCAGATGATGTTAAGAAAGAGATAAGCTATGTGAACTTTTCACATTTCTGCCTCGCTACGTTATATTACCTTTTTTTTATATTTTCCTTTACAACAAGGCTAATAAATGTATACATTTTAAACACACTGTATTCGATGATTTTCGATGTAAATAGCCAGATCAATTACATGAATATCAAACCCCATCATGACTGCCCATACCAATCTCTGCCCAAAAAGATTTTGTTGATTTAATCTTGTTTTTTCTTCTTTATTTCTTAAGTAATTTAATTCGTAAATGTTATTTCTACAAATCATATAAAATTCTTCATATTGCGCCCGTTTTCTAAACTTGCCCTACATGTATCAGAACATCTGACGCAATCGCTCTGGTTTTAATTTTGATCGATATACTCACATATTGTTTTAGAAACCTGGTTATTAGTATCTAATAATATGGCAAATTCATTCTATATATGTATATATTCATATTTTAATATGATTAAAAAATCATATAAGAAATAAGAAATAATTCGAAATGTATGAGATCTTTGGGCTTTTTTTTAAATTATTGGATTTTACTTCAAACTGAACATTATTTTCGAACGCTGGGGTACAACTTCTACCGGATTTGCTTTACTTTTAAGCTAACGATGAGCGCCCAGGGCATCTTTAAAAACTCTCTCAGTCTCAGCTTGGACGTGGGTCAAATGTCTTGGGAACATTATCAATCAGTTATATATTCTCACGTTATTTAGAAAAAAATTCCCCGATGGCTACTGACAGGCACACTAAGAGTACACCGGTTCAAAGTCACAGTTCAAGAACGCACTGCAGGAATCAAGCGAGTCAGTCCCACCTATTATCTCTTAGAAATTGTGATATATTGGTTTTCTGCATTCTGGTCTGTTTGCAGTGGCGGATTTGGGCGAGGGTCAGGGGGGTCCTGACCCTCCCTTCGATTTCTGAAAAAAAATCACACGAATGGTCCCCTCTTGAAATTAGAATTTTGACTAGCTGAATCATAGTCATGAACTGTACCAAATGGCACCGTTTGCCCTCTAAAATACCAAAAAATTCCGGGGCCCTTCAGCGTGCCCCGAACCACACGCCAAGGTCTTATCGTCGGCTTCGCATCCGCGGACCCCCCTTCAAATAATCCTGGATCCGCCCCTGCTTTGCATTATGGTGCATTGCCTGAACTCTAAAGTTCGGTAGGATACATTTTTCCACCCACCCGATAACCTCATAAATTGGTTCCGCTTGTTTCTCCTACTGCTGTGTACATACTGCAATACTCCTACTCAGAATCGATGCAGGGTTCAGGAGATCGAATGCACTTGCTAAGACATGACATGTTGCTATATGAACTGCTCTCTTACGTGTAAGACTGTAAGTTTTGAAAATTGATAAGACATGGCATTCATAATCTGAATTCCTCAGCAATACAATTTCTTTATAATCAGCATTTTTATTTGATTTCACAAACAGGTCTTATCGAAAGTAATAGTCGCAATTATTGTAGCAAATCTTTTAACGTTAACGTAATCCCACATGTTCTTTCCCTTTTCCAAGTAATTGCTGTCAAGACCTAGGAAAAGGATAAATATGAAATAAGGTTTTACGTTATTGTCATGTTTCCATAATATATATGTCTTACAAAAACATGCACATGGACATCATAGGTAATCAAGGCTGAGTAATAGTCAACATGAGTACGATCTCAGACGAATTTAGTGTTATCTCTTATAGCCGAGGGCAATTAGCATTAGGTTTTGCGACGAATATTGACAATAAATTGCAAGTCAAAAACTATCAGCATATGCTACGTTTGTAATTGTGCTATAATGCTGTGTAGGTTTTAACAGTTTGGCGCAGTGGCATGCTTGTTCTAAAAATATACAATTTGATAGGAATAGCAATGGAAAAAACATAAAGATGGCAACAGATTTCAACAAAATTTTATAGTTGTAATATTCATGGCATGTATGTTATTTTCAAATAGTTCAATTTACATATTTAGCATTTATTTTCTTTCCTTTTGTATATCGTTATTTTTATCCCTGTATACAAGTTCTGGGTCACACTATATGCACCGCAAGTGCGTCTTGTTGTCAGTTTCTTGTTTTGGTTACTTAGTCTAACTTACAGAAAAATATTACGTAAATGACTATGAAGTGATGGGAATTAAAACAAAATTCAAAACGTGCCGCACTTATGTGAACTTTTGACCTAAAGGCCTAGATCAAGCACAATCTCCAAAATCATCTGGACAGTGCGTCAGTGCATCGAACCCAATGTCATATAGTCCATGTCTTATTGTTCTACTGCACGCCCCTAGGGTACTCTAAGTTACGTAGAATATACTTGGTCTCTATCAAATATGTTCTTGGTTTTTGTATTTTACTCCAAGGGGACATAACGTATTACCTCCGTGGACTGTAATTGAATCGATCGGTTCCAAGACAAGGGCGGTGCGAGGCCCAGATTGTGAGGTCTCGGATATTAAATTTGTATTAGCCATACGTTTCTTATCGCGTTAGAATATGAGAAGATAAAAGCATTTTTGCAATATAAGTTAAGTATAGTAAGGGAAGTTCAGTGATAGAGTTCGAATCTGGCTGTGTTACCAAAAGTAAAGACATTATTGTATATTTCTCACAATAAATAAATAAATAAATAAATAATAATGAATATATTATTAAAACACTGATGGATCATTTTTTCTAAAAATGAACCTTTGAATCCCATTATTGATGCACATTTGGTGTAATATTTACATGATCCTTGCGCTCTCCATTATCTTTTCTGCTTTCTACTATAGTACCCTCCATTATGAAAAAAAAATGAACAGTAATTAAAAACTGTCATAAAACTGTTTTGCAAATTTTGCACAAAATATGTGCGTTACGGACATGAGAATTTGTGGAATGACCCTAACATCAATCGCTGTTATGGACCGACAGCATAGTTAACTCGACTATTGGAAAGATATAAGTTACATAATTGTACTCAAAGTAAAAGGGCTAGATAGGAACCAATATACCACTGAATTGACCAATAAGTATCAAGCACTGCTGGAGACCAACACAGGATTTTGCGTCTTATTACAAATGTTAAATTGATTTTCGTTACTTCACGCCTTATTGCAATCGCCAGCAATCAGAGCCAGAAAAGAGAAAAATCTCCCTGAGCTCAAACATGTATTAAGATATTTTGTTACCCAGTATCTTAAGTCGTACTTTATGAAATACAACAAATCTGATTAAAACGTTCCTAGTAATGATATTGTGATATGTTGTTCTTTTTTCAAACTTTTGAGAATTAGTTTCTCTGCCATAAACCACAGATTTTGCTAAGAAGTTTAAATGTTCTCGAGGGTGTCACTGATGTTCTATATAGATATAAAGTGGAATTTGATTAACAACTTTTTGAGGATTTTAAGATTTTTTGGCTGAAACTGCTTAAAGTTTAAAGACTTGAATGTATAAAGTGCGACGCGCGGGCATAAGTTTGTGGAAAGGGGTCTTCATTCCTATACCTTTTCAACGTATATTTTCATAGTACAGGGACAGTGGTCAGTTCGTTAATATCAGATCTAAAAAATATTTGGCAGTTATCTATAACACCATAATGATCGTTTTTCAGAATTAACGTGACACTGGTCAATAAAGCGCCAGCGTAACAAATTGGTAAAAAACTACTTGACGCCACCACGCTGGCCAGAAGTCATGTTGGTTTGTTTTCCTAATTTGTTACGCTGGCGCTTTATTGACCAGTGTCAATGCGGGTTAGTGTATGTATATTGTACTTAAATTGGACATTTAAGTTAATTCACTGTGATGACTTTTCACTGCAAATAAGACTCGGCATACAAGATCGTTAAGGGAACCTCTGTTAAACTACCTTTTTTGAAAAAGTCAACTGCGCTTATATCTTCCAGACGCACCTTTTCAAAGAATGAAAGTACCCAAAAAGTGCATTTTTGTTATAAATTAAGGAATGAATACAACCGGTTACTAGGCCTAAGCCAGTCCACGAAAGAAAGAGGTTTTCAAAACGAATTTTATGCGCCAGTGCTATTTGATGGGTAAAATCACTATAAAATAATAAAATACATTAACATTTGCAGGCAGACCTTTGCAACTTGAAGCAATGCAGTGAATAATCTTGTTTCTGCTTCTGTAAGCATTGCGTTGTCTTCTGCTGCGCCGCGGAGCACGTTTTAACTCTGTTTCTAACGTTTCTAACGTTGGCAGTTTTTTCTTCAGCGGCTGACACAATGATTTCGTTCAAGAGTGGTAAAATACCGAGTACCTTCTCTACACTCGGGGGTAAAAAACCAAGGAAAACTATCATATGTTGTTCACTGAAAAACTGACGGCCTCCGGGTTACAGATTTATATCTCATTCAAATTTCTGAAATCATTGAAGCGTTTTTTAAATTGAAAAAGTAAAATAGAAACATTTTCCAGCTGTATATGGAAGTTACATTAAAGAAAACTACTGTAAAGTGACAAACAAAAGAAACAATAGGTAAACATGGTTTTTCTATTGAATAAATTTCATCGTGATATTTAGTGATGATATAACTAATAAGGACACGACCCTCACAGAAGAAAAAAATAACTGTGTACCTTCACTCATCCAACCGGCAATCTTCCCTTTCTTTTTCATCATAAAGCATTCTTCACTGAGCTCTATCCTTTGTGTTTTAGTTGCCAGTCAAACGGCATAGGTCTTTAATAATTGAACTGAGCAGTCAGAAGAACGTCAAAGTGCTTAACTCTATTAGGAGTACCGACACTAACGCCTTATGCCCACGAGCACTCATCGGCAACAGATCATACGCAAAGCGGATCTTAGTTCAATACATTATTGAACAATATTCCAATACCTGAGATAGAACACAACGGGCCTTGATAAACCAAACTTGGGAAGAAGTCAGCACCATTTTTTTTTAATTATTGTTTGTTGATAATGCACGCATTAAAGCATACATCTCAAGGGAGAAAAAAAATCCCTAAGAATATCACTTTGAGATCAGTTCAATATAGAGTAGAATGTTGCTGATGACCAGTGGATCAATACTCTCATCGCCACATGAGACGACAGCTACAAATTAGTATACTCTCTCAGTGGACAATAAATCGAAACGCGTTCTTTAGTCCGCTACTGGAGAGAACATGATTACCCTCAGCACCGAGTTTGATCTACCTAAGTCGATTTATGTCCACAAACACGAGTCTCCCTATTTGATGCAGTCATTTTTGCCTTAAATAATAATACATATACTAATCATAATATTAATTTCGTGGGGAAAGTCTATTTATTTCAAGAGGTGACAGGTGGGGCGAGGTCATTCATTTCGAGGGGTGACCGGAGGGGTGAGAGCATTCAGTGCGAGGGGTGAAATGTGGGGCGAGTCTATTTATTTTGAGGGGTAACAGGTAAGACCATTCCATTCAGTTCCAGGGGTGATGAGACTACTTATTATAGGGGTGACAGGTGGGGCGAATCTGTTCAATTTTGGGGGTGACGTGGTACAGGTGGATTCAGTTGAAGATAAATAAATAAAATGTGCATGCGTACAATGTCATCGCATATGTAGATACAGAAAGGGGGTTTATTTCATCACTAAAATCACAAAATCATAGGAAATTGTCCATCAATTCCCCTTTATAGTCGGTGAAAAAAAACAAAAAACTCGAATCATTTTATTCAGCCTAAGAAGAGTGCATTATTTTTTAAGTGAACGATTACCATTATGGAATTGCCATCGGTGTCTCAATTCAGTACAATACAGCGACATTTTGGTGCANTTTTTTCATTACTCAAAAATGACTTTTGGGCACCTAATGGATAGTTTTAACCCGTTTTTTCATCACAGTATACCTTTAAGGGTAGTCAGAATATTAGAAAGTGTCATTCCAGGTCATATTAGTACTATTTTTTTTTTCATTCGAAATTATAAGAATCATGATTTAGCGGTCTTATTTAATATAAATTTGAAAGGCAAGACAAAATAAACAAACAAACAAATACAAGAGGACCATCATACAGTAAGTACATTAAGAAACTTGGCCGTCAGGGTTACGTATTAATTTTAATTCATTCTAAACCTATTTGCTTAGAGGGTTTTATAGAGTAGGCGATATCAACATTTTAAAGATGGAGAAACACTTAACTGAATAATACATTTGAGAATTGACCGTTTCACAATTTGATAATCTTCGGACTACGTGATTCTTTTTACCCGAAATTTTACTTTACATGAAATATTTAGGTCGTAAGATGTGAATCAATTTCCGGGAGGTTAAAACAAAAATTGTAAAAAATGCTTATAATTTTTATATTGTATTGCAAAAATTGTGGAAAATGAAAGACATCACTGGTATCACATAGAAGACGATTCGCCCGAGTTTATTCCAAGGGATATTCAAAACTCGCCTACTAGAGAGAATTTTGAGATCCATTCAAAAACAGAAAAAGCTAGATTGAAAATGCAATTCATAAATGTGGATCGTGAAAAAATGCTTTAAATCTTTTTTTTTAACAGGTTTAAAATTCCAAAATGCTCAATTACCACTATTTAAAGTAACGGAAGTAAATAAGAATGTTTACAAAGATAAAACACCATTTCAATTTTTAAAATTATGGTCCACCTACCGTAAATGAACGTCAGACCCGTAGGCAAAATCTAAATATCATACAATGAGCAGAATTTTGAAAATGCTCGAACAGTTACATGTATTATTAATTTTCACTTTCCTGCTTTACCCTTATCATCACCATCATTATTTCATGTCGAAACGATATACCACAGGAAATACATTTGTTCAATTGTCAGAAGACAATGTGCGTCAGTGGGCATCGGGAACCTGAATACAAATTTTTAATAGCAGTATTTATTCTTTCCCTTATTTTCATCATTATTTCATGTCACAGCGATAAACCACGGAAACGCACTTATTCAATTTTCAGGAGAAAAATGGCGTGACTGGGCGTCGGGTTTTTGCAAACAAACTTAAAATTGCATGCTGGATAGCCACACGGACAGGGTGGAGGTTTTGAAATCTGAAAATTGTTCGAGAATTTTACCTTAATTCTGAGAACTGACAAGCTCTTAAAATGCAATTGATGTATTACACATTACAGAAGAAAAGAGTTTAAATCACTTACACAGATCTTTGTTGGCTTGTACGAAGTTCTGGCTCAGCTTGTATCGGGGTTGAGCTTTGCCTTACAACAAATTGGTGATATTATGAAATAAATATACTATAAAGTTACCACAGTCGTTATGCTCTTGTCATTCACTTGGATCTATTTACTCTATTAATCGTTTGGAAGTTTTATTGCAGATGTTTTCTGATGCATATCTTTCACAGCAGAGCAGGTGAGTTCAAATGACTCCCGCCATATCACGTTTGCTATTTCTCTTTCTATAGCAAATATATCGTTCATAAATCAACTGCTTTATAATTTAAATGTAAAAAAATATAGGTTTTACATAGTTGTGGCATAATGTATAAACAAACAGCACACTGGTGAAAGTAGAGAGCATATACGCAATATTTATATATATATATCAGTGTCTAATAATCATTGTAAATTTAGATACTCATTGCAATGTGCATGCGTGCGTATGCGTGTGTTGTTACATGAAATGTATACTAATCATTTAAAACCCTTGGTTGGCCTTGAAAAAAACCACTTGTGCGGCACGCCACGCCAAAGTCTCATCTAACACAAAAATAGACGGTGTAATCAACACGTAAACTAACGCCCTTATACTTAAAAACTTGTCCTTGGAACAAAAGTTTAAAAATCATAACATGCTACGTCATTTAAAAAAACGCGTTACAAGCATGGCGTACCTTTTTTCACCCTTTAAAGCTTCACACTTCCTCCAGTCTTTACTTTTTGCCGCCTGACTGCTAACTGACTATTCTGGAAGACAGCTCGCACCGCGATGAGCGACTTAATACCTGAAGCAAGGTTAGTTTGATTCGGAGCTTGTCCGACTTATTTCTAGGCGGTCCGGAGCCGTGAAACTATGACTGAAAGTTTCCTTAGATTTCCTTTTAAATTGCACTTCCCCAAACGCATATATGTACATGTATATAGACTGTTCTTTCTGAATATCGAGGATATTTGAATATTGATATTAAAACAACGAAACGGGAAGGCTTATCTTTACCATATTATCAAATAACACCAACCGTAAAGACAAAATATTGCTCACAAGAAAGCAATTTAAAAAACCTATCATCGCCATGTAGACGATCAAATTTTAGACTTTATTTGTTGAATTCAATTGAGAAGTAGCCTTCCTGATGTACAGGTATTTAGTGTTTTGTAAGTAAGGAAAGAAGTTAACATTTCAGTCTAGATCTACAAAATAATGTAGTTGAAAACAATGAATAACAGCGTAACACAGTAGATATCAGTTTCTCGTACCTCCAAAATAAAATAACTTTTTGAATTTAGTTTGCATCTGGCGTGATTACTGCATTTCCCATATCTAATATCAATAGACTTGTGTTCCATTGGAGTGATCGGCAGTGAGCGCAATGAGAGAGAGAGAGAGATAACCGATAAAGGGTCTGACAATTGATGAAATCAGCTTTGATCTACGGTTACTAATACATTTTATCGACACTGAAATGATTGTTTGTGCGTGGTTTATAATCGCGTTAATAGAGTTACAACAGAAAATGTAAGACAAACGCCATACAACAAAACTACGATTTATTCAGATCTTAAAATTTTACAGAGATATTTAATGGCCTACAAAACAGTTATAAGAAAAGATGTCCGAATATTGTGGAATGAAATTAAGTATATTTTCAATCATACTGTAAATATATATATCTTTCTTTTGAACATTCTTTATTTTCCTAAGTGTCTGTGTCAATCACTGAAAATCACAATCCAAAATGCATTAGTTGTGCTGAGACTCAACTAAACCATTTTAATACCAACAATTACTACAAATAGTGTATTTCACTTTGTTTTCATTTCACTAAAAAACACGTACGTGCAGCACGAAGTTATAAGCTAACATTTCCATGATCAGCAAGGCTATTTCCGTCCACAAAGTGTAGATGCATCATTGGGGAAAAGTCTCCCCTCAAAATCTGTACCCATTCACGGACATCATCAACCGGCTAACTAAAGCAGTCAAAAGAGGCATCCGTAATCTAACAAACCTCACAGTGTGAAATAGAAAATACAAGCACTCTGCCAACTGCATTTGGAATGTCAACGTCATTCAACGCGTGACAGGAGACGCTGTGTCAGTCAGTAGAGATAGAAAGTAAAATCCGTGTGTGTGTGTGTGTGTGATCTACTTCAGAAAGTCACCGTTACGGCCCGACTATTCAATGGACTAGGGCCGTAAGAGCGGGAATGAGAAATGCGGCAAGTAGTGAAATTACAGCCGCAGGTGTCTGGAAAAAAAAGGGAAAATGTGATGATAAGATAATGAACTGGTTCTGCTACTTATGACAAAAAAAGTTAAGTATTCTTCTTTAAAATTTATAAATGGTAATACGAAAATGCTACGACCACAAAGACTTTTCTTTTTTTTTATATATACATATTACGCAGTTTTTCTTGATTGTGCAATTATAAGAAATTTATATATATATATAAACATATATAATAGGAATCTCTTTACCGCTGCGCTGGCCGGTCCAGTGGTGGTCTCTGGCGCCATAGTAGATGCCACCGTCGTATTATTGTTTTGTGCGCAAACTTAAAAAAAAAAAAAACATAAAGCAATAAAAGGCTATGTCAACGTACGGTACGTTTCATGAGAACTTTATACCAGAAAATACACACAACATGCTGTGAACATACAGCATGAACCAAATAAAAACCAAACACTTTAGTTCTGATTCACAGGTAAAATACAGGTACATGTATATGGCGTTACGCATCTTTGTTACCAAGTCAAGTCACATCACGATTCCCAGTCACCATTGGTAACTATATCGACATATAAATACAGCAATAAAATCTCCTCATAATCAATATTTTGATTACAAAAAGGGGTCACACCCTGAAAAAATGTCTATATACCACGTATCGAAGATTTGCCGACGTTAAAAAAACAATCCGTAAGTGGCCTACGCCCATGCAGGCAGGCAGCATACGCCCATTTGTATACATGGAGTTGGTTCGTTCGTCGCAGACAGTTAACAGAGATTTTGATTTCATTCAGTTTGCAAGTAAGTGTTTTGCTTGAGGATCCAAGAAGAACGAAACAATTCATTTTGTGTAAGCAAGTTATCAAACACTTTAGATTTATAACAAAATAATTTGACTCAAATTCAAAAGAAAAAAATTCACAAAAAAAGAAAAATCGATAAAAACGTCTCACCTATCTGAAATAGAGCCAGGACAGCAAGTGCGATCACTATGGTGGTCTTCATGCTGCAGAAATAAGGTCACAACTGAAAGAGTCAAAGAATGGAAAACAGAATGGGTAAACTGTTCATAAGGCTAGGGGCGCTATTTTTTAAAACAACAAGCCATTCTATTGGCAGGCAGTGTCACGTGAAGGGAGCAATCTGCAAATTCCGCCTAGTGACAATGAACCCGTTGCAACGGTTTAGTTCACACTTTTGTAGTTAATATGTTCAATCCAAACTAACACCAATTTTTTCAAAAACTAAAAAATGAATCAATAAAAAACGTTTTCTATATTAAAATAGCTGAAGGCAACATTTCTAATACAAGCTGTTCAGTAGGCGGGACGATCACGCACTTGCGCCAGCTTGCTCACCACCCGCCTTAACACAAAACCCCGCCATTACAGTAGAATCATCTACCACAGGATCTTCTCATTTTTCATAATACGAATAACGACAAATCGGTGCATTGATATATTAAGCGCAGTTTAAATCACACTATAAGAATAAAATAAAATCAGCTTTGATGTCTTTCAATGACATTTTTCATCAACATATCGACTTCGGTTGACCCGTTGTGCTGCGTGGTGGTGTTTCGAAATTCCTGTTAAACATTAAGTTATGCAAAATGTAAGATTGCACTAAACGTGATATTCAAAGTCTCTTTTCCCAAATTTCTAAATGCTTACATGCCGTCACAGAATCAGAAGCAAAAACAAGCATCCCGATTTGTTAAACCAGTCTGTAATAATCTGTCCAAAAAGCCGGTTTATTTTCGACTTTAATTTGTTACCCAATAATCATAAAAAATTACATTTAGGCGCAATCTTTTGCTTAAAGGACGAACACAACGCTTTCATCGATCGCACACAATTAGAATAGCCGTCTTTGGCGCAATCCAATAATCCGTTGCTATGGGTTCCGCAAAATATAATTCCCCGCCATTCATAGGTCACGGAAGGAAAATAAGAAATAACTGACTTTAGACTCTTGATTTTGTCATATGCCTCTTACAGGTATGTACATTTAACCGATTTTCATTTTGTAAAAAAGGTAAAATGACCTTACCTGCACGTATCACAGATTAGGCTGAGAGCTGCCACAAACGCACAGTAGATTCTGTGTTCTAGTCTGCAATTCTGTGTCTGATAATACCTACGTATGACTAATATTGGAAGAGCTTATCTTTGAAGGGGGAGTCAGGTTAGTCCAACAAAAAATGACTTCATTCCCATGCTCAATGAGAAGGTTTGCTTCAAGCAAAACGTGATATTAAAATGGCCTGAAGAGAAATTTCCATTTTTTATTATCCGAAATGCACTCACTGGTTACTGGTTAACGCATTAGATTTTATAGCCACAGTAAATTTTCTAGGTTTTGTCATAGAACCTATGTCAGTGTCACGTTATTGTTGATACAATGTAAATATTTAACTATTATGAGGTATCATATAGTTAACTTCCTTACTATACAGCTGCATGGCAGTAGGGTTTTATATATTGAATATTGAGGAGAAGAGGAAAGTTTTAATACCAATATCTTCAGCAAATTAAAAATAAAATAAAATAAAATAAAAAAAAACAATAAAAAAACAAAGCAATAATATACAGGTGCCAAATAATGTTTTAAATTTTTTAATGTTTAAAAATACAATTGTCCCTAACATATTGTTTAACCGTGAAGTAAAAGCGCTCTGTGGAGAGGGTAAAGATCGTCTTTTCCACCCATTTTCTTACCTGGCAACTTCTAACAGCGGGAAGTCGTGTTTTTATTTCTCCTTGGTACCAAATTATAATAACAATACAAGACGGCAAGCGGAAAATCTTTACAAAATGTCAATAGACAGACATTCAAAGTAGGTCATGTGCGTTTTCAGGCGAACAGTTGCTTAAGTAAGTGTGGGACAGGTATTGACCTTAACGAGGTCACTAAAAGAGATGTGGGCCGTGGTTTTCTGCCTGGATCCAAATTTCTAAATTTACTTGAACAGTATAACAAATTTACTGCCCGTCAAACTGTATGGCTACACAGACTCAAAGTAAATCACGATTTTTTGATAAAAAAAAAACAATATATAAATTACTGCAAGAGACATGCAAATCATATGAACACGTGTATAATTTAAGGTCTTTTTATTGCTGAAGCTTTCAATCGACCACTCGATCGATCCTAGTACAAATGTACAGTAGTATTGTACAGAACTGGTGCAAATCCAACATTGCAAAACAGATGACGATCAAGTTTTCAACAGACTCACTATGGCAACTGAAGGGCTCTATTTACTCAGTCTATTTGACCGCCACCTCAATTGCCCTAAACATCTTCAGAGCGTTTAAGGTGGAATACTCCACACTGACGGATCTGTTGTATTTTTTCAAAGTTGAATCAATAAACGGTGAATGCTGCGTCTAACGTCTCATCTTTACCCTTACTGCCTGTGACATAAAGCGGGGCATAAGCCTACTGATTGTGAAGAAATACATGTACTTCAGTAATAATGGCTACCCTAATGGAGCAGCTAGTGTGTCACGAATACAATGTAAAGCTGTCGTACGGAATTGCATGTTTTAACACTGGTTTTTAGGTTCAAAAATATACTAATATGTTCGCATATTAGCCATATAATTCCAGAGTGGAGTCTCAAAAACAATGGTATATAAGAAAATGTATCTAATTCATGTATAGAAGGAAATAGTGATGTCAGGACTGCCGATTTTACACAGTTAAAAAACCTAGTTAACCAACTACCAGACCGTAAAATGGACTGCTTGAATAAATATATTTTTTGAATTACTAGCACACGTTATCACATAAACCTATGGCATACAGATTGTTTTTAAAATATAAATAGCAGTTACCCTGTCTTTTTCAGTGTGTTACTTTCTCCTTTTGACAGCTACTGTTAGCCTAAATAACATCCTGAATCACTTTTAATGTACATTCTATGCAGTCAATGACAGTTACTTAGAAACAAGTGGATGTTTTCACTTGGAGATATAGAATTATGGAGGGTCTCTTAAATTGCAACGGCTCTCTTATCTATGGAATAAAAACAAAGTGATATAGCATGTATTTTAATGGTATAAAGTTGCAGCAATTTATACACACAAGTTTGTATTCCGATTTTCAATATGTGCCTCCCATTTTAGCACCTTTTTGAGCAGTTCTGTTTATTACATTCAGATTACTAGTATTGGTTAACATTCTCTTCAGCAATTCCAACAAATCTTATCCAGATACCTGGACAACAACTTAATGTCTATCAAAACTTGTTCAGTCACCATCAATATGGTTTATCCTTTACAGAGACCACGGACATTCTTCTAGCCTATTGCTTAGGTTCGGCTAACATCTATATGTATTTTTTAACTTGTTTCATAAAGATCAGACTGAAAATGTTGGTTAAGTTTTCTAAAATGTATTTCTCTCTGTTGTATTTACTATAAATCTCTTTCCCTGCAATCAACTTGTCACTAATTCATTTTCAAACACTTAATTTTTTTACCAGCCTGCTTGAGTTTGCTGGCAGAAATTGTTGATGAATAGCAATCACAAGCCACGCAGCAATAGCTGCATCTGTAATCCTGCAGGAGCAGCTTTATGTAAAGACACTGATACATTAATTACAGCCTCAAGGTATCAAGTTCTGCTAAGTGGCATGCTAAAGCAGGACTTGTACATCTTAAATTGGCTTCATTATACGAACCAAAAACCTTCTCCATTGTTCTAAAATGACTACAGACAGAAGGAAACAGATCATTACATGTTGTTTGTGAGTCTTGGACCAATTGTCCAAAAAACAAGCAAAATTCCATCTGGACTGAAGACATGCAGTGTTTACAATTTCTCTCCATGAAAAAACTGCATCTTTCCTATTTTAGGAAATCTTAAAATATAAATAGTACTTTGCTGTTGCATACTGCAATAATTACAATAATAATTTCTGCACATATACGTATTGAAAATATATAGTTTTTTTTTCACCTGGTGATGTGTATATACAATGATGTAGTAACCCACACTTTGTGGGGATGATAATACGGTAAATTTTCTGTACAGTCACAAACCTGGTCTAGGTTTGTATGAACCTCGGACACAAAGCAGTCAGTCTATTTCACTGCAGAACTCTCAGAGTGACAGTTTGTGTTTTGCAGACTTCAGCTGTCCATGAGGACACCTTGCTTTGGTGACATCTGTCTCTGCGTACACATGTGACACCACAGCTGTTTATACAAACATGCCACTGCATGTCATACTACCATTGCAAGCGTTTTCTTCACAGCCACTCTACTGTTCAAATTCCTCCTGAACACAAGAATGCAAAGTGCATGTCCATTCCAACTTCAGCTGGAGAAATGTTGGTTTTGTCCACCACTCCAGTCCCCAACACTGTGCTGTACCTGGCTACCACTGGCTGCACTCAGACCCTGCATTGGTCAATCACTACTGGACACAATGCCCTGCAAACTGACCAGCCAATGATCAGAGAGGAGATATTTTTAACTATAGCACCATGATCTGGGTTCAAAAACCTTGGGAGTTTCTCATCTGTGGTGTCACAACTCCATCTCCGACCTAGAGTAAAAAATTGTTTAAAAAAATTAAGATATACCTGTATTAAATTTAACAGATAAAAATCATAATATCAAAGACATTTCTTTTTTTATTAAAATGAAAACCCCTCCAAATGACTAAATCCATAAGAATACCTAGCAACAAAAATGGCATATGTGATATGAACACCAATAAATCAATAATATTGAAATAAATCAGAATTTAATGAAGAGTCTAGTCATGTCTTTTGAAAGGCATCCATATTGTGTTGCTATGCTTCCGCCCAATATTTTGTGGTATTTTTGATGTGTGTCTACATGGTAATAAATGCCACAGTTTATAGTTTGAAGGTCAACCCTACATGGCTTTCTTGCATAAAACACAGATAAGATAATTTGCTTCCTGGTTAACATTGGATTGGTAAAGCACCATTAATCCTTAGAAGAATGTTGAATATCTAAGGAAATTTAGTATAAAGGCCTACTTAAACCTTACTGAAAATGCATGCATCTTTTCTACACACTTACAACCACTAAATAATGTGTAATGGTACATAAAAAATAGCAGCAATTGTTTAAAAAATCATCAACACTAAATAAAGGGATACATATAGTGTGTGTGTGTGAGAGAGAGAGAGAGAGAGAGAGAGAGAGAGAGAGAGAGAGAGAGAGAGAGACTCCAGTTTTTTATTAGGACTTGAGAATTACACAGAAGAGAGACTCCAGTTTTTTTTATTAGGACTTGGGAATTACACAGATTAACAGCAGGTGTCTTTAAAGAATCAAGGACAAGTGTGTTATGCACATCAAAAAATTGATAAATATCTCTCTGACTTATTACCCTGTTGTTACAAATTAACTTCAAACCAGGAAGACATACCAAAATAGATACAAAGCCAATTTTGCTCTTGTCAAGAATTTTTAAAAAAACATTTGCAGTCAACCAGGAAGACATTTTCCAAAGCCATTTGTAAACAGTTCATTATCCTGATAAAAAGTGGCACTCAATGTATTTATCAGAAATCAGGAAGGGGGGAGGGTTAGCCCTTGTCACAGTAAAAATGACGTCTGTCTTATGCACTACTAATGTTTTATTCTTTGTAAGAGAACCCAAACATCTGGAAATAATATGTGAAAAGAAATCAGGTCAACCCATTCACCCTATAAGGAATGTAGACAACAACTGAAATTGTGGGTCTTTTTAACAATAGGTTGTCTGGGGTCTATAGAAATTCTGTTCACTCAAAAGCCCTTCCTTCTTCCTTTTTACAGTATTTATCAAAAGTTATTACTCACTTGACATTTTTGTATCTCTCTTTCTCATAACTGTTCTCTGGCGGTTCACATTCAAAAGATGCTAATGACAGGGCTGTAAATAAAAAATCCAATAACGCACATAAAGATAATGATTAGAAATATCATTGCCATGATAAACTAACAGTGTTTGCACCAAGCTTATACACATCAAAACACTTGTTTAAATTTTCTTTTCTTTTCTTTTCAGTGCTCCTCTGTGGTTCTATACAGGCAATAAATATAATTATTCCTTATGTTACAGCCATCAGTATAAATCCTTCAATATTTCACTATTAGTTCTTGTTCAAAATACATTTACATTTTTTTTGGTCATTAAACCAAATCTTTTTTCAACCTGTTCTATTTCACTGGTATAAGCTATCTTTTTTAGTATTTTACTGACAAAATCTTGTAACACAAGTGTATCAACTCAAGTCTGTATTACAAAGCATGACACAAGTATAAGCTGCAACAACTGATGTGTCTTACTTAATTCTTCAATATTTGATCTGCTAGAATCAATATCAAGGCATTGGGTTATATGAAAATACAGTATCCTTATTCTTTATAAAATGCAAAATAAATGAGCAACTGTAACAAGAAATGTGAACCAAAAGTTAACTTTAAAATGTTTGCGCAACCCAAGGACATTTTAAAAGGCAGATAATTCAATACACACAAATCATTCTTCTTGTCTCAGGAGTCAGTACTAAATGTTTTAATAATGCTCTTATTATATCAAAAGTGGCTGGCAAGTGATGATGGTTGCTTAGAGAAGAAGTTAAATATTCAGTGACCCATGTGGAAAGTATACTTACAGTTTTCTGAGAAGACTGGATTTGTCAGAACATAATTCAACACATGACTCTGTCTTTCAAAGGGGCACTGCAACAAGAAATCACACTGACTTGTGATCACTTTCAAAACCACTGACAATGAAAGCAAAAACGGATCCAGATGCTGAAGATATTTAAATGAAAGCTCACATATGACTTCCTGTTAGGCGACAAGAGTAATGGCATGCATATCTGTGATTAGTAAATTAGAAAATTGTAAGTTTTTACAGGGGTTATTAACAACAGATATTCCAGCTATGGACTTGAATGTGTCAAATGAGCACTGGAACACAAAATCACCCAATTAGAGATTTCTTTCGCCTTACACTGCTTTAAATCACATGTCTTCAAAAACTAGGCTGAGGTTATAAATGGATACAGCTAAAACAATAACATCATCCTTGTATCAATTCATGGTGCATGCATATTTTCTGCTCTGACAAATTATGAAATCAAACTTTATTCAAATATACAAGACAAATGTANCCGCAGAATGATTGTCAACACCAGTCAGAAGGTCATTTTTTATTCTCAGAAGAGCAAGCTCAGTGTTATGTTTTGCTTTATAAGCCGATTGCATTTGTTCCACCAAGTTATTCTGTTTTAGATGGTCAAATAGCCTCGTTGCCATGACTCTTTCAACCACCTTTGACAAGAAAGAAAGATTACTCACAGGTCTATAGTGATTAAAGACATTATGATCCAAATTATTCTTTTTCAGAAGAGGTTTGATTACTGCCGTTTGAATGAGTCTGGAAATATTCCCTCTTTAAAGCATAAGTTCACCAGTTCTGTGATAGGATTTATGACAGTTGGTAGAATCTGGGTCAGCAATGTTGTTGGGATGGGGTCTAAAGAACATGATGTCTTTTTTGAACTCGTAATGATTTTTGAGACTTCGGTTACAGTTGTCACACTGAACGCAGAGAGAGTGGATACTGGCCTCGGTAGAAGTTCGGTTATAGGTGGATGTGATGGACTTGATACTGTGTCCTCCAATAATGACAGATCATCATATATCTTGCCAATCTTTGCAGTATAGAATTTACTCATGCTATTGGTAAGGTCTTTTAGAGATTCGCAGTCAGGGTGAGATGTCATATCACCCTGACAAAAATCATAATATCAAAGACATTTCTTTTTTTATTAAAATGAAAACCCCTCCAAATGACTAAATCCATAAGAATACCTAGCAACAAAAATGGCATATGTGATATGAACACCAATAAATCAATAATATTGAAATAAATCAGAATTTAATGAAGAGTCTAGTCATGTCTTTTGAAAGGCATCCATATTGTGTTGCTATGCTTCCGCCCAATATTTTGTGGTATTTTTGATATGTGTCTACATGGTAATAAATGCCACAGTTTATAGTTTGAAGGTCAACCCTACATGGCTTTCTTGCATAAAACACAGATAAGATAATTTGCTTCCTGGTTAACATTGGATTGGTAAAGCACCATTAATCCTTAGAAGAATGTTGAATATCTAAGGAAATTTAGTATAAAGGCCTACTTTAACCTTACTGAAAATGCATGCATCTTTTCTACACACTTACAACCACTAAATAATGTGTAATGGTACATAAAAAATAGCAGCAATTGTTTAAAAAAAATCATCAACACTAAATAAAGGGATACATATAGTGTGTGTGTGTGTGAGAGAGAGAGAGAGAGGGAGAGAGAGAGAGAGAGACTCCAGTTTTTTATTAGGACTTGAGAATTACACAGAAGAGAGACTCCAGTTTTTTTATTAGGACTTGGGAATTACACAGATTAACAGCAGGTGTCTTTAAAGAATCAAGGACAAGTGTGTTATGCACATCTAAAAATTGATAAATATCTCTCTGACTTATTACCCTGTTGTTACAAATTAACTTCAAACCAGGAAGACATACCAAAATAGATACAAAGCCAATTTTGCTCTTGTCAAAAATTTAAAAAAAAAACATTTGCAGTCAACCAGGAAGACATTTTCCAAAGCCATTTGTAAACAGTTCATTATCCTGATAAAAAGTGGCACTCAATGTATTTATCAGAAATCAGGAAGGGGGGGAGGGTTAGCCCTTGTCACAGTAAAAATGACGTCTGTCTTATGCACTACTAATGTTTTATTCTTTGTAAGAGAACCCAAACATCTGGAAATAATATGTGAAAAGAAATCAGGTCAACCCATTCACCCTATAAGGAATGTAGACAACAACTGAAATTGTGGGTCTTTTTAAGAATAGGTTGTCTGGGGTCTATAGAAATTCTGTTCACTCAAAAGCCCTTCCTTCTTCCTTTTTACAGTATTTATCAAAAGTTATTACTCACTTGACATTTTTGTATCTCTCTTTCTCATAACTGTTCTCTGGCGGTTCACATTCAAAAGATGCTAATGACAGGGCTGTAAATAAAAAATCCAATAACGCACATAAAGATAATGATCAGAAATATCATTGCCATGATAAACTAACAATGTTTGCACCAAGCTTATACACATCAAAACACTTGAAATTGTTTAAATTTTCTTTTCTTTTCTTTTCAGTGCTCCTCTGTGGTTCTATACAGGCAATAAATATAATTATTCCTTATGTTACAGCCATCAGTATAAATCCTTCAATATTTCACTATTAGTTCTTGTTCAAAATACATTTACATTTTTTTTTGGTCATTAAACCAAATCTTTTTTCAACCTGTTCTATTTCACTGGTATAAGCTATCTTTTTTAGTATTTTACTGACAAAATCTTGTAACACAAGTGTATCAACTCAAGTCTGTATTACAAAGCATGACACAAGTATAAGCTGCAACAACTGATGTGTCTTACTTAATTCTTCAATATTTGATCTGCTAGAATCAATATCAAGGCATTGGGTTATATGAAAATACAGTATCCTTATTCTTTATAAAATGCAAAATAAATGAGCAACTGTAACAAGAAATGTGAACCAAAAGTGAACTTTAAAATGTTTGCGCAACCCAAGGACATTTTAAAAGGCAGATAATTCAAAACACACAAATCATTCTTCTTGTCTCAGGAGTCAGTACTAAATGTTTTAATAATGCTCTTATTATATCAAAAGTGGCTGGCAAGTGATGATGGTTGCTTAGAGAAGAAGTTAAATATTCAGTGACCCATGTGGAAAGTATACTTACAGTTTTCTGAGAAGACTGGATTTGTCAGAACATAATTCAACACATGACTCTGTCTTTCAAAGGGGCACTGCAACAAGAAATCACACTGACTTGTGATCACTTTCAAAACCACTGACAATGAAAGCAAAAACGGATCCAGATGCTGAAGATATTTAAAGGGATAATAACTCTTCGTTTTGGCCAAAAAATGCATTTTCCTGGAGTAAACAACAATTTTCCCATACTTACCAATGGTTAATGAATCCATTTTTACATTCAAAGTTAGTCCCTGGTTTTTTTCTATAAAGTATTGTTTTTTGTTAAAATCTCTTAAGAGATTATAACAGAGTATAGCCATCAATGGCGGTCACGTGGTCTGACGACAAGCTCAAATATAAGAATAATAGCTATAACTGCCGTTGTTGTGGTAAAACAGAATATATTATATTTCTATGAGTTATTCACTATGTTTTTATTGTGAAATATAGATCTCATACGAAGAGTTATTATCCCTTTAAATGAAAGCTCACATATGACTTCCTGTTAGGCGACAAGAGTAATGGCATGCATATCTGTGATTAGTAAATTAGAAAATTGTAAGTTTTTACAGGGGTTATTAACAACAGATATTCCAGCTATGGACTTGAATTTGTCAAATGAGCACTGGAACACAAAATCACCCAATTAGAGATTTCTTTCGCCTTACACTGCTTTAAATCACATGTCTTCAAAAACTAGGCTGAGGTTATAAATGGATACAGCTAAAACAATAACATCATCCTTGTATCAATTCATGGTGCATGCATATTTTCTGCTCTGACAAATTATGAAATCAAACTTTATTCAAATATACAAGACAAATGTGTAGCAGTCACGGCATGAAGTTCACAGACAGCATCAAATCCCTTTGGCAACATGCAATATTGATAAGGAGAATCTAACATGATAATTTTAAACTACGAAACAAGTGGCCTAATCTGATGTTTCCAAGGAGATATCCAAACAGGGTATAAAGCATCAGCACAAAACAGAACTTTTTATGACTGATAATACCTATACTTATATACGTCTGGATTACGTTATATTAACATTCAGATAAAGATTATATATATAGGCACCTAACTTGTTTTTCAATTTCATCTTTTTTAATGAAAAGAAAATCTACACAAACACACACAAAAATAACATTACGAATTACAAAAATGAAATGGGGAAAAACTATATGCACACAATCCCAAGGCAGCTGCGACTTTCGGTGAACTTATCTTTTGTCAACCAGTGTCATTTATGATCATTTAACGGCTGCAGTGCATATATTGTCTGAGTTGCATATGGCTATAAAATGATAGGACCAGAGGAACTAGTATAACACACCTGGCCAGGACTACCACGCATTACAATAACTGTTAAAAAGTTCAGAAGGTGACAGACAGACTTGATAGCCATAGATAAAGCAGTTTGTGCAATTTGAGCTATTAATATGATCAAAATTTAAATAATAGATAAACTTGATTAAGGGCAAATTATCAATCAATACATATATTTTTACTTTTTATACCATTTAACTTCAAAGATGGAAGAGCAATAAAAATCAGTTTTTGCACTCTGAACTATTACTATGTCCACACTTGACTTGATACATTCAAATAAGATATTCATTTACCTCAACTTGCTTCCACGTAATAAACTCGGTTATCTGTTTGGCCAGCTGCCAGAATTTCTGTAAATAAAAAAAAAAAAACAAACAAACAAAGGTTAAATGAGGTGTCTACTAATGAAGGTCTTTCTGTCCTTTACACAGAAACATATCACATACATCTTGCAATTATGGGCCTAGATATTTCCTTGCTTCATAATAACCCATGTGAAATATAGTATCATTGAGCATTATTTAAGTCGTAATAATAGGTCTAGATATTTCCTGGCTTGACAACAACCCATATTAGATATAGTATCATTTAGCATAATTTTAGTCCAACTTAATCCACATACTGAACACCTTATTCATTATAAACTGAAATGATGTATATGAACAGTCATATCTAAAAACAAAATTCTAATTTCCGAAATGGTGTGAAGCATGTTAGCAACAAACAAGAAGCTTCCTTTCAGTAAATATGGGAAACCATATATATATATATATATATATTTTTTTTTTTTTTGGTATAACTAAAGCAAGAACAAAACCCACTTTGCACCAAACCACATTTAAAGGTTTTACCATGAAAAACACCCTTTACCTCAAGGCTACAGCTTCTAGCTATCATCAAAAATTTGGCTACACTGTAGCACATCAACACTGTTCTAAATAATGCATCTTTTACAATACATGCCACCATGAGAATTAACACTGCACTATATACATCATAGCAGCCTATGTTTATTTTTGAATTATCAGATGTGATTAACTAATGCAGAATAAAATTGGATCCTTTTAAATGTTTTTTTTTCTGGTTGAGGTTATCTATATGAGCAATATGAGTCAAATATAAGTCAACTTTGAGAGCCAGACATTACAATTATAACAGATGAACAAGCTCAAGCTCTGACTCCATTGTGATCACTGCCAAGATAGCTCTGGCTGATGAATCATTTTACTAAAAAGAGTCATTAGATTCCAATAGAAACTTATTGAAAAAATAATTAATATTTCAATAGGCGTGAATCTGACAAAATATTCAAAACTGTACTTCCGAGTTATCAAATTTCAATAAAGTTACTTAGCAATTCTGGGGCCAGTTTTGTAAAGCCATCATGTCCTAACAGTAGAAAGTTACAGTAGAAACTCATTGACTTAGTTATTATCTTTACATTGTTTCCTAAAAACAGAGATTTGGATGGTAACCTCTGTAAGAAGAAAATCTTAGCTAACAATGGTGTCATGATTAACATTTGAAAGCAAGAAAAGGTAAAAAGTCCAATAAAGGACTTAGACACATTAAATGAATAGTTAACCTCCAAAACGCGGACTTATTTTTTTTCTATTGCTCAAGGATATGCTTGATAATGGGTTCTGGGAATATGTGGGTATGTACTTTGAACTAACAGGTTCTGATACATTAACTAACATTAATTATTAATATGATGTGTTTGCATTTCATGGTTTTTGCAGTTCTAAGTCAATAAACAAATTTGTGCTTGAGTTTCTTACTATATGCTCATGTCTTCTTTAATATAGCAGGTTTACAATTACAATTCATGCAACTGAAATCTCATTATTTATTGTTAATATCATGCATAATTTTCAGTCTTTGTCAATAAGTTCTACTTTGACAAAGAAGATTAGAATGTCAAGAAAAGAGGAAAACGTGTCCTCTTGTAACCTCATATCTCTGTTTCATTTTTGTAGCAGTTCATAGAAAATCCGATATTTTTTTCTCCAGATAAAAGGAAATCCTCTATAAGAGTGGAAATTCCTATCACTGTGTATTTTAGGTAAGAAAGCAGTCATAATGACAGAGCAATATGTAAGAAAATTATTCCTAACTGCTCTCTTTCATATCTGCTCAAATACTTTCAATCTATTAAACATAATGTAGTTCACTCTCATTCCTTTCCACCTTGCAGCTATGATGGATAGGGCTGATTATGTTTGCTTGAGTATCTAAAACTAAGAGGGTAAACTCTGGTACAGTGGTTTACAATTAAAATCTTTCTTTAAAGAAAGACTTTATGTCATCAATTTGTCATGATCCAGCTTGGAAGTCAGCCACTGTTATCACATCTGAGGTGCTGCAAGAGTGATCAGGACTACAGAGAAATGGGGGGAAAAAAGCTCACAAAATCTGTCAGAACCTTGAGCCAGTGTTTATATGGTTTAATTTCATGAAAATTGATTTTTCCTGGACAGATGAATCACACCTAACAACAGAGAGGCAAAGTTCTGAAACCAAGCACTTCTGCAAAATGTATATAACCTAATTTGCAATGCACTTATGTTGTCACGCAAGTCTCTAAAGGACATCACAGTTTTAGTCATCCCTTTACTTTAAATATATTTTAAAGATTATAATTTGGCTGTGTATACAAATAAAATCCATCATTTCTTTGTGCATTTTATTACGTTATATTCAGGCTCCTCATAGATAGTGTGTGTGTGTGTGTGTGTGTGTGTGTATGTGCATGCGTGCACACACATGCATTTTTTTATGTGCATGCATGCACACACAGTAAAAATAAGTCAAGGTCTAAATCAAACTATGACTGTACTGTATAACAGGAACCTTTATCATCTGTTTATCTAGCAAATGAAACCTACCTCGAAGTTGATATGACCATTTGGTAATCTGAAAAATAGATAAATAATGAATCAGTATACAGTTGAGTTACATGTGATACTACATTCAAATAAAACCATCACGGACTTTGCAGATATCCAGGCTTTAAAGACATTAGTAATCTAGACTGATGTTTATAAAAGCTTTGCAGTTAAAATTAGTCATGGAAGAAACGCATGAAAAATCAATAGTTGATGCAGACTAGACATTATTGAGTAGACAGATAAAACGGCCTCGGCAAGATAATATGCCATCTTCACGCAGCAGACCGTAGACCTTTCAAATCCAAATATGAGTTTGAATTTTTCTATTCTGGATTTGAACAGGCCCTGTTTGATACTAAAAATACATATTACACTAAACAAGTGGGTCAGCCCCTAAACAACAAAGTGAGATCCACTGTAAAATATGGACAGTTAGGAATATTTTAATGTTTGAATGCCTCTCTAAAAATCAACTATGGCAGAAGGGCAGTGACATAAAAGATGAAAAATATAAAGCTGTTTTCCCAGTACAACATACCTGTTGGCACATCCTTCATTTAGAAAATAAATGTCTTTCACAAGAAGACTGAAGAATGGAATGACTATCTGTAACAGAATATAAAGACCATTAAGTATAATTAATAAATTTCATTTACATAACACAATATATTTAAGAAGATTTATAGGGCCAGGTGGTAGATTAATACAAAAATAAGTACAATACACATCAATGAAAATGAATTCTTTGGTACTTGAAACAGATTGCATATTCAAAAATTTTATATGATATCCTTGTAAAAATTGTAACCACAGGGGGCAGCACCTTACAGTGTCTTTTTGAGATCTCTTTATTCATATTATCATAGAACAATTTATACACATTTTTTTCTTTTTGAATCTATGTACTTTTAAGCAGTCCAAGCATCTTTTTACCTTTTCTGTATCATACCCTCCTTAAGTTAACAAACATATACAGTCCTGCTTATCTTATCTAAGTGGTGGTTGGCTGATAAATATTATAAATATTCCACTTTTGATATATCTCAACAACACTCGAGCTGTGCAAAACTGGTACCATATCAAAGGTAGTAAAATGTTTATTTGTGCCAGCTAAGAGGCCAATTTAGGTTACAATCGCAGATAAAGATCAATAAATGTCATGCAATACATACTTATTATAACCATTTAGATTGTCCTATCATGTATTAGAAGTTATACATCCTGAATCACTGTAAGGGGTTTTCATTTTGTTATTCACCAGCCATACTGCGTGAGCGTTGGTCAAGAGTTTTAGAGCTCCTGACAATAATTAGGATTTCCAAGTTGACGATCAGGGCTCCGTAACTCGAAAGCATCACAAATTGCGACCAAGCGCAAGAGTCTCTATTCCATAACTCGGGATTTACTCGCCCCATTTAATAGCCTTGAAATGAAAGGTGATATTGCTATCACAATTTGCGATGTTTTCGAGTTTTGAGTTAAAAACTGTAAAATCCTGTTTGAATTTGGCAAAAATAAAAGCAGTTTGAACTGGTCAAAAATTCATCAACCTCATTGGTTTCTATTAATGAGTCTTGTACTACTTAAGAAGGAGGAGATAAAAATAGCTAGTACAAAGCAAACCTGAAACTTACTAGTCATACATAAAGGGAACAACCCTATGACTACTAGAAAATTTACTTTCACTGTCATGTTCTTGTACAATTAGACCTATGCTAACATAAAATATATTTGTTAAACCTTGAAGATAACCACACTTGGTTTGAGGAAGTAAAATTAAAAATTTTGCCTAATCATAAATGTTTCGAATCAATGGTTTGATTTGGCTAAAACATATCAGGATATCAGCTATTTGGCTACAATAAGATGTATAAAAGTGAGCCACCCTATTCAAGAAGTTTTTGTAGACCCACCTTTTCTCTCTCTTCCACAGCCCCCTCGCACCTCCATAAGGCTGCCTTCAGCGTAGACCTGTAACTACTGAAGTTGTTTGATGGATCCATTTGGTGCTGGAAAATAAATATCAACCTGTTTGATACAGTTTTTATAAACTATGATACAACATTAAATTATACCACCTTTAATATTGACAGAGCAGAACAACAGTTTTCAAAACATTTTTTGGGTCGAGTGGTGATTCATTTTAAGGGGCAAAAAATGCTAGTCTTACATCCTATTATAGATAATTCTGTATGTTTCATGTACTATACAGCACTGAAACCTGACAACGTTATGGTGCTTATGCATACATATCCATATAAACCAGATGTTCAAACAGCAGTTATGTGCGGGTTGATTACATATAGAAACTAAATGAAAAATTTACTTTAAGACAAAAGTGGTATGGTTACATTTTCACCTCATTTTACATCCGCAAGAGCAAATTTTTTTTTCTTTTTATGTGGAAAATCGATCAAAATATTTATGTAAACATGAGCCAACCCCACATGCCATTCTTCAGACTAATTGTGGTGGTCTTACCTCAAGTATTTCAAACTTCTGTGTGTTGACTTTAGACCACTGTGAAAAAAAGAAACATGTTGCATATAAATGCAATAATTTTTTTTAGAAAAAAAAGGAAATGCTTAATATTTTGACCCTAGCAAGGTTCTTTGCTCATGTAATAGTAGTTCTAATATTGTTAACATACTTCAAATAAACAAATTAAAAATGTCCAGCCAGCCAGCTGATTTCATTAAAGAACGCCATACATCACTTCATGAAAATAAATCAGGTTCTTAATATAAAAAAGAATTATGATCAAAATAAGATTGCAAATGAAACAAAGCAATTTAAAAGTTATTAAGTTTGCTATCAAAAGTCAACTTACTGTTTTCTTTAATCTGGCAACTGGACTCATATTCATACCCGCTATAAAAATATGAAATTATCTATTTATTGCATGATTTAACAGAACAATTAGTTGAATGTGATATAGATTATTTTTCCTCCTTTCATCATTTACTCTAGAACAATAGCATAAACATGCACAACTTGCAAAAGCTCTGAAATTAAATATTTTAACTGGTGTTTGGTAACTTCTTTCATTAACATTAAATCCAGTATGTATAAAAAACTTTTAATAGTCAATGTTTGAAACAAAATATAAGAAATGAGATAATAATTTCAGTGGTCATATCTTACCAATGATAGCCATTAGAGAATTGAAGTTCCCAATGTTGAAGCACTCCTTAGCAACATCAACAAAGTATTCTATTGTGCGTACTCTGTGCTTCTTTTTTAAATGCTGCAAACACAGAAAGTGTGATGTGAGCATCAATGTAAAATTTATTAATTTTGTTACATAACCTTTTTGTCATAAAGTTTTATTATTTTCAATTTTTTTTGTCCATATTTTACCTTATAACACTGAACTTTGCAAATGGTGTATAAAACAGAAGTGTGGGCAACAAAATCTCATCAGACAAATTTCTTACCATGCAAATTTCTGTGGCCACTAAGTAGCTTAATCTGTTAAACCACTGCACATATGCTTCTAAATTGCTGGTTTTCTTCATGTCATCGTATGAGGTCTGAAATAAAGTTTGACCATCTTTTAAAAGTGAGTTTTATGCATGTCATATAGTTCATAAATTTGCAAGTTTAAGGATTTTTCAGAATAACAAAATTCCATGCACCATTCTTTTTTTTTTTTTTTGTAATGAACAATCATTAAAAATATTTGATGACAATATCACTCTTCAGGTACTCTCTCTCCTTAATTTTTCAAATATTTAATTATTTATTTGGAAAGGGGCAAATATTTACATAAAACACATTTTTAATTCACCCAACTTTTTATTGGTTGAAATATGTTTACTCTACCTGTAATTCATTTTCCTTGGCAAATGCCTGTACAAATTCTTCAGGCCCTATGTTTGTGAGCCTTTCCTAAAATTTAATTAAAGCACATATATAACTATGAAGCAAATTTTAAAGAAACCATTAAATAAACTATTGAAACAACTACCACATTTTCAGATAGATTATGCATTTTATGTTCACTGATGTAACAAATCTGCTTTGATATTTGGTATTAAACAACAAAGAAAATTGACATTTAACTTGCTAAATCACAAAAAAGGATAACAAAATAATTATATCTTAGCACTGTGTGCAAGAAAAAGTGGTTATGTAACTACACTGCACTTACCAGCTCTATGTGTGTAAGTTGCTGAGCCAAATCTAGTGGACTTGGGCACATTTGGACGATATCAGTCTAAAGTAGAATAGAAAAATATGTAAATATTAAAATATATAAAATGTCCATTCTGCCACACATAAATAATTGACTTAGGAAATAAACACAATTATTTGATAATAAATAATACACTAAATCAAATATAAAAAGTAAAACATTTTGTGAAACAAGCAAAGTCCTTATAGCATTCCTGCTGACATGTTTTTTATATCTGAACTTAACCCACTACAATAAAGACAGGCCAAGAAAAACCCATCAATACTAATCATTAAAAAAATACAACAATTAATTAGTATCTGGTGCCAATGTCCTATAGAACAAAAAGAAACAACTGTTAGCAAATCAATACCTCAAAATACACCCCAGGCCTATAAAACTGTGTTTGCAGTACGTAAGTAAACACTGCTGGTGCCTTGTTGGCATTAGCAATAAAACATGGAAAACATTTTGGAAAGCTAATCAATGATGTGTTAATAACACAGGGACCTCCCATGCTAATAGGGGTTACCACGTAATTCTAGAAGCTAAGTAAATGAATCTCTTACCGTTGGCACAATGTGTTTTAGTCTCTGAGTGGCCTCTGCATTGATCTTTTGAAGTGCTTCTTCATATTTCTGTAAACTAGACAACTAGAAGAAAAGGAAACAATTCTTAAGCCTTCATCTTATATACTTATGGTCAGAACAAATGAGATTTTTAAAACCATTGCCAAAGTTTAAATACATTTTTTTAGATTTCAGACATGATCATCATTAAAAAGCAACATGGTATTTAAAATAGTATGTTATCAACCTTTTCAAGGCATGAGAAAGTGCGACTTTACCAGCCAACTTCCTCTACTCTTAAAAAAAACAAGTTGTCTAACAATGAATGAGTCTTTTAAAAAATCTGCAACCTCTTTAATAATGAAACTTCAGCATTAAACTCACCTTTGTAATTAGGTCATGCATGATCATGCCAACTTCTTTCCTTAACTCAGGATATATCGTCACTATCTTCTGTGTGATTTCCTTCAACTGTTTCATCATACGCTCATCCCTGAAGTCATATGGAAGCATTTCTGTCCACTCCCTGAAAACAAATTGAGAGGCATGAAGTTAGCACATCTGAAGGGATAGAATCTGGGCCTTTTTTCTAAATTGCATTTGTACTGCTTCTTTACTTAAAGTAATCTTCACCTTTTTCCAGAGGGAAGGTTTTGGAACTCTAACTGCTGATGCCAATGATAGCAGATCTGGTATAACAAAATTTACTGCTTCTTAACATGGTATAACTGTAACAAATACATGTATAAACTGAAACCTGTATAACATATTTTGCCTGCATCTTGTACTTAAAGGGTCCATTAAAAGAAACTTCAATTAATGAAGAGTTTCATTTGATGACTCCCAATGCCAGCTAATAGTAACTTCATGAACATTGCCCCCTGTTTAGTATATTTTTCAGAAATAATGTGATCCAAATATATACAAATGACAGATATACCCACATTCAGACTTATAAATGATGAAAAATATTTTTGATTTTTTTTTTTTTTTTTTTTTTTTGTCTTTTAAAAAAGAGGGTGGGATGATCAAATTTGGCCAGAAACCTTTTAAGATGATCATTAACACTTCCACAATTTTCAAATTACGCACTGTTGCACGACTGTTTCAATCCATACCAAAAGTGAAATGGGAGATCAATCTCTCTCATTAAATATAGATAAATCCTAGTATCAAGATAACAAAATCAATACAATGCCAGTTTATCATTTTGTACTGTTTTTGTTGTCATTGCTTAACAACGTAAAGATTCCTAATCTGATCAATGCTGTTAGGCTTACTCCTGCAAAGATAACATAAATCATTTCAAAATACACATTTGTCACTAATAAACAAAACTTACCCTAATAACTGAATGATATTTGGACCAAATTTCCCTAATTTTTCCTGAAAAAAAAGATGAAATCTGATGACTACTTTCCAGAGACAGAATCTATTCATTAAGTCTAGAAATCAAAACCACCCACATTCAATGATTTTTAGTTTGTGTTCACATCCTTTTTTTAACTGTACAGAAATGGTACCTTATACTTTCAGGCATCAATTTTTGTTCTCAAATTTATTTCTATCTAAATTGTTTCCTGTAACTTTTTAAAGGACTAAACATTATTTACTTGAGGTAACAATAGGAATATGAGACATAGCCTTCAGCTACTTGCTCCTCCTTTCAAAAAACTCTGTGACCCATTAAAAGGAGTGTTTATTTACAATGACCATTGTTCTGTGAATTGTTAACACCCCTGACAGTTTACCTTGTTGACCTTTTCTCCATCTTCTAAGTGCTGTTGTGACTTGCAAAGCTGGAATATAGTTAATGACAAATAAAATTATTTTAAAAGTTGACATGGACATATTTGCTCCTAACAACATGGCCTTACCCAAATGACTATGTTTTAACACAACCTTAAAAGATGTAAAACTTTCATGGAATAATTAATAGTAAGCATCAACAGCTAAACACACAATGCATCACCTAAATGAGAGAAATAAAATTATCTGAGGTAAAAGAAAACATTGCTCATACATGCCATACCACACAGACAAAACTGCAATAAGAACTTGCAGAAAGAAAGAGTAGATCCTCTGAGGAAAAAACAAAAAATAATTTCCTATGGGGTAAATGGCAAGACTGTAATTCAAAATCCATAAGCATATACATTCCAGTTAATAGACTGAGGGTTAATGGACCTACCCTATCATTTTGACATGATACTAGAATCTCACAAAACATCAGTCTACCACATCGATCAAAAAAGTGTATTCTCACCTTGCAGACTTCTTTTAGCAACTCATGAGGCCTTGCATACAACCGAGAACTCAAAAGGAATGCAAAAGTGTATGTCCTCTGAAAATTTCAAAAACAATCATTTCAAAAAGGCTTTTTAATTTAAAAAAAGAAGACAATGTATAAGGCATAAAGCCTGCTTCACTAATGCAGACAAGTAAAGTTTTGCATTAAACATGATTGCAATTATCCTTATTTATTAAATAAGACTGTGGGGAACTGAACTTGTCATCAATGAGTGGTTTAGTTATTTCAGATGATTAGAAAGAAAAGAGCTATCATTTTATGTGGAGTCCTACTTGCTATTACGATAAACTATCAATCTCACTTAAATAATCACACAATACAATTTTTCATATGAAAAAAAAATACATTTGGATGACTCATGTGCAAAAACAATATCATTGGCCATGACTACAAAAAGAGATTTTCCAAGCAAATCTTAGAAGAAATCATCTGTAATTTAATAAAAGTGCATTACTCACATCTGGATAGTATTCTGCTGTGGGTACAAGATGGCGAATCAAGGCGTCAAGCGATCCTGCCAGGAGGTTCCCGTCTTGGAAGATCAGTGCCTGATTAGCAAAAATAAACACCCAATTAGCATCATCAGAGACACAAGTTTATCAATTAACTGAGTCAACCTAGTTTTTATTGAAATCAGATGTGGCTGCTGCTCCCGTGTAAGCCAGAAACAACCCGCCACCTCTGGAGTTTTCAAACAGTTCCACGCCTGTACCTTTATAATTAGAAAATTGTCTAAAAGATGTTGAGGCCAAATGTGAGTACTTGGCCCTGCATTCACTTAAAAACAATTCGTTTCACTGGTGTTTCCTATATTTGAATCCTCTTCTCTCTCGGCAGGTTAGGATTTTGATTCAGTCCAATTTTCACTATGACAAAATTATAGGATGTAGCATTGATTACATAGTTCAGGAGATATTCTTGGAATTTATATCATAAAATAAACACAAACAAACACACAATTAATGATACCAATAACACAGTACGTCGCACACAAAAAAATATAACCAAAATTTAATAATGCATGGACTGAATAACAACAGCTGAAATAAATAGAATAACGACAAACAATACCTTTTCGAGCCACATCTGGGACTGACCATTGCACAAGTCCGTAATCAGCATGACAGGTAATTGAAATGAAACTAGGAACACAACAACAACAGCAGCACACCACAAAAACTAGCTGCCCACTGACAGCAACTGATCCAAAAAATTCACAAACAACCTTGCGATGAAAAACAGGATTCTGTCTGAAAGCACTTACAGTTGAAGCTACATACGGCCAGCTTGTTGGCTTCCGCAACTGAAACCATGAGAAATACGGAAACCAGTGAACCCACACATGCTCAGGAAACAGGCTAAAAACAGGGTCATGAAAACTGTGGTAAAAGTGCTACTAATAATATCATGCCTTAAAACTCCTACGTTTCTAGAATACCACAACATCCATACAAAGACATTACTCTCTTATGAATAACTGGAAATCAAAATAGTGGACATATGTCATCTTAAAATTTTCTGGACTTTTTATAACACTCTGACATTTTTTTTTCATTTTGTTTAGATGCAGAGGAAGTCATCTGGAGGAGCAGCATAAATAACCATTCAATTTTTAATGTTTTGGTTTTGAAATGTGAAACCTGTTTTTTGCAAAACAGCCATTAGTGGCTTCTTTTTCTTAGTACTCCTCTTTAAAACTGAACTGAGTATACATTCTATTTTTGCAACCAGGATCTGTTCAGGCTCCATTTCAATCATAATGGACAGAATATTTTGACTACTTGTACAATATATTAGATTTATTACTCATCTTCACTTCACATCACGCCCACATAAGATCATTGCACAATGCAGTGGGCCTGTGACCTAATACTACATTTCCTACTGAACATAACTGGGCAGCAGTTTGCTTTCATCTCTGGTAACATCTATCTGTCTGTCAGTCAAGTATGTCTATGCCTGTCTATCATTACTGTCTCTCTCTCTGCTTGCCTGTCTAGTCTGTCTGTCTGTCTGCCCTTATCAGAAACTGAAAACCTGAGAAACTTTTTTGTCTGGGATTTAAAAAAATGATTATAATTTTTTTAAAAATAAATTAAATGGTGGAATTTTATTCTATTCTAGAAAAGATTTAAAAAAACATCTTTATGTTTATTTATCTTGGTATTAATGTGACATTTTCAGACGAAAAGAGTGCACGAGAAAGGAAAAAATTCTCAGGATTGTCTACGTTAATCAAAATGGACATCATCCCCTTATGAACTCTTTTTCAACAACTGGGCAAAAAAGATAACCACCAACTGAGTTCAAGAAAAAAGAGAAGATAATGTCATTTTTTCCAAACAAATCTTTAAAAAAAAGAGATTTCCTCTCTGAAATTTGATCTCATCAGAAATTGTGCAGGGTCATTCATTTCCTTGGCAAATTCCCACCATGGATGCCTCCTCCTGTGGTTCTCTATCTACCTCACATCTCTCCACATTACGGCAATGGGAGACCACAGCATAAACATAGTCAATGGCTTGGTTAAGACAATGAATGGCACAGGCAGGGTGGTGGTGATATCAATTACACTGACTCCACTATTAGTACTACTACAAATGGGAATCACACAGACAGAAGAGTATCGCTGTCAAGAAATGGGTTGTTTTCTCCCATTATCTTCTATCTTGTGTTTCAAACTTTTGACTTGGGTTACTTTTCCAACCAAAACTCCCCATTATCCCAGTATTCTCACTTCCATATTAGATCAATTTACTGTGCACACCCAGACATTATTTTTCAAAATAAATTTCTTTCATAGTATCTTTTGTCACCATTATTCTCTTGATCACAATCTTAATGCGTCATTCTTCTTCCAGTAATATTTCCATCATACTTCCTTAAACGAATTGTTTTTCATAACATCCTTCATATTTCAAAGCAGTAATCCTACTATTTATATCATCTTTCTAAATTCCCTTAGAATATTTATTCTTTTCTGAGGGTCTTCAGTGCATTTCTATGTCAAAGCAGAAGATAAAGTGACCAAAGAGCTTAGTACAGGGAGATTAACATTCCAGGACATCATGGAGGCATGCAACAATCCTTTACAGAAAAATAATCATCACAGCACTGGCCACCATCAATGGCCAGTAAAGAATAAATTTCATTGTCTTCTGCTAGACATATCAAGGTCACATGATTGAAAATAGATACAGGAGGCCAGGGATGGAGAATTAACTGAGGGATGATCAAGTATCCCTCTCAGACAACAGACAGCCACTCTCTCCTTGCAAAACAGATCAGTGGCCTAATGATGACCAACAAGAATCCAGCCCAAAATAGAGGATGGTAATTGCATTTCCTTTCTCAAAAACCTCTTTGTAAACATGTCAAGTTGTCACAATGCCAGCCTCAATATAGGAAAGAGTTTGCGATGCCACTACAGGATTTTGTTTTGAAAAATTTTGTCCTCTTTCCCACAACATTTCCTGACATGGTACACGACTCTTACATCATTGTGTAATACACTGTCTAGTTATATTTATAAGCAGATTTAAGAATGTACCGCATATGAACTACATGTGCTCAAAATCTGAGACTGCTCTAACAGCAAGTCGAAATGGCAGTATTGTAAATGTGCACAAGGTGAAAATTTGCTTACAGTGATCCTGCTTTGCAGCATATCATAACAGCAGCATTGACAGTACAGACAGCAGCATTGTTGATGTACAGTAGGGACATAATTAACTTCTAATGTATTTGCACAACAAAAAGTAGTCATCTTTGCACCTGTGCATATGAATCTTATCATGTGCTACAGGCAATTCTAGTACACAGCAACACTCTTGGAAGCATCATAATGTTCCCTCAATCACTTAAAGCAAAACACACCATATCAACTGTGCCTGGATAATGACTGTATCTCGGTGTAAAAACACTACATTTAATAACTATATTGTATTTCTGTAATTCCCACATCAATCAAACATACTCAGCCAAGCTTAATTATATGAACCAGGAGTAGTTAAAGGCAACTTCAATTTCTTTTGATATTCCCAAATGATTAGGATCAATCAATTGAAAAATAACAATAACATATCTTTACTTATTGCGTTCACAATTATCATTACCATTAAAAACTTGACAACAAAATATCCAGAGCAATAAATTGCTTATATTCATTAGCCATGACCAGAATACAAAAGATATCCATCATGAGAAATAAATATAACATACAGACTTAGCACTTAAAGCATTTGTGTCAACTGCCAGTAAGAAAATCAAAAATGTATCAAAAGAAATTCTTACTGTATGTTTTATCTCATCTGCCTACTTACATCATTTTCATCTACAGTGAGTCCATCATATCCATCCCCAGATGAGCGGAACATGTGGCACAGACTCATCATCTGGGGACCAATACTCTGAAAATAAATGAGGAAGATTGTATTATATTAAATGACATCACCAAGTAAAAATCAGCAAGAGAAAAAAACTGTCAATGTGTACACAAATCCACATGCATGCTGTATCTCTGTGCACACCCACACACACACACACACACATACACACACACACCTTGTAAATCTCAGGTACCTATGATACTTTAAAAAAACCATGCATCCTGAAAGATATAAATAATCCTTACTAGTATATAAATTTTTTTAACTAAAAAAAAAACCACAACAAAATAGTATTTTATCTCTGTCCATATGACAGTCATACTTTTAGGAAGTTCTTCATGCTAGATGTCCAGCTCTCGAAGTGTCCAGTCTTGCCATGTAAGTCATTCAGACCAAATGGTCAAGTCACACTGACCAGTAAGTAGTCCTACCAAAATTTTGTGACAATCTTGCATCAGCTCGGCACCGAACTTCCTCAAAAGGGTGCAGGTACAATGCTAATGATGTCCAAGATGACATCAAAGTACTTTTGCAATATTTTCTACGATACAGGGTATAGGTGATTATGACAGTCTCTGGGCTATTAATTATGCATAATATATATCTTGTTGAATGACAGGTGCCTTTGGTGCAAAAAAGGGCTGTGCTACAACTTATTCAATTTTTCTCAAAAATGAAACACTTCAATCACTAACTGGAATCATTAAAATGCAACATCCATACTTTACTTTACAATGTATTCAACCTTTTTAAAAACCTCAAAATTTTGATACACTTTTTCTTCTTGCGTCATAGAATTATGGCAGGACATTATTAATTTATGACATGACAGGAAGTGTACTTCATGGGATAGAACATGCCACTGTGCACTGGATGAAAGTGAAGCATCTTTCACTGAAAGGTTCTGATCAGGCTGTCTCAGCAGGAATGTAGGGATTTGTGGTTTTACTCAATCTGGACCCAATTCCTGCCAAAACTACACAAACCACTGTCTAACTGGATTTAACCTCTCAAAACCCAACTCTCAAGAGAAAAATAGAATTAAAGCATATGCTTCAAATTTTAGGTTTGTTGTGGTTTCACTGAAAGCACATCATAATCTTTTTAAGTCTCTGAACTGCCCAACTGCTAAAATTATGCATACAAAAGGCATATAATTGTAATTATGACCTCTAATTATATTAGGGGATTCTTGATTACATATTAATAACATGCAATGCATGCCAAGTGCAACTTCATTCTACATGGGACAAAACAGTTCCCAGATTAGAACCAGCATTCAGATTTTGCCTAGGGTTTCTAATGATGTAGAATAACTCTGGACTTAAGTAATGTTTAGGCAAATACTATATCATGTTTAGACAACATTTTGTGACACTGGAAGCCCTAACAGCTTTGAAACATGTTATCAAGATTGATTTTTAGTTTTTTTTGCTAGTGTACATGGTGCTTTATCAATAAGAATTATTGTTCAGCAACAGTGGTTTTACATTTGTTCATCATACAAATAAAACAGACACATAGCATAATGTTATCTAGAACTAACCCAAAAGGTGCCAGTATCTTTCTAGGAAATTGGCCAAGGTTAGTGTTACAAATCCACTTTCCTTTCACCCATAAATGTCAATCACCTAAGACGTGTATAAAAGGAAGACCTTCATCTAACAACATATTAACATAACGAAGCTTCTAGCTACAACATTGTACTTCATCAATTGATGTACAACAGCATATATTAGAAAGAGCACTGTGGCAGCTAACCTGAACACCAACCAATTAGACACTAAGTGTATGTAAACAAATTTGCATTTTTGTGTCAGGTTTGGGTGAATAACACATATTTACATTTACATAAAAATAAAACATGAAAATAAATATAACAATCCTTGACACATTTTTGGTTAAACAATGCAAATAATGTGGGTTAGTCATATTCTAAATAAATCAGGATAAGGAAAAAGAATATTCCCTAAATCACAGTGGTATCCCCTAATGGTCCTCTGTTTAGAAATAATCAAAGTCTGCCCCAGCCCTAGTATTTACGTCAATGCCATCCATATTGAAACATTATTCTTGGAAATGTACATTATAGAATAACAAGATGAGTGCATTGCCTTCATGGTTGTAAAAATCACCTGTAGAACTCGACCTTTTGGATTCACCCTACATATACGAAACCACCCCGTTTTCAGCCCTGTATCCCTTTCCTGATACAACCAAGTATAATATACTGAATATAGACATTACCTCATTGGTTACAAAAGCATTTTTTTCAAATTGGAAAACATCCTTATTTTGAAAACATTCCATGCAACCTGACCTTTCAAGCTTCACCCTATGAAGTGGAAACCACTGTGTTTATAATAACCAAGTACCCCGATCTCCTTCCCCCCACCCACACACACCACACATCAATACACTGAGCCAAGGAATGGCAGGTATTTCATACATGGAGTCCATCACTACTCACCGTTGAAAAATCTATCTATATCTTGTCCAGAAATTTGTATCAATGAATTACTAACCACACTGGAATTCCAAACACAACAGCCCAGCTGAGTTCTATTTTTTTCCAAGAGTCTGTAGGTCTTTTCACTGACAATAATAAAAGACAGTCTGGGGACCATAACCCTTCAATACTGGTAAATAGTCTTCCCTGCTGTAAATAACCATGGGAAATCACGCTGCCACTGACTTCTTAGCTCTGATCAACTGTCATCATATTCTATCCATATTGGTCACCACCCTAGAAATAGCCCTGGTCAATCAATGGTTCTCCTCCAGGGAATAAATTACTCATTGATTGATCACAGAGTACTGGAAATCCTGAATCACAATAGTTTCCTCATATCGAAGTTGAATTTTAATGTACTACACTGCCCATTACTGAGTAAAATAAACAGGGGTTAGCAGTGAATAATTCTAAGAAAAACAATGGACATCAGAAACTATGATAGGGTTTAATCAGAAGTACTAGTAGAAAAACAGTAGACATCAGAAACTATGGCAGGATTTAATCAGAAGTACTAGTAGAAAAACAGTAGACATCAGAAACTATGATAGGGTTTAATCAGAAGTACTAGTAGAAAAACAGTTGACATCAGAAACTATGACAGGATTTAATCAGGAGTACTAGACATACCAGTCCTGCTCCATTCTGGTCACCCTGTTTTGCCAGTGGCTTGGCTTTACTCAGCATGTACTCTCCTTCACTTTTATATAGGCTAGGGATGCACGAGTTTCCAATGGACTTTGAAAGTCAGGGTGCTATCAGAGCAGCCAGAGAGTACATAAAAAAGATACCCACTTGTTCACAATGACACCTTGCTGTTTATGAACACAGGTGATTAAAAACAAGGATTAATATCAGACATCAATTCTATCTTATGGTCAATGAAATATCCATTTGAATAAACCCCAGGACCATTAATATGCATTCATTTCCTCCATACTCCAGTACACATTAACTGGTGCTTTTCACATTGTGATAAAAAAGAATATATCTACAGGATCTAGAGCAGTTTCATTCCTCTTGGGTGTTCACAGCACTGCTCTCAACTTATAAATCCAGTAACAAAATGGATGACTTTACTGGCTAGAGTTGCAATCACCATTTTATGTCTGATTTTCTGATGCATTTTTTGCAGTTGCAGGTCAAAAAGCATGAAACAGTTAAGAGCAGGTATCTGCTATTCATAATTTATATCTGCATAAAAATTGTGCACATAATCTTATTTGAAAGACTGAATCAAGCATTGGGAGGTATATAATAGGCAATGTACATAAAAAGAAAATAATCAAAACTGATATGAAATGATGTATCGCTGATTAAAAATGTGCTATAAAAGTTTGATGGAATGATTTGTAATTTCAAACACTTAATAAATATCTCCCTTCCAAACAAGATGATCTTGTGAGACTTCGTGGGTTACTGTTTGCATCCTTAAAGCATCCACTATACCTGTGATATTACTAAATGAAAGGCTGGCATAGCAAAAGAGTGCTCTTAGACAATAAAATATGTAATATAAATATATGCCACCATATAGTATACATAATATTGTGCATAATACAGGTAAGGCAAAGAGACAATTGCACTGTAAGTTACAGCTGCCAGTATTATCTCAGGGCTCCTTAACCTGTGCCATGAAACATCAAAGCCATGCCAAGATAACTGTAAAAATTATTGGCAATTATAGCTGGATTAGAACAGGTGAAAGTTATATAACTGTCAAACAGGTGACCATGCATAACACTGTCTGATTGAAAACATGAGATTCATTCAAGGACATGCGTTCTTGTGATGCTTAATTCAATATTAAGATTCTACATAAATATACATATTTATTATATATATTAATATGAAGATAAATACTGCCATGATTGGGATGCCCCTGGTGTGGCTGATATTCTGGTGTTAATTGATCTTAAGCTGGATTACATTTATAGAGCATAAGATAAGCAGACCCATCCTTCCTGGCAGAGTGTGATATCAGAAGGCCCCCTGGGAGAACAGCTGCTTTTTCTAGAATTGCCTGCTTGCTTCTCTCTCTCTCTCTCTCTCTCTCTCCCTCCCTCCCTCCCTCCCAAAGAACACAAATATGCAATTGACATTTTCTCATATGCTATGCAAAAATATATTTCATACATCATTTTATTCAGTTGGATTATGTCCTCTACTGCCCTATATCATTATATAAATGCTCTAATACATGCTGGTTTTTCCCATTAGCAGCCTGCATACAGCACTTCATTCCCTGACCACATATTCATCAAAAATTACCATAAACAAGAATTAATCAAGCCACTGTTATTTTGTCCCTGGTAAGCTGGGAAGATAAAAACACAGAGGCAGTGAAGCAATGAGCACAGCACAGGTATAGTGCCTAGGTTGTTCTGCTTGACAGCCTTACAAGAGGTCAAAGCAATATAGAAAGTTTAATGGTAATGGAAAACAACATGTACTAACACACTACGGTGGAGCCAAGGTGACTGTATGAAGCCTACCAAACCACAATATTTCTCAAAAGTAAATGATCTATTATAAAGAGCGATTCTTCATTTACTCACCCTTCTGGAGTCTTGGTGAGCTGGGGACTTGTCCTTCGCCAGCGTGCCAAATATTGAAGGCTGAAAAGAGCAGAATGGGGAATCTAGGTCAAAAAGCTTATTAAAAAGGTCTCTGAAAAAAGAGCTCTTTTATGAATAACAAAGGAGCAGGGACAGCAAGTGTGAATGAAGTCTGCTCATCTTGTCAGCAGCCACACACAATTCTTTACCTGATACTTTGCATGTAAACAGCCTCCTCCTTCTGAAAAACCATCCATTCCGATATCATAAACGCAGTAGTTGCAACACACACTTTTGATAGATAACCTATTGTTAGAAGTGTACATGTAAATCCGTAAAGCCTTCTCTGCCTCTGGCAAAAATCTGTGCTGTAAATATAGTTAATCTATGATGTAGTAGTGGTAGTAAACCCGAGTTTACAAGTGAAATGTTTCTCCTGCCTGTAATGTGTGACTGACTTCTGTGTGTTTATAAGATCTCTCTGAAGGGCTGCGTCTATCCAGCACACCCACATCTTCGTTTGAGTGTGGAGAGAGTAGCAAGTCACTGACTATAATTAGCTGCAGGATGCTTGGTGTAAGGTTTCTGCCAACTGCAGATGGCAGCAGAGGTAATGTGCACATTGCCTGTGGTACAGGTAAATTGGTCCCCTATGCCCATCACACATAAAAAAATACCTTTCCTGCTGGCCACATACTTTTTCTCTTTTAATAATTTATTACTGATATTAGTATAGCCAAAAAAAAGTATATATATGTAATACTTATTCGGCAAAGTGAATTTTAACCAGTGGCAAGCTTTCAATAAGATAATTCCTTCCCGCCCACATGTCTTCTTCAACCCATACTTTGAAACTGTGACTAAAAGGAAGTTCAAACTTTTTATGTTCTATAAATATGTCAGTCCCCAGATATAGTTTACATAGGTATTCCTCATCTTTTCACATCAGTTGGTATCAGTACAAAAAGTTAAGTAAACAGAAAAAAATAGAATATTAAGTTTTGCAAAATACCAATATGCCGCACACCAAAACTAGGAAAAACAGATAATATCTTACCCGGCTTTTGGGTGTCTGCTTCAAGCCTATAGCTGGCTGGCTTCTGGAGGACTGAAAACAGAAAAAGAAATATTCTTATTCATTCTTTCCATTTAAATAACATGATTCACTAGCCCTGTGAAAGATAGCAGAAAAATGAGCACCTTCTTATCGCCTCAGCAAAAACACAATATCTGCAATGTATTTTCTTACCAACAGAGTACAACTATCTTTGATAATATTGTATTCAAGGCAATGCCAGGAGCTTTTGGATGTGGAAGCTTCTATTTCTGGGCTTATGCCCAGGTTCAGAGTTACAGTATTATTCCTCTTACACAAAGATAGATAGCTAAATCCAATCGTGTCATATCTGTCTGGCAAAAGGGAAGAAACATGGTTATAAAGACAGTAGATGTAATATTCTCAAGCGTGGACCCTAATGATCATAATGCTGCCATAAATATGGATAATAAATAGACAAGAAGATGATGTCAGGGTAGATGCAGGCACAGAAATCAATACTGATCGGATTAAGTCATGCTCAGCCTCTCATTTAGATGTATTGGAACTTAATCAAATTAGGCAGAAAAAGAAAAAAAAAAGACCATCTCAATTTAACCTCTGTAAAGGGACATTTTTCAGCACTAAGAAAAAAATTCTTCACAAATTTGACAAAAATACTACCCAATTCTTCATATTTTTCCTCAGAGAAAGTGATCTGCTTTGTCTATTCTTTTAAGTTTAATAAGAAACTAAGCCAAGTCAATCAATAGCATTATTCCAACAGGATATGGAAATTATACTCTCGTCAGGGTCATGGTTTGCTATTGCTACAGACGATGATGATTGACTGGTGCAAATCCCATAAATGAAAAAAAACTAAACTGCCGGATTATATAGTACCATTTTTATCAGCAATAACACTACATTAGAAAAAATGATGTACATGACTTTTTTATTATCTGATCTAAGATGTAAGTTTCCAACCTAAACAAAAGAAATACTCAAGCTTGTTTTCTTTTATAAATAGCACCATCTAGTGCTTACTTGGTCAACCACTAAACTATCTCTTTGATAAATATCAGTACCAGGAACTATTAATATAACAAGGAATCTCTACATATTGAAAGAAACAATAATCTTTCTTTTACACTCAATGTACTAAATCGGACATCTTAATATTCTTGGCAAAAGTACTACAATATGTTAACAACAGGCCATGCCTTGCACCGTACAAGTGTGAATAGATAGAGTAATTCAATGTTCACCTAAATGCTTTTTATAAACCAAGATCTCTATCAGTTAATTGCTTTGCCAGGCTTAATGACTGTCACCCAATGTGTGCCAATGAGATGTATCTGTCTTATGATCACAGGGAACTAAAGCTTGATTGTCATGACTGAGTTTGTAAACAGCACGATAAATTGCACAACAATGACAGATATACCGCATTGTGAGTCTGCTCAGGTGCCATCTGAACAAAGTGGGACTATGCACACTGACTATGTCATAAATAGCTTCAAAACCTCTCTGTTCTTCCTACATGAACATCTGACCTTTTTTTATCACTCTTCAAGGTGGTGACTTAAGAAAAATCACTATTAACATTAATCTTTATCTAAAATATTTTTAATAAAAAAACCATTAAAAACATCTGCAATTTAGCAAATTAAGGTTTATCTACAATTAAAAAAGCTTTTCAAATATATTGTCTTAAAAAATGTTATTCAAAAATTGACTGAGGTACTCATAACTTTTTACATATCACATCAACAGCTTTGATGACAATCACTATGCTATTTTCCATTTAAAAAAGTGATGAGTTTCAGTTTTGTCAAGGAAGGGATGGAAAAGGTGTTCCACAATACCAGTAACTTGTCAACTTTAAAATTCTAACAGTGGGGTGTCAGGTGCATTGAAACCCACTCAAGCCATTAATTTCCTGTCCAAGTGCCGTAATCATTGCTTAAGCAACAATGAAAGTGGTTAACTCAAATTATCCTTAAAGAATTTAACCACTCACACCAGGGCATTTCCCCCAAAGCAAGTTTGTTGTGAAAGAACTCAACTTTAAATTGATATGAAAGAAATTGCTGCAACTATTTATTAATGTCCCATCCCAATTTTAATGTTGATTACATCCAACCACAGGTTTTTATGTAACAAAAAACTCATTCATCTTCAAGCTGTGAAAATGGCCGTAAAATATAAGGGAGTGTTAGAGGAGATAATTTGATAACCTCTCTTTTAATGAAAAGGTAATTTTGGCAAAATGGACTGGAAGATTTAGAAGTCTGCTTCTTTTGAAACCTGATCACAACAAGAAGTTTAACATTATTATCTTTGCCAAGTTCTATTTTATAAAGGACCATATTATTCAGTGATCATTATGCCATGTGCAGGAAAACCCACAATTCATTTATGTCTGTCTGTCCCAGGTCTAAAATAAGTTCCCACTTGCTGTAGTGGAGACTTAAACCAACATTCAGATTAACAATGCAGTGTCTTTTAAAGGTGATGTTGTATGATGAAGTAAAATCATTCTTAACTTTTCACTATCCATACATGTGAACTTTTCCTAGAAAGAGTCCAATAATCCATAAAAGTTAATTTTGCTCAGACGAAATTGACTGACAAAAGATGAAAATAAGATGAAAAGTTCAAAAAGATAATTAATCAACTATGGTGTACACATTTTCCTCCTTTTCCAAATTAACAATATCAATCATCTCATGACCAATAGCTCTAACAAAGTATCTAAAGCTAAACAACCAGTTGCATCAGCTTTTAATTTACAGCAGTAACCTTTGCAGCACCAGTAATCATAAAGCAAAACTTGTGGATGCACATCAAGAGTTTCACATTTCACAAAGTTAATTAAACTCTATGAAAAATTGATTTTTAAGACACTAAATACTACTTACCGTTCTCTTCGCATGGTAAATTAGTATCTGCAGGCAAGACATAGTTGCTCTCTTATAACTGTCTGGATCACAATTCAGGGGTTAAATCCAAATAAAATACACTAACTTAAATTCCTTTGGGGCATGTGCCTAGATAAAGAATAGCTCTAACAAATGACTCCAAATTAAAAGCTGTTCCCTGATAAAGTTTCAGGTAAAAAAATTCCTTTAAGTTGTATGCTAAGTAGTTCAATCCACTTGTTAGGGGATTACAGTATTGCCAAATGCATTTAGTTCTAAATATCCCCCTCTGCAGGGCAGCAGAGCATTTGCAGTCCCCACTCAGTCTGAGCCAGGTAGCTCCTAGCTAAATGTTCCCACAATTTTCAGTTGAAAAACTCAACTGTCCTCCTCTTAATAACAGCATGTAAAACAACTCCTGAAGTACAGCGTGTGTAGGCACTAGTCCTTTAGTAAGGTCTGTAATTACAGGCGATGTGTATAAATTTGTCATAAATCATCTGCGATGCTTCCAGGTGAAACAAGGAGACCGATCAGTCCAAGATAGCAGTGTGACCCTGTCTCATCTAGAGGTCCTACCTGTGCTGTATAAGATCATGAATGCTGAATATATGGAAATGGGACACAGAGTACCACCTATACTTAAAGTGTGCTGTCTCCCACAATGTGACTTGACTTGAACCACCCTTCTATCTGTCCCCAGTATCAAAACTGGTTATGTGACATGTGAAAACAAACCTTGGCAGTCACACACATGTAACATGCCTCTCTGACAGCCATGCCCCACTGGTTAAACATCCTGCACTGCTAGCATTTCTAGGACAATGGGACACTTACCTGTTTACTACAAGACTATCCAATGTCATCTTAGCAATCTGATGTCCACTCTCTGTCCAGTCCTAAATGGTCCACTACCCCTAAATTCCTCAGTGATGGACAGTTAAGGCAATTACCACATACCTGTCCCCCCTAATACCTCCATGCACCCCTTTATTAGGTATGTGCACCGTCCACAACAATTTGCCCCTGCTGTCCCCAGTGGTCACTTAACAAGGGTTTTACTCACCGGACAAGTCCCCAAGTTGAAGGACTTGCTTCTTCTTTTCCACATTGCCACCTTGTCAAGGATTAACCACCCAATTCAATTATACACCATCTTTCTTTCTGTCCTCTTAAAGACGTCGACCAGGTAGGTGAGACGCACTGAGCCCTCTACCACTCAATCATGGCACAGTTAAACACAGTAAACACCTTAAGGCCTATATATACCTATACTTATAAACGTGGCGGTTTGGACATTCCCTATTTGCCCTGTTTAACACTTCATATGACTGCACTTGTTAGCTAACAAAATAATCCTGAGTAAGAGCAGGTAAAAACTGGCAAGGTGGGCAATAATCCACAGTTAGGGCATTGAGTTTGGTCAATATGCTTGTTAAAAGGATTATGTTTATTCTCAGTTTAAGACGTGTGGGAACTATTGTTACTTGACAATACCTAAATGTGGCTATACAATCTTGTGGTGTTGTTTATCTACGACAAGGTAGAAGCAGAGATTAGCAAACATGGGGATTCAGGTGACAAAAAGTCAACTTTATCCAACCAACCTATCACTGATAAATTCAATGAATGATAAACTTGTTTAAAATGTCCATGGGACCAGCATTCTAATATAATACCACAATTATGGATGAATGAATGAATGAATAATTGAAAATGAATGAAATATGAAGGAGAAAGGACAATTTTATCAATCATGTTTTTCCTATTTGAGCCATGCACCTGTCTAGCAGCTGCTGCGAGCAAATCAGATCGGCAAACTTGCCTATCAGATCAATGAAGTTTATTAATAAATCTGTAATCTTGTGTCAACTGTACAAATCACTGCTAGGTATACTATGACAGGTAACATGCTCAGTTAAAACTTCAGACAGGTGTTTTATGCACTACCTCTTTAATGACTAGCTGTGCTGATCCTCAAAAACATCAAGTTACAGAAATAAGATTTCATGCCCAATTAACACATGCCGGTTATGTAACTGAATTAGAATTTACAACTTAAATAGCTTAATTTATTTAAATACATTAAATGGATTTCACAGGTAGTAAAAAATGTTAACTATGTGTTGTATCTCGATTATCCCCTTTTTACTTTATTCAAATACACAACATGAAAGATGTTATTTACACAAGTTGCCTGTAGATATGTTAATACATTACACCTATACATAAAACTACATGGTGTCAGAATCCAAAAATATTTCAGTTTTATAATACCTTTTCAGATATGCCCACAATATTTAAAACACAAAATGAATCAACTTCCTATTTACAAAAGAAAAAAATGTCTACAGCCAATTATTTCTAGAGTGGGCATCTCTGTTCTTTAAATATCCATAAAACAGTTCCTTCCCAATACAAATCCAATTAACTGCAGTATACTAACATTGCTTTTATTCACTGAATAATACAGGTGAAAGCACCTGACGTCAGTGCCAGGTGTCAGTGTCCACTCACGGCAGTGTCACACCAACTGGCCTTCCTTGTTTACTACTTTGTTTCTTACAGACACAGAATACCAATTAGTGAGGGGGTGATGAAACTTCCCTCCTTGTCCCTTTATGTTTTATTCATTTCACAATCTTTATAAAGCACTCAGATCATGAACACAGGAAGTAAATAGATAAACAATAAAACAGTGTGATGTAATAAGTTCCTAGTTAGATCCTATCATGGGGTATTTCTTGGGCCACTCAAAAGTTATCTTAGATTTTGATAGACATTATCATTATGTTGTGTAACCTTATAACTTCATTAGATGCCTGTTCAGTTATCCTTTGCTTATCTATATTTCATAACTTCCTCTAAATATTTATAGTAATTTAAGATAAAATGTTTGCATTCTATGAAGAATGTAATGGAAATCCTATGGCAATCAGAGAATCTAGGTTATTTGCATATTAAACACAACCTATAAACAGCCTGGATTTTATTCTAGGAAAAAGGAATATGATGGCTGTACAATGTCAGAATGTTTTAATGCATGTCACCTAATACCTATTTTACATTTTAAATAAATCTTGAACTGCAAGTTCATTATAAAAAACAAATTCATGGAATTTTCGTGTCTAAATCTAATTTGTTTCTTTTTATATGCTTGTACATAAGTCCAAATGTCCTCTATACTTTAAAGAAATGTGCAATTTATCATTTATGCAAAAACAAACAAACAAACAATGCATGTCAATATTATTTTTAAAAAATGTTTTAAAACCCAGTTTGTTGATCAAAACAGATAATTGTTTAAATGGATAGATTTGTTTGATCAACATTTCATTACTAATACATTTTTATCGTAACATTCTGAAACCTATATACTGTAACTTTAACAATCAATTAGAAAAAACTAATAAACTGTATTTCCACAAGGCAGCAGGCTCAACCAGTTATCATCATTTACTTTAATGGATAACCTGACACATTCTGAGGCATTTTTTTTTTGTCTCAACTAACACAATGCATCTAATTTGCAGTCATAACATGCCAAGGATTCACCCTGAGAGCTCCCAATGCATTGTTATAGGTTTTAGTCCCGATTTGATTGCTTTATTTCAGGCACTGAATTTTGAGGGGGTGGGGGATAGTAGATTAAATCCCATAAATTAGGTCAATCCTAAAGGGTTTGGTCTGATTTTGTCCAACTAGTGCATGTCCGTATTAAAAATTAAATGGAAGTTTTTTACTTTCCCGACTGCTACAGCTGAGAGGATGATCATAGTTTACATATTTACTTTACCATGCAATTCTATTTGCTGCCTTTTAGATAAATTTATGACTAGGGTCTTAAGTTCTGACAAATCTTATAAGAATTTGGAAACATCAAAAAGCAATCAGTTCTTATTTTCCACTGCCAATTAGAATTCTGGGCATCTTTCATTATTGATTAATTTAGCTTTCAGGAACTATTCCTTTATCAATAACATCATTAACTATGCATCTTCACTGTGTAAGCTTTTGAAACCAAAATACTTGCAAAACTGATTTTAAAAAAATTTTAAGTCATCTGTGAATTTAAAAACTAACAAGCCTACTACAGTGTACCTGGCAAGAATAATTCCTAGGGAATATGGCACTGAAGTCACCACTATACAGCATTACAAAAGTCAAATGCATGTAGCATGTTATAGGTTTACTCCAGCGTAAATTTATTTAAATCAAGTAGCAAAAAGAAAGAAAAGATGAATTAATCAAGAATTTAAACCAAGGCATTGTTTAATTGACAAAATGGTTAGAAATTACTTTCATTGTCAAAAAAACTATAAATTATACTTGGCATTTGGAAAACAAACCTTCTACATTAGCATGAGTCAATGCATTCACGTATTTATTCTCATTCTACCCACACAATTCCCTGTATGTATAATTCATTTCTATTCATACGTATTTATTTTGTGCATGACTGAAAGGATATGGTATCTCCAATACTTCTGCTTGTATCTACATATCAATAATGTACCTATTAATGTATCAAATATATCTGGGGGACTTCTGTGTCTATCTGCAATATATTAAATTGCTAATCATTCACTGGGCTGCCTATCATATCAATGTGATGACCAGTCACCTGGCCTTGGCCAGAAATCACCATCATTGACCTACAAATAGTTTGAACTGCCAAAAGAAAGACCAGAAAACACTTTTCTGTGGATTAATAAAGTGGTTATTGTGTATAATAGTCAGGGTATATTATGAATAAATCACCATGAATACTGTAAAAATTATAAACAATTTGAACAGTATAATATGTAAAAGTGACCAGTTTCACTTTTGAAGATCACGAATGAGTTATAAAGCCTAACCTTTCTCCTTTTGTTGCTTCTTTGGAGACATCCTATGGCAGCTTGCTGATACTCAAAGGTCAGCTGGTCACACTGTTGTGAAATGCGGCTGAAATGTTCAGATAATAATAATAATCCTAATAATATTAACTTAAAGTCAAAAATCAAATGATGTTCATTAGACTCTACAATATGAATATAAATTATAACACACAAGTTAGAGAAAATGGAAAAAAAATCAAAATTTAACATTGAATAGAATAATGAAGAATTTAAATGCCTGTTACTTCTTCAAATCCTTTCAAAATTCAATTAAATTTTATAAAAAGATAATTACATTTAAAACCAATAATTGTATTTGTTGTTTTAAGTACATGTTTATCTCGCCTAAAATTGAGCCATCTAAACTATATATAAAATATACTTTGACTTTTTACAGTGCTTTTTAATGACACTTTAAATTGCAAGACCCCTTGAAGGATAAAAAATGCATTTTAGTTATGCATTAATAAGCACTCACTCAATGTTTGCTTCAAGTTGGTCAATTTCTTTTCTCTGAAATCAAGACAAAAAAGAATTTACTCTTAAGAAATCTATTCAATTTTTTAAAACAATACCTATAAATAAATTATAAAACAAACATCATGCTGCCATTTTTAATAATACACAAATACGGTTACTCTACATGTCTGAACATTCTTCTGTCACTGATTCCCTAATTAATGAATTAGTCTATAAAACTTTCTCTTGAACCTTTATTTGCTATAAAATGCACTAAATATTCATTTTTTAAACAACAGTACAATAAGTTTGATCAATTAAACCTTCTTTAGATGTGATCTCAATTATCTCAGTATTATCAAGTTTGAAAGTAATACATACTTGAGGGAAATTATGAGCATGCTACACGCTATACAGCTATTTCATATAAATTGAACAATTCTGTTCCATGTTACTGCCTTTTTAATAATTAAAGACTGCAAAAAGTACCAGAAAGATTTTTAGAAAAGAAAATATTGACAGAAATAAAATAAAATAAAATATTGACAGAAATATAATAAAGGAACAATAACAGAAAAACCTACTCAGCAGCAGTATGTGTATCACATATTATTAAGTACCAAAGCTGACTTCAATGAGTGGTGCGATGTGTGATAATGAAATCCACCAAAATTTAATTATCTTTCTTTTTTTACAAGCATTTTTCATCATGCAAACTGCTCAAAGATACAGTGTAAACAAAATATGATAGTTTTCCATCAAAAAACCTACCCTTTGAAAGGCAAAAGACTTCAGCTGCTGACCAAGCTCCCTTTGTAAAACTCGTAACTTCTTCTGTTCAGCCTCCAGCAATTTTGATGTTACCTGACAAGGAGAAATATTTTCATGTTTGAGTAATGTGTATGTGGACATTCAAACAGTATCACTAGTATATTTGTGTGTTAAACAATGTTGTGCAGTGTAACAAAAATTAAATATACATGTGCAACATATATGTACAAAACATGTAAAAATCCAAATAATCACTTTCAACCTGGACACATCATTTATGGTGGACCCAGGATTTCATTAAGAAATGGCCATGGATGTACTATCGCAATAAATATTGATTAAAATGCAATGTAAATGAATTCCTTGGAAAATGACAAGGCATATCCATGGTGCCTTCTGAGGTATCAATTAATTGAAACTTGAGCATCTATATATTCCACCTAAATAATTCAGGGCCCACAACATCAAGAATATCTGTAATGAAATTAATGGAAGAGCTCTTACTGCCAGACAGTTCAATTAGTTGGAAGAGAGTTGCTTTGAAACATGTTTTGTTTTGTTATCACAGAGAGAGAGACTATTCAATTCTAACACTGAAACACCCTGAGTGGTTTCAAATAAATTCAAATTCCATGTTCTGTAGGCTGAGATATTTACCTGATGAAACTCAATGTCTTTTTTCTTCAAGTGTTTTTTATCAAATACAAAATTCTTTAAGCAATGTTTTAAAAAGATTAAAAGGTGCATTTATAGGACTGCCATTATGATTCTTTTAAGATAGTTAAAACTATCCAAATGCAACATGATGATGCACAAAAATTATACAATGACATCGTTTTTTATAATCAAATTTCCACGTTTAGAAAAAACTTGTAAGCATTGAGTAAAATAATTGTTGAGGTGATAATATTATCAATTAAAATGTTTTGAAACATAGAAATGATACACAGAAAGTAAAAAAAATCTACTTAATTCTACCGATTTACTTTTTTTATTACTCTGAAAAAATGCAGACAAAACAGCATCAAAAATTTTTTTTTTACAAAATTGTTCCAAACGATTCATCATTTGTCATCTATAAGAAATAACTTATTCCAGTGGCGTCAGAGAAACATTTGCAGATCAGCAACAAGAAAATTACCTTCATCATCATAAATCATTTAGCATGTATTCCCATCATTTAGCAAATATATGGCTGCCACTTATGTGCATATCTTGTGCTTTTAAAGATACACTGAAATGCATTTTAAGAGAAACAACTAAACATGCTTTAGTTTAATGAAATAAACTGAAACTCCAATGAGAATAAAGCAAGCAGACCACATTTCTTTTGCTTTTCAAATCTCACATCATCATGCAATTCATCAGTTCTAAAGATTTATTTCATATTTGGGAAAATCCTCTTTATCTTTTACTCTTTAAATATCACAGAACTTGGGAATTTTCAATCAATTTTGGTGAAGATATGCTTTCAAGTTACTTAGTAACAAATTGGGCTTCAACTTTAATACCCATTAATCTCTAATCAATTAAATATGAGTATCATTAATAATATTAGGTCAACTGTCATCCAGATTTCCGTCTCACATTTGTACAGACACTAGTAATATTGCCCTGAACTTATCAGGCAAAGGCTTTACCTGGATATTGGATACATCAACCTTTTGACTAAATAAACAAATCTTTGGTGTAAAGGATTACTGTTAAATTTACCATGGCACTACATGTACATTAATTAAAATATGCATGAAGTTTGTTAGTACTTAAAAGCTGAATATTGGCAATGTTGGAGGGCCCTTTTACACAATGGTTTTTATCTTCATCGTGGCTTTGAAGCGCCACTTGACTCTTGGACTCCCTTTTTAATCTACCCTGGCACATATTTCATACATCCAGCAGTCTTTAAGTTTGGGGATCTGTCAGAAAAATGGCCAAAAAAGTAAATATGCTCAAACTTAATAAAACAAATGGCAGCCATAAAAATCAGTGAAATTCATTAAAGTTCAAATCAGTGTCATATTCTGAATATAAATTATACGACTTCCATCCAAAGCACAAGCCTTTAATCTTAGATTTTATTTATCAGGACATCAGCTTTAAAAAAATCAAACAATTTCAAACTTAAGCTGAATTTTATGTGAACAGCCAAAAAATCAGTATACAATAAAAAATGCTCTGATTTTCCCATAATTATCAAACGAGATTTAAATATGCTGTCATAAGAAAATAGACAAACATTTCAGAAGATACAGCAATACAACAAACCAGAGACTTCAAAAACTGACAGATGACTCACATTTTTTAATTTCGCCTTGGACCCACGAAAGGTATGATGGGTTCAAGTCATCACTTATATGTTAACAGATGTTCAACAAAACATCATAAAAATACAGGTCTAAATTAGTCTGGCTGATATACAAACTCAACACAATCTCTTATATTGCTCTGAAAACATGTGTTGAAGAGTCTGTTCTCTCAATGTTTCTGTCAAACTAATTACATGAATACCTTGCCAGCTGGCAAGTGTGTGAGTCATTTCAGTCCAAAATGACCACTTTAAGATAGCTTTAAGTGTTTAAAATTGTACTTTATACACATACAGGTAAATTAAACCATGAGGTTGTGAAACAGTTTTGTCTAACCTTGATAAAGAGGGATATTTACCAAAAGTGATAAAGAACTGTTATCTCATGCTGGGTGGTAACTTGGCTATTGCGTACCATTAAAGCCATAGCTAATGATAAACATTGAGCCAAAAGTAGTAATCTTGCTTTTTGTGTGTACAAATTCCAAACATTTTGAAGTGCATTAACATTTTCCTTCTGTGTCTTTACAATGTGCAGTATTTACATACACACTTATAGGTATCTCCTTATGGCACAGAGCTTAAAACAAATTCAACCTGTTCCAATATAACCACAGTCCCGCCCTCAATTCTCTGAACATCACTATATTTGAGCTCTCCACAAATGTGCAAGTAGAGTCTTATATCAAAAGTGGTCTTTCTGATCAAAGACCAATTGTACTGCTACAATGGGCATTATTTTCAACAACACTTCAATCCTACAGAAATGTCAGAAACTGGCAAACCCCTTCTGAAGCAATTAAAGTTTATGAAAACACAACCCAATATTGAAAAAAGTAGAACTTAATGGCCACACTGATTCAGACTGATTAACCCTTAAAAGCTTTGACCGTTTAAAAAATGAAAAAAGGACAAGCGCAGATACTACATACTGGCCCCGTCCCCCCGTGGCTGGCAGTTTAATGGGGGGAGGGGGGTTCTTTAATGGAAAAGTGGTTTTTTTTTACCCCCTTATTTGACCCAACTTGAGAAACAGCATAGGACCTCAATCAAATTTTGATGCAGAATGAGCCTTTTCCAGTCATAAAGGTGGTTCTTTGTACTCCCAAACCCTCCTACCAACTGGTCTGCCATACATACAGTATTAACACCTACATGTATTTTGTAACACTTGGAAAATTTCAAGTAATGACTGCAATGTGTAAATTCATACATCTAATTGCTATAAGAACAGTGCAAAATGTCAGTGAAATGTTATACTCCACACTAGATATGGTGATACATGATTCAACAATGATTTCAATAATAATCAATATACCCTGGGTTATTTCAAAATTAGTACAATAGATTTCTAGAAAGAAATGGTTGCCAGGATAACACACAATGTGAATGAAAAATTATTGTCTTTATATTATTATTATTATTATATAAACATTACTATAATTATTTTATGAAACAAAAAAGAGCCAAAACAATATTCAGGTCAGATGCTAGCCCAAGCCCTGAGCTGAAAAATGTGCAATAGGCAAAACGTTATCCCTATTTTGTTAAATATTATAATACCACGTAATTTTTATTAAAGGGATAACAACTCTTTGTAAGAGATCTATATTTCACAATAAATACATTGTAAACAACTCATAGAAATATAATATACATGTAATTCTATTTTACCACAAAAATGGCAGTTATAGCAAGTAATCTGAATTCTGTGTTTGTCATCAGACCATGTGACCTCCATAGATGGCTATACTCCGTAATAATCTCTTAAGAAATTATTACAAAAAAAAAAAACTTTTTAGAAAAAAAACAGGGACCAACTTTGAATTTAAAAACAAACCACTGGTAAGTATGGGAAAATTGTCGTTAACCACAGGAAAATTAATTTTTTGGCCAAAATGAATAGTTTTTATCCTTCTAACAAAGAAAAAGCCTAGGGGTGTAAATCCTCACTTGTATTACCTTTTCTCTGCCTAAGAAATCATACAAAAAATCACAAGAAACAATTTTTTTCTCTTTGTCCACCTGACAATACACCTGTCAAGATAAGAATCCAAACCATGTAAATCACCATGTTAAGATGGTTTAGCATGTGTGTCCAAGTTTTACTTATAAATGGTGTCGTCTGGTAGTAAACCATGTAAAAACCAACAACACATGCCACGTAATCCACCTACCTCCAGCTGGACCCCGAACCAGTCCGCAGGTTTCTCTGGCCGAAGACTTGAACTGTCCTCCCCAGAAGCACTTAAATCCATCTACTCAGAACAGTTAAACTGGAAATATAGACAACACATTAACCAGTACTCAATTAGCATGAGTTGGAAGAGACCTCTGCTTTTACCTTTCATACATGTGCTACCCATCAAAATTCTTAATGCCAAACAGAAATAGTCTTTCAATACTCAGTCTGCCTTTTGTTTTGTGAGTCGAGAATCAGCAATTAAAATATTCAATAATCAAATTCTCTTTGAATCATCACTCCATAGTATGATTGTAAATTGTGACTCAATTAAATCTATAAATAAGTGGTCTGAAGCAGACAAGCACTAGTTAGTATATTATCAGAGACCACTGATCTAGTATTACATCACTTCTTTATCAAGAAGTAAATAAACTGTTCCCTCACTACACTGACAAATGAAAAAACAAACCTTTAGTTTACCTTTACACCAAAGTAACACAAACCTACCTGATGCACCAGCAAAACAACTGACACTGACACAAAATGCTCCTGGAAGCAGTCTCTTGATCCTTTGTACACAAAAAATCTGATGACAGGTATTGGTGGTCTCCAACCAGGAAAATTTCAGCTTAACTGTGACAGTTCTTTGCTTGGGCTTGCAATGTCAGTGTATATCTTATCAACCAATCAACCACATAATATTGGCAAAGTTCAAAAGGCGTAACAGCCTGTTAAGGTCGCAGCATCAGAAAAGAGGGTGGCAGTTGTTATTTACAAATTACGCCTTAATTACTGCACCAAAGCAGCCTAACACAACCTAGCAAGTATTCTCCAATTAATATTACTGTTGCATAGCTACCGCCACTACATCAGCAGTAGGTTGAGTACGGCAAGCCGTCTGTATATTACGCTCTCAAGTGGCAATTCATTCATAAAGAACACAGATATTGGTGAAGACTTGAGGTTCCTGAAACTCTGGGGACTCATCACATCTACACGTTGTCTTGGCTGTATGGATTAGATCTTCATCAGCAATGTATTATCCAAATGTATCTAAAATGTACATAATAAATCATCAGCTGTTATCAATGTATACCCCATGTGAAAATGTTGTGCACGTACTGTCTCCTCTCACATGCTGATCACATCGTCCCCTCAATCTGTGACACTGTTGCTTATATTTAGACAATTCATAATTGGACAAAAGAATGTATCTAATGTGAGAATGTACCTGATAAATGAGCTGCTTGCCCCATTTACCTAGTATTACATAAATTGCACTGCACACAACAGTAGTATTAATAATGATCTGGCTTATTGGAGAGAAATGATTAGCCAATAAAATCAATGCTTCCCATACCAGGTCTAATTATGATCTTGTTTGCCAGAACTGACCTCAGAAGCTAAACATATTTTGACACACCATTATTAAACATAAAAGTATACACCCTGTTCTTTATCAAGCATGACTTACGTCTAACAATACTCTCCTTTCAAAGAATAATGGCAGAAATGAAAGAAAATCAATAATTGCATTAATATTAATGACTATGCAAAACAGAACCAAGAAAAAAGTCTGATTAATCTCAGGTAAGCTTAATGCGGATATCACAATGTATACTTTGCTGTCAACTAATACAATATCAAAGCCCTGTGGGATGCCATATCCCATTACTTCTGCATTATAAAATCTCCGGTGTCCAGGCAAAAGTTAACACCAAGGAAAGCTGCCATTTACCTGTCCCAACAGCTAAAGATCACTGAATAAAATAACGGCAACAGATGTTGCTGCATAGCCTGAGTTTGCACGATTTGCTGTTAATCATTAATCCCGTCTACGGTAAACTTACTGAGGCCAACAGTCTTGCATTTGATTTGATCTAGCAACACTGGAGCAAATATTATACTTCCCCTTCAAATGCACTGTTGTGCCTGCAATATAAACACTCTTCAATTCCTTGGAGAGAATATACAGGGCTTAAAGGTGAGAACTTAAACCTACTTGTAAACAAATAATAATGATGACCAGGCTCTTGAAAGTGGAAAAGATCAACTTGAACATTAATATCAAACAATGCATTTTACTGATGGCATATATTGCAAAAGAAGCATAAAAAAGTTAATAATTTACCAACAAGGTTCATATATAGTCAGACATTTCAGTGTCAGAAAGCCATTCTGTATTTTTTAAGGGTTTGATGTCAAGTTCACCAAGAAAGTTTCTGGCTGTTGCACAATGAGCTTTTATTCCATGTCTGTGCTTCCACATGTCATATTATAGTCAGTGAAATGTTTGTCTGAAAATTATGTGCTGAATAAACAGGCGATTAAAGCCGCATGTTACNAAAAAAAAAAAAAAAAAAAAAAAAACGAGATTTAACACTGAAAGAACGCACAGCTTAAAACCTTGCAATATAATAACTATTTTTCATATGCCTCTTGCAGTATTATTATGGAGACATTGGAGAATCTCAATTTCGGACAGCATCAGGCACGTTTGAACCAGACTCAGAAACGTGTACATAGTAAAATTTTTGAAGTTGTCACTTGGAAACGATATATAATAGCACATACTTCTTAAAAGAGGTTCCACCAGGTCATTTCCATACAATACCAGACATTGTCCATACAGGTTTATATCACATGGGATGACGTTCAAATTCCACCGCTTCTTCACGTGAGTCGGGAACACCTGTCAATTTCGCGCATCCAAAGCATACCTCCAAACATAAAAGAGTTGCGCCTTTTGACGGAGGAACCTGGCACCGGTAGGCTTCACTGCACGAAAAAGACCCGAAGTTCATGCATATTTAAAGAATTGTCAATACAAATTTTTCGTTTAAATTTAAGTGTGAATTCTGAGATATATTTATTAAAAATCTTATCATTTTCTACTAAAGGTTCAAATATCCCGATTTCAAAACTATAGCATATTTGCAGCTTGGGGTAACTACATTGAGGTATCCCATCTGGATTTACCGCCAAATCGAATATTCTCCTAGTGGTGAATCATTGCACTTAGATTCCATGTTTTATTCCATTTGTTAAAAATTATTCGGTTCTTAATTACTAGTAAGTCATTTATAAATACTGCCTCATCTTAATGTACTTTTCAGAAGGAAATATCAAAATCGGGTACTTTTTTCTCATTCTTTAAAGGTCTGAATTGGGAAAGGTGAGTAGTTTTACAGGATATGTAGACATATAAAATATGACTAATATAGAACTTCTTAATTAAGATTGACTCTAGTCTATTCATCTGCTCTATTTGGAAGAAAAAACAAAATGATGAACTAAGTTAAAAGTTTATTACATAGATAACAAAAACACATATACGCATACAATTTTGTTGTAAACAGAAAACAATATTCCATTGTGATTTACTAATAAAACTAATGCTTACTGTAAGGGATTGTATACTTTTCATTAACAGTGCCATTAGTCAAAAGACTAGGAAGATGACATCTAACTAGAAAAGCACTCAGACTGTAGACCTCTACCAAGACAAATAATAAACTAATAATCAACCATCAATTAACAATTAATTGATTAATGGATCATCACCAAAATATTATCACTTTTAAGTTAGCCCATTTCTAACCTATCCTATAAAAATTTAATCAAAATCCATCCATCACTTCTTGAGTTAGGCTGGTGAAACAAATGGAAGTGAAAACATCACCTCTTTGGCAATGCATGGTTATCACTACAAATGTATACATAATCTCTATAAATAAAGCCAAATATGTAAAATAGCTGAAAATATATCATTATTAAAATATAAGTAGCTTGGAATGCCATTTAATGAATATATACAAAAAATAAAAGCAAGCAACTGAAAAAATACTGGAATGGTTATATGTTTTTAATACAAGGGAAAAATCAAAAAAGCTTATAACCAATTATTTGTACTGGGAACAATGGATTGTACCTATTAAAAATTACTGCTTAAGTACACATTACTTTAATTTTATAAAATAACAATTCTGAAAACATTTCATTACTTCTTACCATGAAGCAAATCCTTTATGTCTGTAACTATTTAAAACACTGGTTTTTAATCAAATCTTTTAATATAATATATTAAAACAGACTTCATTTCTGAAATGTCCATGGACACACACATGCAAAGTGTTTACTAAAAGCCACTATTAATTATAGAAATACAGTGAATGTGAGATATTATATTATATTATATTATATTATATTATATTATATTATATTATATTATACAGAATAATATGGATCTGATTATCTTCTTATAATAAATCATGTCAGCCTAAGACACAAAATCTGATTATATATATATATATATACAGAAAACAACCATATATTATGCCAACATCGTATTTGTAATTTGCAATCTGCCTCACACATTAAAAATAAAAAGATGGGGGATAGCATCTTTCTCTGAAAAAATTTTGAAGCAGCTGTCTCTTCTCCTCCCCCCTCCTTAAAATATTAATCTGTTACCTTATTTCAAAATGAACAACCTACAACAGATAAAACTTTTTTCTTTGTTTAATTCTAGTTACTCAACTAAATCAGATTTCTCTACTAGGATTCTGTTTATATTATAAATATTATTACATTTTCTTCTGATCAATGACCTAAACAGACCTCTGCCGGATCAAACATAGATTTAAAGGCTGTGAACCTAAGACTTGTTGGGCCAAGTGGAAATGTTTCAGAATAAGGTTAAATCAGCAACATGGAGCCCCCTTTTGAAAACTACAGATCAAGATGAACTGTGACTAGGAGAGGACATTGATGCAGGTAATATACAATTATGTCATTAGGCTAAAAAATAAAAGACTAACTTTACTTTTACCCAAGTTATGCTATTCTTAAAAGTATGTTTTCTAGTTTACTAAAGAGCATTACTCTCTAAAACTTAGCTGCCAACTTTACTTCTCAGTATATACACAGTTTCCATCACTACCTAAGTATGCTGTCCATGGTTGCTGCTCATGGGGAAGATATCCAACATCTTTTAAAGCTGTCAAGTTTGCCATGCTGCCTAGATCAGATGAAACTGTAGAATTAACTGGTACCATATCCTGCTGGTGAACAGCCTCTTCTAGGTTCACTTTATAGATAAAAGTTTTGTACTTGAGGGTCAATTCACTTCCCATGTCATCATGAAGCAAGGCCGCCCCTGTCACAATGAGGACTGCGTCATATTTGCCATCTCCATCCACATCACCTAAGGCACCTGTACATGGACAAATCCAATGATAAATCATTGATGCAAGTACATGTAGAATATTAAATATACTAACAACAAGGAACTTAGAAATGCCTTTAGTTCAATATTAAGGCTGTTTTAGTTTGTATTTACTGAAGAAATAATTATTATAATAATTTAAAGATAACTGTGTCAAAGAAAGATCAACTGCTTCAACACAGTACTCAAACGTAAAATTGTATATTTATAATCCATACAGCTTTTTCTTTCAACAAATGAATGAAGAAAAAAACAGAGATTCTATAAAGCCATTGAAACCTATTTTGCACGAGAAATTGTACCTGTTGTTCTCTCTTGTGATGTAAAAGGTGAGCAAAATACTTTTGGATCATTAGAATCCAACCTTGGGGCATCTAGAGAGCCTGATAACAACTCTACCATTTCACTGTTGTCTGAAGATATAACATTTATGATTAACAATGTGCATGACATTATTTTTTAAGCAGTTTATCTTAAGTTTGCTGAAATGCTGTGATATATGTATATTGCATGAAAACTCCAACTTTTAAAATTAATATTCACATTAATCTTCTTACTTCACCATTGACTCATGTACTTAAGATCTGTCATAAAGAAATAGGTTTTATATTAGGGAAGAAGCCTTTACTTACTGTAGTAATGTTTAGTGGCAGGGAATTTCCAGAGTCTTGCCAGATTGTGTGTTGTAGTACGGTCCATGGCAAACACCTCTGTAGTCAGAACTTTCAAATCATCATCACAAGTTACATGGCCTATAATCAAAAGAAAATGGAGTGACAACAATATACCTTTTGTTTTTAACAGTTAATTTTCTTCACAATAGTACTAATAAATTTGCTAATATATCAAAATGTTTTCTCACTTCCTTTTACCAAATTAAATTCTTTTTAAAACTTGGCAACAATTTTTATTAATTAGTTAAGAACCATTGTTTCTTATATGCTTGGAACATAAATCATTTTTCTCTAAATCCTTATGAAATTCTACTATGAAGATATAACCTACTATCTATATATTTTAAGTATAACATCAAAACAGCAAAGGAAGAACAAATTTAAATTATAAAAGAACAATTTGTTGCATTTGTAGCTCAAAAGTATTTCAATATAAATCACATCAAACACGAAACACGAAGAGAACAAAATATATTTCCCATATCCAACAAGACAAGCAACTTTCCAACAAGCATCTCTACACATAAAACAGAAAACTCTACGAGACTTAAACAAAAACTGCACAGTACTATGTAACATACTACTCATACCAAACTGAAACAAAAAAATTTGATCCAAAAAAATGTTTCTTAATTGTCACTTCCTGAGAATGCAATACATTTCACCACAGACACGAAAATGAAAATGAAACGATAACTAATTATAAATAACAGAATTCCCCTATCTTTTACCTTCACCACCTTCTTCGCCATGCCTCTTAGCCACACTGTGCCCATTGTGTTTCACATACTTATTTGATCTCTGCCTTCCACCTGCAAAACTGTCAGACCCATAGTTCTCTTGCATTGGACTTTCTCCTTGTCCCGGATAACCTGGATATCCTTGCCTGTTACCATACTGGTTACCATATCCATCTTTTTGCCCATAGTTCCTTTCTGAATAATCAGAAAATGAATTTGTTGTCTTTCTTCCTTCAGAATCTTGATCAATATAATAGGGGGGATAATTGGGATCTTCTGGCCATTTATTTCTATTATGGTTATCATAAGAGCTATCTTCAGGAGGCTCATATTGATTGTTTCTTCCACTGTCCAGAAAGGTTTCTTCGGGCATAGGGTGAGAGGGCTCCATAGTGTTCTGAGTTTTCTTGTCATTGGTTTCATCCCTATTCTGCCCCCTGCTGGGTTTGGTGGTTTGGTACCTGTCTAGAGCAGGTCTGGGGGTGAGCTGTAAAATTGGGAAAACATTTTTTGGATATATCTTTTTTTATGTCACTGGTGATATAATATAATGTTTAGAATAAACACTATTGATTGAAAATAAAGAACAGCTTGAAGTTTTCTCATTCAGCTTATAGAGTAAGTCTGCAGTAAGGCTTAGAAACATGTTTTAAAATCTTATATCATGTGACAATCTACTTTGTTAAATTACTAAACACATTTTAGCAGAAAATTACACATCCTATTTATCACATGAAACAATAATTCAGACAATGAACTAAAGCTCCCCTTGTTCAATAGATGTTAATTTAAGATGACTTAAAAAGCAAAGACGAAAACATCCACTTGTTTAATTAATTCCAAATAATTTCACTAACTGGTCTCTGTAAATGTATTCCGTGAGTTTCTCCCATGTTATCATTGTGTAGTTTTCCTTCTCTCCCCTGACTTCTGAAGATAAATAAGTCCCTGTGTAAATCTGTTGTCCTGAGCACTAGCGGTGAGGACATTTCAAACTTTGAAGTATTCAATGCCCACATCACATCACCTGTCTTGCCATTTTGGATCACAGTCTAAAAGAGTGAAATAAAATGTCACCATGAACTGATCCTTGGATTCTGTGCATCTCAAAGGATATTAATACAAAAGTACTGATTAAAATTTTAAAAACTCTTGATCTTCCAAACCATTCAAGAGCATCAAATGGTAATTGTTTTTTGCCATGCTTTATCTTATTTTCACCACTGCACTACAGCTATTAACCATTTGTTATAAGTGTTGTAACATACTTATGAAACATTTATCATAGCCAAAGTCTTTAACCACATAAAAAATAAGATGTGCACATATTTTAAATTCACTTCTATCCAAAATATAAAAATATCCAAAACTGGCAACTCAAATGTGTTTTTAGTATAGGACAATAACAAAAGACTGTTGCCTACACAGACTACGTACCCCAACCCCTTCCCCTACCCCAAATATGACCTTACCATGCAGTGGTCATAACTTGGCCATTCTCCATGGCTCCAATGAGACATGAAATCCAGTATGTCATCATCATCAAAATAACCTACTCCTGGAGTGCTGGAAATGAAATAAAACATTCTTCAGTCATTAATACCATGCTTACTTTATATGATGGCATGAAAGAATTTTACATATTTATTTTGTACTTCATTTGTTTAATTTAATTAAAAAACAATTCAATAAACTTTTAGCAAATGATTAATTCTTAGCAAAAAATCATAACATTCTGAATATAAAAATGAAACAATAAGACCTTTCTTATTTGGTATAACCAAATACTAACCTGTAAGATTCATATCCTATAAACTGTTTCTGCCAAATGGTCTCCATGGTCTCTCCATTATAAAGTGCCATGGTCCCATCATACCCTGACATCAGGATGTCTTTGACTCCATCATGTGTCACATCAACCAGAGTAGGTGGGACCATCACACCCTTCAGGTCAGATCTTTTTTATATATAAAGAAATGTATATCATATTTACCAAATCTTTATTTAGATATTCATTATAAAAATACTTGATTGTGTTGTTGACTTATTTTGCATCATGATTGCCCACTCTCAATATTTTTGTATGTTGTTGGTATTTTTCACTTCCAGTTACATACATTTTCAGGTGCAGAGAGATAAAATACTAATAATTATGTAACATCATGCAGTCAAATTAAACCAATGAAATCATCATTTTTTATTAAACTGATTGAAATCTAATGAGTGAGTAAATGTTCTGATTCATCAAGTGCTGTGATAACAGATTAGAGAAAAAAATTTATCTAACAATAGACTAACAATGTGGTACAGCAACAATCAGCTTTCCTGATGAAGGTCAGTGGTACCAATCGCAACCTTTGATTGTTGCTGCATCACATCTGTAATACAACTTACTTATAGATAGTAATTATTCCAGTAACAGGATCCTTCCGTTTTCCTGGCCAGGCAGTATTATTCCCAGCAAGACTTGGAGCTGACATGTGTGGCTCTGTTGACAGAGCATGCTTAAAGAAATCTGCCAAAGATATTGCCAGAAAATTCCCTAAAAGAAACAAATAGGAAAAAAATAGGAAAAAGAGAAAGTTCTACCATCTTGGATAATAAACAGTACAGCACCTTTAAAATTTCACAGTAAATCATCATTCTGCATGCCTAGTCATAGGATCAGCTTGATAAAAAATACAGTATTTCAAAAACTCAAATTCTGTGTAATCTCACTGAACAAATAAGAAATGGAACCAACCTGGAACAGTTTCTCCACCACTTCCAAATAATATAAACTGTGTCCCGTCTTTTCTGCTGTGTAATGCTAATGAGCTGTAGGTTTCTTTGCTGTCTGGCATCTCTAAATACTGCCCAATCACATGACCTGTGGCACCAGAAAGCATTATCAGCCGGCCAGCAAAACGGACGTGTTCCTGATGATCAGAAAAGATGTCTCTCAATTTATATTGTAGTTTATGTAACTAAAGATTGTTAATTTCTATTAGTTCTCTTATAGAAATATTATAATTAAAGAAAATATTTCCGTCTTAAAGGTTCTCCACTTTCAAAACTCCACAAAAAAGTGAAAAACACACAATGAACTGGTTCTATAACTCTGACAGACTGATAAAGTTACCCTGCATAGATTTTTTCCCCAAGTCGTGAGCTGAAATACTCTGTATCTTAACTTTTCCCCTAAATGAACACATTCTCACAACATAGTGTGTTAGTGAATAACTTTGAAGAGATTAGTAAAATGTCCAGGTGTAGCAAAAAATACCCAGTTGCCTCAAAGTAGGGCTTTTTTTACAATTAAGATTTTGCCTATGTTACTCCTACAAATCAACTTCAACAGATAAAAGACAAAGTGCTCACCCCTACTTTTAAACTTTCTTGTTAGAATAAAAGCAATGAAAAGTTTTACAAAGGAAAAAATGCAGAGAGGAAAACTACAGTGAAATGGACAGTGCTTCTATAAGACTTAATGCACGCACAATTTTTCAATTCCAGCACCACTTACCGAGGGCCTGAACTTAGGCTCCCCTCCATGAGGCACGACTATCTCAGGCACAGTGTCTCCATCTACATCAGGCACTGTGATCACATTGTAGTTATTCCAGCCATTGTTGAACACAGAGCTGTTCTTTCTCCACAGAGCTTGTCCTGGAAACCATTATACATAGAGAGGTGTTTAATAGCTAATTTTCACTGCAAAATTACTAAACATGCCTTTTTAATCATTCGCATTTGCGCAAATGATTTTTGTTTCATAGACCCTTTTACTTACATAAAAGTAAAATATAATTTCCTTGTGTAAGCACTTAATTATTATTTATTTTTTTTTTTTTTGCAAATACATTTCATAGTTTTTATAGTACATGCTTTTTTTTCTTTTTTCATTTACACATTAATAACATACCTGTTCTTGGGTCAAAGGCCAACAAAGTCGACAGGCGTCCACTTCCAATACAATCCAGTTTACCATCCTTGTTAACATCTAGTTCTTGACAGTTTATTTCAAACACCTCAGCATATGTGTTCAACCTCCACAGCTCCTTGCCATCATATCCACGGAGAGCAATAACAAACCCAGCACAGGGGGAAGGGGAACCTTCGAGAAATGGTGGGGATATATAGTTAATGGGCTATAGAAAAAATTATAACAATAAATCATTCTAAACATCACAGTGTAAGTATATTTGTTTTTAAATGCTGATAATGTTTAATTGACTAAGCAACCAAATGTGCTTATAAATAATTGAAATATGTCATGAAACTTTTAAGAAACATGTAAAAACTTGCTGTGAAACTAATTACATCAATGTCCTAAAGGAAATAATAGTTCAGTGCTTCATGTGGAAATCTCAATCATGTTAGTAGTGATCACCATATCTATTGCTGATAATATGAAATACATACCTAGAGATTGGCAAAATTTGTCCATCTTTTCCATATCTTCAAGTGTATGAACATCTTTACCTATTCCAATACCTAAAAGAATGTCTAACCTTCCATCTTCATCTACATCCACCAGTCTTATACATGATTCTGAACCTGAAATGGAGCAAACTGAGAATTATTAACCCTAACAAATATGGACATTTTGCCATTCAATTTATTAATTAAACTTTATGAAGAGCAAAAAAAGAGCAGCTGATGTATATAGTCAGCAAGCTATTAAATAAATAACTTGAATAGCGGCATCCTACCTATGTCAGCCATATCAATCTTCCAATTCTTTGTTCCTTGGAATGTCCCTGAAGAAACTGATTCAGATTTTCCCAACAAACCACATAAGTCACTAACGCTGCATGGCAAAAGGAAAGCTACAGTCACAACCAATCCTATACATATACATATTGCCACTATAAAACAGCACCTGGGCACTTTTGATATCATACGTCCTTTACGAACTGCCACATCTGGATCAGACCGCGAGACTCGTGCTTTTGGTAACGTGAAGTTTTCCATTTCAATAACTTCTTCTTGGGCATCTGTGTGACCTCGATGAACTCCATTCTTATGGGGTTTGTGCTTTCTTACAACAGAATCATCATCTTCTTCTTCATTATCACTGAGGTCTTGTGGCAGTGCTGAATACTGTACAGCCGTGGAGACATCTGATGAATAGAATTTTTCAAAAGAATGTACATATCATTTTAAAATTTCTTACAAAGGAAGCGAGATCATCAACACAGATTGTAATGACCAGGTGTCTAACCATTTGTTATATATGTAAGGTAAATAATTGCAGTAATTGTAAAATCAACTAAGAATTTTAAAATTTTAATTGCAGTAATTAGTCAGTGATTATTTTAATGATATAATAAATTCATACTAGTAGCTCATCTCCACTAATAATTGCCATAAGATTTTGTTAAGAAATAAGCATCAGCCTTGTTAATTAGACTAGTGGGCCACTACTAGTAGTGCCAGATCAGATGATAAAACATGCAAAATCTGAAAACAATTTTTAAATATAGAACTAATTAAGAACATAGCCAGGAAGTGCAGGTGCAAAATTTGTCTCAGCAGGCCTTAATATGCTCCATACCTGCAGTAAGTAAGGCATCACACTGCAGCCGGTCCCTGCATTAAATAAACTAAAAACATTGTACCAATTGCCCAGCTTCCTATATACAGTGTATAATATATTAGTGCAGGTACCGGTAGGCTTTGGTAGCAAACAGACTGCTCTTGCGTACTTAATGCACGCCACGACAACGAGAAGCAATTGTAACTCCCCAAGTGCATTGAACATAAACCTAACGAATGATGGCACAAAATTGTCAATTAAGTGCTTAATAAAAAGAAACATGGTAAAACATACTGTACCTTTCTTGAGAAGTCTGCCTGCCATCCTTGCCTGTTTACATCCGGTTTCTCTACACATTGCGCTCACATCTAGCAAAATTGTCACACCAAACGCACTCATAAACACCACTTCTAAAGGGACGAGAAAGCATGTTTTCAGGGGATCTTTAAGCGTAAGTGATATCGAGGCAAACAGCAATAATATTTCCGATAGAGCTTAATGTCAACGAATAAAGATAATTTGTATTTGCTATATTTGGAATAAAAGATAAAGACAAAGGGGATAGTTGTTTTGTATTAAAATAAAATATTTTGTCATAATCTTTGTATTAGCCTACTTATCTAAACCATATAGGCCTATCTAAGTCTCAAATGCTGTAAAAATGAAAAAGAAAAATAGGATTTGCAATCAAAGTCTTTTAATGGTGAGAAATTGAATTGACTAAGCGTAAGAAACAAGAATTCAAAAAATAATCTGAAAAACGTATTTGAATACATAATTTGAATGAAAAAGTGCGAGAATTTTGACAGAGTGCAATATGGGGAAAGGGTATTGAAAAAACTATCAAAATCGTTTCATGGAGTACCTGGTGCCTGTACTTTACCTGAATGTTTGGGCTATAGGCCTACCTTTCACAAAATCATCTTATTAACCAGTCAGTTCTTTTTATCTATCAACACGTTATGATAGATTGCTTATGACTTGTTAACGTAAGCAAAATGTTTAACATTCCTTTACAAACATTTACGCAAACCGATAACTTGCACAAAATGATAAGGAAAGTGAATATGACAGAAAGTTAAGCGTACACTTTTAGCAACCAGACAAAGGAAAGCCATACATGTAGCATGCAATACTAAGACACTACCACGTCAAACACCCAAGTTTCATAGAACATTGGAAACCCACCTCTCTGAGCCATTCAGACAACACAGAGGTGATTTAACTCAGAAACTCATAGTTCCATCGGACGATTTTCTTCCAAATTTATCGTTTGTTTTTCTCGCACCGTGTTTTCATGACCTCCAACTATCTTGTTTAATATTTTCCCATTTCCGCAAAACAGACGTCACTTTTCTCTCACATATGAAATTATATCATAAAGCATATTTACTAAGTTGTCGAAAATATGTTTGAGATATTTGATTAGAAAAGTCTTTTTGATAAGGTGCTTCAGAAAAAGGCCCGTCGATGTATGGAGTGGAGTGAGAATTATGAAGCCTATATAATCTAATTCAAACTGTTATGTTTGATATTATTGCCAACAACCCGGGGCAAAAATGCATCAAATCGTAACCGTCGTGTCAGGAGCCCAGTTTTTGGAATAATAATCAACAAAAATTTCTGTTACAGAAAAGCGTTCTTGATATATGAACAATATCAGATCCACACAATCCTAATAAATAAAATACAGATTTACTCTTAAGCACTGAAAGAAAAATTCCGGAGAACTTTCTTCCCAAATGAGTTTACGATCATTAGAACTGCCAAAAAAGTACTTTGAAACAATAACATCAAGAACAGAGTGAGGAAATTCTTCATCTGAGTCCATCACATATATAGTCTCTAATGGTTAATCGATGTGGGATTAGAAGAAAGGGCCCTTCTATTAGATTTAAAAAAGAAATATGGACAAGTGAACTGACCATGCTGACTGGGAAGTGTTCACATATCCTCTTCTTAAACTCAACATTTCGGTCTTTCGTTACAAAAAATGACGGTAGTATAGGCCTATAAGCCATATAAGGCCCTTAACCACATAATTATGAACTGAAGTAAAGCCTAGGTCCCAACTACGTTTTGGACGCACGTTTTTAGGTTCCTTGGGTCCGGCTAGGACGTAGCTAGATCGTAGGGAAGGAATCAAGTAATTGGTGTTGATCATGTCGAAAAGTTTCTACGTGCTGTTTGCGTCCTCCAAAAGTCGCACGATGAACGTGCTCCTCACGCACGAACTCCCTCGTTTTCTCCATTTTTTTGGCCGTGGACCACACGTAGCAGCCCGTGTGTTCGGTTGGGACCTAGGCTTAAGAGAGGAATAGTGTGACTGTAATTTTGTATCAAGACCCCCAACATTTTTAATGACAGTGAAATGATTTTATTTATTTATTTATTTATTTATTTATTTATTTATTGAGAGGGGGAAAGTGATTGACCCTAAAACCTTCAAATTCGTGCATTCCCTGCGATTTTCATATATGAGTGACTGAATCAGTAGGACATACCAGGGAACATGGATCCAACACAGTCCAAGACTCTGTCTTGCTTGCTCTCTGCTTGCAGTCGCAGTGCGCCCTCACTGGGCAACTCACTCTCTCTCTCNTGTATTATTTACTTACTGTAGTAATGTTTAGTGGCAGGGAATTTCCAGAGTCTTGCCAGGTTGTGTGTTGTAGTACGGTCCATGGCAAACACCTCTGTAGTCAGAACTTTCAAATCATCATCACAAGTTACATGTCCTATAATCAAAAGAAAATGGAGTGACAACAATATACCTTTTGTTTTCAACAGTTAATTTTCTTCACAAAAGTACTAATAAATTTGCTAATATATCAAATTGTTTTCTCACTTCCTTTAACCAAATTAAATTCCTTTTAGAGCTTGGCAATAATTTTGATTAATTACTTAAGAACCATTGTTTCTCATATGCTTGGGTCATAAATCATTTTTCTGTAAATCCTTATGAAATTCTACTGTGAAGATATAACCTACTATCTACTTTTAAGTATAACATTAAAACAGCAAAGGAAGAACACACTTAAATTAAAAAAGAACAACAATTTGCCATATTTGTATCTCAAAAGTATTTCAATATAAATCACATTAAACATGAAACATGTAGAGAACAAAATATATTCCCCATATCCAAAAAGACAAGCAACTTTCAATTAAAAATCTATCTCTACACATAAAACAGAAAACTCTATTAGACTTAAACAAAAACTGCACAATCCTATGTAACATACTACTAAAACCAAATTGAAACAAAAAAATTTTTTTTTATTAAAAAATATATATTTCTTAGCGACCACTTCCTGAGAATGCAATACATTTCACCACAGACAGGAAAATGAAAATGAAACGATAACTAATTATATATGACGGAATTCCCCTATCTTTTACCTTCACCACCTTCTTCCCCATGCCTCTTAGCCACACTGTGCCCATTGTGCTTCACATACTTATTTGATCTCTGCCTTCCACCTTCAAAACTGTCAGACCCATAGTTCTCTTGCATTGAACTTTCTCCTTGTCCTGGATACCCTGGATATCCTTGCCTGTTACCATACTGGTTACCATATCCATCTTTTTGCCCATAGTTCCTTTCTGAATAATCAGAAAATGAATTTGTCGTCTTTCTTCCTTCAGAATCTTGATCAATATAATAGGGGGGATAATTGGGATCATCTGGCCATTTATTTCTATTATTGTTATCATAAGAGCTATCATCAGGAGGCTCATATTGATTTTTTCTTCCTCTGCCTAGGAATGATTCTTCAGGCATAGGGTGAGAGGGCTCCATAGTGTTCTGGGTTTTCTTGTCATGGATTTCATCCCTACTCTGCCCCCTGCTTGGTTTGGTGGTTTGGTACTTGTCTAGAGCAGGTCTGGGGGTGAGCTGTAAAATGGGGAAAACAATCTTTTGGGATACAGAAAAAAAATTACCTTTTTTATGTAACTGATGATACAATATTACATTTAGAATAAAGCCTTTTAAATTACTAAACACATTTTGGCAGAAAATCAAACAGCCTATTTATCACATGAAAAGATAACTCAGACAATGAACTAAAGCTCCACTTGTTCAATAGATGTTAATTTAAGATGACTTAAAAAGCAAATAATTTCACTGACTGGTCTCTGTAAATCTATTCCGTGAGTTTCTCCCATGTTATCATTGTGTAGTTTTCCTTCTCTCCCCTGACTTCTGAAGATAAATAAGTCCCTGTGTAAATCGGTTGTCCTGAGCACTAGTGGTGAGGACATTTCAAACTTAGATGTATTCAATGCCCACATCACATCACCTGTCTTGCCATTTTGGATCACAGTCTAAAAAAGTGAAATAAAATGTCACCATGAACTGATCCTTGGATTCTGTGCATCTCAAAAGATATTTGTACAAAAGTATCGATTAAAATTAAAAAACTCTTGATCTTCCAAACCATTCAAGAGCATCAAATGGTAATTGTTTTTTGCCATGCTTGATCTTATTTTCACCACTGCACTACAGCTATTAACCATTTGTTATAAGCGTTGTAACATACTTATGAAACATTTATCATAGCCAAAGTCTTTAACCACATAAAAAATAAGATGTGCACATATTTTAAATTCACTTCTATCCAAAATATAAAAATATCCAAAACAGGCAACTCAAATGTGTTTTTAGTATAGGACAATAACAAAAGACTGTTGCCTACACAGACTACGTACCCCAACCCCCTCCCCTACCCCAAATATGACCTTACCATGCAGTGGTCATAGCTTGGCCATTCTCCATGGCTCCAGTGAGACATGAAATCCAGTATGTCATCATCATCAAAATAACCTACTCCTGGAGTGCTGGAAATGAAATAAAACATTCTTCAGTCATTAATACCATGCTTACTTTATAATGATGGCCTGAAAGAATTCTACATATTTATTTTGTACTTCATTTGTCTAATTTAATTCAAAAACAATTCAATAAACTTTTAGCAAAGGATTAAGTCTTAGTAAAAAATCATAACATTCTGAATATAAAAATGAAACGATAAGACCTTTCTTATTTGGTATAATCAAACACTAACCTGTAAGATTCATATCCTATAAACTGTTTCTGCCAAATGGTTTCCAAGGTCTCTCCATTATAAAGTGCCATGGTCCCATCATACCCTGACATCAGGATGTCTTTGACTCCATCATGTGTCACATCAACCAGAGTTGGTGGGACCATCACACCCTTCAGATCAGATCTTGTTTAAATATAAGAAATTTGTATATTATATTTACCAAATCTTTATTTAGAAATTCATTATAAAAATACTTGATTGTGTTGTTGACTAAATTCACATCATGATTGCCCACTCTCAATATTTTTGCATGTTGTTGATATTTTTCATTTCCAATAACTTAAGTTTTCAGAGAGATAAAAATTTTAATGATAATTTAACATCATGTACATGAATCCAATTGAACAAATGCAATCATCATATATATTAAACTGATTTAAATGTAATGAGACAGTTAATGTTCTGATTCATCCTGTGGTCTGATAACACATAAGAGCGAAAATAAATCTAATACTGCACTTGAGGTATGGTGCAGCAATGATCAACTTTCCCTGTTGAAGATTGATGGAACCAATTGCAACGTTTAATTGTTGCTGATTCACATCTAAAGTTTAGAATTATATTCTCCTCTATTAATTGATTTAAACCTCTTTGATGATATAAAAAATTCAACATTTTACATGATAAAAAGAATGACTGAAAAAAAGTCACTTTTTTCATGCATATCCAATGCCTATCTTAATATATATAAAGTTATAACTGGCAAGCATATTATCTACATGTATAACACAACTTACTTATAGATAGTAATTATTCCAGTAACAGGATCCTTCCATTTTCCTGGCCAGGCAGCATTATTCCCAGCAAGACTTGGAGCTGACATGTGTGGCTCTGTTGACAGAGCATGCTTAAAGAAATCTGCCAAGGATATTGCCAGAAAATTTCCTAAAAAGAAATAAATATGAAAAAAAATGGGATAAAGAGAAAGTTCATCTTGGATAACAAACAGTACAGCACCTTTAAAATTTCCAAGTAAATCATCACTCTGCATCCCTAGTCATAGGATCAGCTTGATAAAAAAAGACAGTATTTCAACACCCCAAATTCTGTATTATCTCATTAAACAAATAAGAAATGGAACCAACCTGGAACAGTCTCTCCACCACTTCCAAATAATATAAACTGTGTCCCGTCTTTTCTGCTGTGTAATGCTAATGAGCTGTAGGTTTCTTTGCTGTCTGGCATCTCTAAATACTGCCCAATCACATGACCTGTGGCACCAGACAGCATTATCAGCCGGCCAGCAAAACGGACATGTTCCTGATGATAAGAAAAGATGTCTTTCAATTTATACTGTAGTTTATGTAACTAAAGATTGTTAATTTCTATCAGTTCTCTTACAGAAATATAATAAAAAAATAATTCCATCTTAAAGGTCTTCCACTTTCAAAACTCCACAAAAAAGTGAAAACTACACAATGAACTGAATCTATAACGCTGACAGACTGCTGTGATAAAGTTACCCTGTACAGATTTTTCCCAAGTTGTGAGGTGAAATACTCTGTATCTTATCTTTTCACCTAAATGAACAGATTGTTGCCAACATAGTGTGTTGGTGAATAACTTTGAAGAGATTAGTAAAAAGTCTAGGTGTAGCAAAAAATACCCAGTAGGGCTTTTTTCTACAATTAAAAATTTGCCTATGTTACTCCTACAAATCAACTTCAACAGATTAAGGACAAATTGCTCATCCTTACTTTTTACCCTTCTTTTTAGATTAAAAAAATGAAAAAGCTTTACAAAGGAAAAAAGTGCAAAGAGGAAAAATACAGTAAAAGGGACAGTGCTTCTAAAGGACTTATTGAGGGCAGGATTTTTAAATTCCAGCACCACTTACTGAGGGCTTGAACTTAGGCTCCCCTCCATGAGGCACGACTATCTCAGGCACAGTGTCTCCATCTACGTCAGGCACTGTGATCACATTGTAGTTATTCCAGCCATTGTTGAACACCGTGCTGTTCTTTCTCCACAGAGCTTGTCCTGGAAACCATTATGCATAGAAAGGTGTTAAATTTTCAATTTTCAAATATCTAATTTTCACTGCAAAATTATTAAACAAGCCTTTTTAATTCTTCGCATTTGCTCAAAACCATTTTAGTTTCATACTCCCTTTTACTTACATAAAAGTATAATATAATTTCCTTGTGTAATCACTTGATCTTTTTTGCAAACATATTTAATAGTTTTTATAGTACATGCTTTTTTCTTTTTTTCATTTACACATTAATAACATACCTGTTCTTGGGTCAAAAGCCAACAAAGTCGACAGGCGTCCACTTCCAATACAATCCAGTTTACCATCCTTGTTAACATCTAGTTCTTGACAGTTTATTTCAAACACCTCAGCATACGTGTTCAACCTCCACAGCTCCTTGCCATCATATCCACGGAGAGCAATAACAAACCCAGCACAGGGGGAAGGGGAACCTTCAAGAAATGGTGGGTATATATATATATATATAGTTAATGGGCCACAGAACCAATTGTATCAATAAATCATTCTGAATATCACAGAATATGTTTGTTTTTGCTTTTTTAATTCTGATAGTGTTTAACTGACTAAGCAACAAAATGAACGTATAAGTGTATAATAAAAATATACCATGAAACTTAACACCTGTATAAACTTGCTGTGAAACTCATTACATCAAGGTCCTAAAGAAAATAGTAGATTTTGCCATAAAAACTGTTTGATGCTTCACGTGGAAATCTCAAATCATGTTAGTAGTGGTCACTATATCTATTGCTGATAATATGAAATACATACCTAGAGATTTGCAAAATTTGTCCATCTTTTCCTTATCTTCAAGTGTATGAACATCTTTGCCTATTCCAATGCCTAAAAGAATGTCTAACCTTCCATCTTCATCTACATCCACCAGTCTTATACATGATTCTGAACCTGAAATGGAGCAAATTGAGAATTATTAACCCTAACAAATATGGACATTTTGCCATTTAATTTATTACTTAAACTTAATGAAGAGTGAAAAAAGAGCAGCTGGTGTATATATTTAGCAAGCTATTAAATAAAAAAGTGAATACAGGCATCCTACCTATATCTGCCATATCAATCTTCCAATTCTTTGTTCCATGGAATGTCCCTGAAGAAACTGATCCAGATTTTCCCAACAAACCACACAAGTCACTAACGCTGCATGGCAAAAGAAAAGCTACAGTCACAACCAATCCTATACATATACATATTGCCACTATAAAACAGCACCTGGGCACTTTTGATATCATACGTCCTTTGCGAACTGCCACATCTGGATCAGACCGCGAGACTCGTGCTTTTGGTAACGTGAAGTTTTCCATTTCAATAACTTCTTCTTGGGCATCTGTGTGACCTCGATGAACTCCATTTTTATGGGGTTTGTGCTTTCTTACAACAGAATCATCATCTTCTTCTTCATTATCACTGAGGTCTTGTGGCAGTGCTGAATACTGTACAGCCGTGGAGACATCTGATGAATAGAATTTTTCAAAAGAATGTACATATCATTTTAAAATTTCTTACAAAGGAAGCGAGATCATCAACACAGATTGTAATGACCAGGTGTCTAACCATTTGTTATATACTAAGATTTTGTTAAGAAATACAAACATCTAATTAAGCATCAGCCTTGTTAATTAGACTAGTGGGCCACTACTAGTAGTGCCAGATCAGATGATAAAACATGCAAAATCTGAAAACAATTTTTAAATATAGAACTAATTAAGAACATAGCCAGGAAGTGCAGGTGCAAAATTTGTCTCAGCAGGAGGCCTTAATATGCTCCATACCTGCAGTAAGTAAGGCATCACACTGCAGCCGGTCCCTGCATTAAATAAACTAAAAGCATTGTACCAATTGCCTAGCTTCCCATATACAGTGTATAATATACTAGTATTGGTGCAGGTACCGGTAGGCTTTGGTAGCAAACAGACTGCTCTTGCGTACTTAATGCACGCCACGACAACGAGAAGCAATTGTAACTTCCCAAGTGCATTGAACATAAACCTAACGAATGATGGCACAAAAAATGTCAATTAAGTGCTTAATAAAAAGAAACATGGTAAAACATACTGTACCTTTCTTGAGAAGCCTGCCTGCCATCCTTGTCTGTTTACATCCGGTTTCTCTACACATTGCGCTCACATCTAGCAAAATTGTCACACCAAACGCACTCATAAACACCACTTCTAAAGGGACGAGAAAGTATATTTTCAGGGGATTTTTAAGCGTAAGTGATATCGAGGCAAACAGCAATAATATTTCCGATAGAGCTTAATGTCAACGAATAAAGATAATTTGTATTTGCTATATTTGGAATAAAAGATAAAGACAAAGGGGATAGTTGTTTTGTATTAAAATAAAAGATTTTGTCATAATCTTTGTATTACTTATCTAAACCATATAGGCCTATCTTAGTCTCAAATGCTGTAAAAATGAAAAAGAAAAATAGGATTTGCAAACAAAGTCTTTTAATAGTGAGAAATCGAATTGATTAAGCGTAAGAAACAAGAATTCAAAAAATAATCTGAAAAACGTATTTGAATAGGGCCTACATAATTTGAATGAAAAAGTGCGAGAATTTTGACATAGTGCAATATGGGAAAAGGGTATTGAAAAAACTATCAAAATCGTTTCATGGAGTACCTGGTGCCTGTACTTTACCTGAAAGTTTGGGCTATACCTTTCACAAAATCCTCTTATTAACCAGTCAGTTCTTTTTATCTATCAACACGTTATGATAGATTGCTTATGACTTGTTAACGTAAGCAAAATGTTTTACATTCCTTTACGAACATTTACGCAAACCGATAACTTGCACAAAATGATATGGAAAGTGAATATGACAGAAAGTTTAGCGTACACTTTTAGCAACCAGACAAAGGAAAGCCATACATGTAGCATGCAATACTAAGACACTACCACGTCAAACACCCAAGTTTCATAGAACATTGGAAACCCACCTCTCTGAGGCATTCAGACAACACAGAGGTGATTTAACTCAGAAACCCATAGTGCCATCAGACGACTTTCTTCCAAATTTATCGTTTGTTTTTCTCGCGCCGTGTTTTCATGACCTCCAACTATCTTCTTTAATATTTTCCCATTTCCGCAAAACAGACGTCACTTTTCTCTCACATATGAAATTATATCATAAAGCATATTTACTAAGTTGTCGAAAATATGTTTGAGATATTTGATTAGAAAAGCTTTTTTGATAAGGTGATTCAGAAAAAGGCCCGTCGATGTATGGAGTGGAGTGAGAATTATGAGACCTATATAATCTAATTCAAACTGTTATGTTTGATATTATTGCCAACAACCCGGGGCAAAAATGCATCAAATCGTAACCGTCGTGTCAGGAGCCCAGTTTTTGGAATAATAATCAACAAATATTTCTGTTACAGAAAAGCGTTCTTGATATATGAACCATGTCAGGTCCACACAATCCTAATAAATAAAATACAGATATACTCTTAAGCACTGAAAGAGAAATTCCGGAGAACTTTCTTCCCAAATGAGTTTACGATCATTAGAACTGCCAAAAAAGTTCTTTGAAACAATTACATCAAGAACAGAGTGAGGAAATTCTTCATCTGAGTCCATCACATATATAGTCTCTAATGGTTAATCGATATGGGATTAGAAGAAAGGGCCCTTCTATTAGATTTATAACAGAAACATGGACATGTGAACTGACCATGCTGACTGGGAAGTGTTCACATATCCTCTTCTTAGCATTTCGGTCTTTCGTTACAAAAATGACGGGAGTATATAAGGCGCTTAACCACATAATTATGAACTGAAGTAAGAGAAGAATAATGTGACTGTAATTTTGTATCAAGGTCCCCAACATTTTAATGACAGTGAAATGATTTTATTTATTTGTTTATTTATTTATTTATTTATCTATTTATTGAGAGGGAAAAGTGATTGACCGTAAAACCTTCAAATCCATTCATTCCCTGCGATTTTCATATATGAGTGACTGAATCAGTAGGACATACAAGGGAACATGGATCCAACACAGTCCAAGGTTGGTCTGCTTGCAGTCGCAGTGCGCCCTCACTGGGCAACTCACTCTCTCTCTCTGCGCAATAACAGTCGGTGTCGTCAGACTTTGCATAATCGAAACATAAGATGGGCGTCTTAAATGTACACGTACATCCCTGAAAATAATTTAGAAGACGCAGCACAAAACCACACCAAGATAAAAATAGTGTATCCTCCAAACAATGACTGAGTAATTTATTTGATAGCTGGTCGTGCCGAAAAACTATCTACTGCGAATTGCGCATTATTCTTATAAAATTTGATATATTGAGTGTGCCTTGGGTGGGAACGCTACTGGAGCTAGGCGCAGGTTAGAGACTGCAAGCTCCGTTTAGCTACGATGGGTCCTCGGGCTACCTTTTATGGAGTGCTTCATCAGGGGTCGCGATTTTATCTGCGCGTTAGAAAAACATTATTTTACCTGATAAGAATAATTCCCTGTAAAGCAGCAACCACGTTTAACATCGTCAGTGTAGTTCAACTGAAAAGCGCCTCAAACGTACGTGGTCAAAAATAAATGCATGTACTATCAGAACTATCGGATGAAGTGCAGGACATTTAAGTTATTTCAGTAGGAGAGAGAGAGAGCGGAAGGGGGGGTCAAAAGCTGAATTAACCCATACCAGCCATCCGTTGCTCAAACCCGCTGAAATTCTTGTTTACGTAACGAGAAAGAGATAGCGACCAGCGTTCCCTCTTTCATTATTTCTCAACATCATTTAACAAATCGTGCTCCGTCCACCTTATCAAACATATCCTAGGATTTTAACGAGAAAAGTTCATATCTAAATAATATCAATTATAGATAAATTAAAATCTACCGCCATGTCTGGCACCGTGTCCGATGTCACCCAAAGCACAAACGACGCATGCTGTTTTGCGGTTTTCACGGTTTCATTTTATTTGTCTAGTTTTGAATTTCTTCACAATTTGATCCCCTTTCTTTTCTGATAGTAAGCCACACCAGGCATTTGATTTTGACTGCAAATTAAGGGCATCAAGAGACCGAAAATGATTGGAATTTCACGGTTATGCACGGCGAAAGGTTAGAGCCATAGTGGCACCCTTCTATGCAAGTGTTACTTTACTTGTTTTTGGTCAATGGTCAATGATCACAGGCCAGGGACTAGTATTAGAGTATATACCCATCAGACCTTTTCAAAGCGCAAAATGGCTCTCGTTGTGTTATATCAGGTGAAGTAGCACAATAACTGAATGCACATAACAAAACCATCAAAGATACGAGGAAATGAATATCGTAATAAAGTATCGAGTCTGAATTGTTAAATTTCAAAGGTTAGCATGTAAGGAATATCGCCCTCACTTATATAATGATAGGTCTATTTTTCGTGCTTGGATTCCCTATATGTATGCTCATTGGGTAATGCACGTACATGAATTGGTACTTAAGTTGGTGTCATAGAGGGCAACTAAAATGTGACCTAATGGGTTATACCTACCCGAGCTGGCAAGATAAAGCGAAATGCTTTAAGTGGACCACCTCCACGTCGCGTACCATTTAAAAATCTGATACGTTTTAATCTTGCTGTTAGTATGTTGTTCCCAGCCGTTTGAATTTGCATGGACTTGAAATGCCTGGCAAGATTTATTTTCTCATAAAAAAAAGAGACAACTTTCTAGCCGAGTGCTTTATTTCTTGGTAACTTTATTGGCAGTTTGGCAGCACTCTGATGTGTGATACACAGTCAGCCACTTATCATGGACAAGGAAGAGAAATGTAGTATGTGTCAAATTTCCCAGCAGCAAGAAAAAAACAATAATAAGACAGTGTGTAAAAGATCAATACTCGGGTCCGCTGGCATTAGAAGCTGAAAGCCGGTTCCTGTAGAACACGCGTCATATCGAGCGAAAAAAATGTATATAGACCACATATTTGGTAAACCAACCACTGTTGCAAAAATATGTTTTGTCAAGAAATGAGCAATGCACAATATTTCGGACCACAAACATCAATATTCATTCATCAGCACGTGGACCCCCACTAGCTTGTTTATCCTATCAACCAATCCCATCCGAGCTGCCAAAGCCACGTGACGGCATGTGTAAAATAATACTACACAGCAGTTGAGAGAGAAGGTATACCATCGGCTGAGATCCTATGGGTGAAAGGGCTCGCGGAACGCACGCTGATGCGGCCTGTATGTCGGGACAACTCGACGCAGCTCGATGGCGGTGATATGAACTTTGGATATTTAGGAGTCGCAAGATCTAGAAGACGCTTGATCTTTCTCATCATGCTTACTGGCAGTTTGGGCGCATCGTTGTACGCGCTTGTTACGGTATCAATGTGCTGTTCCTTAGTTCAGCCTGCACCGCCAGTAGAGACAAGGCATTTGTCTAGGGACAGTAATACGAAATATGATCAAAATGCCGTCCTAGATCACAGGTTAAGCAATTCGCAAGAAAAATATGGAAACGACAATTTACAGTCAGCGGTATTCACGGGCGTGAAGCACAGGTTCTCAGCTCAAAATAAGGAAGACATAGTACACTACTATCATAGTGAAGACGATGAGGATTATCGCGAAAATCAAAACACGGACCCAAGTGGGAGAACGCTAAAAACGACGAAAAATGCTACAAAGAAATTACCTTCGGCTATTATCATAGGGGTAAAAAAGGGAGGAACGCGGGCTCTGTTGGAGTTCCTGCGTCTCCATCCAGACATCAGGGCCCCAGGGCCCGAAACTCATTTCTTCGACCGTAATTACGATCTTGGATTAGAGTGGTACAGGTAAGCAAACACCACTGGCATGTTTACTACAGCTCTCCCCTGACAGCTGTACTTTTTCTAGCACAATGGTAGATCATGTATACCGTTAAGTCAACCAAAGGATATAATCCCATTAATGGCCCCTCATTAACTCCACCCTGACTGCTCCGTTATTCTCTGGCAAGCTCTTATACCGCCGTTACGTAAAACATGCCAAAATTACAAGGTAGGGGTTCCCTCGGTACCGTTAGTGGGCGGGGACAGAGTCTCCCAAACAGGGCCCACCAGGGCGATCTCAATCTCACCTAGCATTGATCTTCTTCTAATTTAAGGAATGCATGCTATGATAGTGAAGATAGTATGGCCTAGTTATATTTGAAACACAGCTCCCACCGCGCCCTGCTTTAACACCAGAACAGAAACCAGAAAAACATCCCAGTTCGCCAGGGTTAATTTAATTGGATTTTCAACTGTTAAAACTAAAATTAAAACTGGAAACACGTGTCAGCTGCTAGCACCTTGATATACCAACGCAAAGCCTCTACAAACACGCCTAAAATTGCGTTTCATTGATCCCTACTGTTTTTTCCCTAGCACACTGGTTAGTTGTTTCAAATATATTAACTAGCATATATCAAACACGGAATGCTATTAAAACCCCGCACAGCATGTTGTTCAATCCTACTGTGCAATTGGCTTTTCCATAAATACGCTTAAAGCTAAATGTTATCGGCATAAAACTGACGAAATTGTACAAATGAATTTACTAAATCATATGAGATTACCATCAACGTCTTTACTAGTTTGGTTGACTTAGGTTCAATATCATGCGTTTAGACAGGGTTTTCAAATTAGAAAATGAGGCTTCTTTCCGTGACCTAACACACGAACCGTATCTTTGAGAGATTTGTTCAAAGGATTATCTGTACAATATGGCATTACGAAAATAAACTCAGTTTGAAAGAACTCTAAAGTGACTCCAACAATTAAGGCAATTATCTCGCGTGTGAGTTCGCTGGAGCTCCTGACCCATATCTCGACAGCAAAAGCAAGACATATTAAGAAGAAGACTTGACTCGCTTTGTCAGCCAGGAACAAATATTAGTTGTCAGGGGGAAAACAGCCAAGGCCGAACGATGAGGTACTGTTTGCTTGCCATGCGACAATGTCACAGGTGAAGGGTTAATGGCGCCCTATGCCTCGCGGGAATCTCTGTGTATGTGTATGTATGCCAGTGCCACAACGTCAACAATGCACAGTCGTTAATACACGCCAACTGCTTCTGGCCAAAAGGTGCATCAAAGCAATGTCGAACTCTGCATCGATTACTTTGGTGGACAAACTCGAGTCAAAGAGTACATGGGTCATCCACTTTCAGAATTTCCTTTCCTCGTAATTTTGCGTGTTTTATCAACCAAATACAGAGGTCTGCTTATCGTAGCATTCATTAAAGGCTGGACATCTTGTAGAAAAATGTGTAAAAATGTTTGCACTGGTGAGGGATATACAAGGCGAGACATGGCTAGAAAAACACCTGCGCATTCTTCGTTGAACTGATTTAAATTAACGGCAGAGGGGTTCGAAAAGCGGGCTCAAGCTGTCAGGAAACGTGCCTCGAATGAGATCAAGAGTTCACGTGAAAAGTGAGCTTGGCGCTGGCAGTAGGTCAGCATAATTTCCTTTGAGAATATAAAGCAGTTGCATCAAACCTGTGACCAACAACATACATAGAGGTAGAATACAATCGAAATAAAGGACCAAATGAGGCGCAATGCTATTGTACGACCAACCCATTAAGAAGGGCTGAATACATGGCCCTGCGTGCATTAAACCAAAATGGGCCCAGGATCAAACGCCATAGGGTTATTTACCGATTGTTTCCTTGGACACTGATCAAAGAAGCAATGGTCACTGGGTGTTTGTCCCCCTCGATGTGTTCCATGTTGGGGGAGACATAAACTCCCACAACAATGAACTTTAAGGGGAGCCTCTGTCTCTGCCTCAGTGCTCTTTTACCGCGCATCTTTCACTCCAATACGGGTCCGCTCGGTCAGAAAATAGCGTTCGTGGGGTTCTTGGACATTTGATCTTTTAACTGTCGTATCCTTCATCAACCTTAGGAATTAATGCTGACATAAAGACTAAGCCGATAAGTAAAGCACTCCGCGTTTTATTTTTGTAGGATGCCCCCATTTACTTTTAGCCCCATTACACAGTATGCTTGTATTGAGTTCTCGTTTTTCCGTTACTCAAAGGAATATGAAAGATGTCTGGAAGATTCATGATGCATGATAATTAATCATTCCATGCTCCACTGATTGACCGGGGTTTTGTTTTATTTCTTTGCTATTTTGCACTTGATGGTTAAATGCTGACCAAACACGCAAGCGGTCAAAAGCTTAACGGTATAAATTCATTACATAAACACTTCCACACTCTTACAACGGTATCGTAAAAACAACAGAACTATTTGAGTTGGGCACGTACACAAACCTCCACAAAATTGATTTGTCAATTCATCAAAGTATTTAGGTTGTCGAAATTGAACAAACGCATTGTCTTGAACAAGCGAAAGCAGTTCTGCAAAATCCTTTTATTCATCTGACGGCTATCGACTATTGGTCTCCAGTTGTTTTATCAATTAACACAACCTACATGCAACTGATAGGGAGGACGTGTGCATTAACGAAAAATCAAAGTATAATGTCCAAATTGATATCTGATATGAAATGTTATTAAAACAGAGTTATCCATAAACACCGGACAATCACGGTCTCGTTAAATCCCTTGGGGAAGCTTCCTATTTACAGAGGAGTGATTTTACACCTGACGCTGTTCTCAGTCCTTTCTTCATCGAATTCCAATCCTAAATATCATTTCCCCATTTAATATGCAATGTCATAAATTCAGATTGACTGCGCTTATTGTCCGTGGATGCAGTCTTGGGTTTATGACAAGTCTATTTGGATTCCTATCAGTCACAGCTAAATAAATCACTGTGCAAGAAGCACATGCTTTTCAATGGGCTCATAAAGCTCAACTGCAATTTTATTGCGCTCCAATTGTTAAAGAAATATATTATCTGGTGCCTCTGTCACACACTGACCAATGTATTTCGACAGTTGCCAGGCAACCATTTCCTTTTAAATGAGAGTACAGTTATTTTACAGTTAGACCAATTATCTAAGAGTAAAAGACCACCGTTTTCTTTTACCAATAAAGATCTATTTGCCATAATTAAATCAGCAGAGCAGTAATTTAAACTTGGCGCAGAAGTAATTATTTTGGATAGGAAGAGAATTTTTGCTAGGATGTCTCTGAATTGCCCTGTCTTTGTTTACACTGCTCTAAATGTTGTTTATTTATTAAGTGGAAACCAGTTTGTCCATTCCAAGGTCAGGAAAAGATGTGCAGATCTAACATCTGCCATAAAGTAGTTAGTGGAAAACCATTCCTCTAATTCAATTCTTGCTGTGGAGAAAATTTAATTGTTGCATGACTAGTGAGAGTTATATCTTTGCTGAATATTTTTTTGATACCGAAAAGCTGACCAAGTATCTAAGAGATACCACCATTTTCTTTTACCAAGAAAGATCTATTTGCCATGATGATCACTAACTTTAACCTTTACAAGTAATTATCTTGGATAGGAATAGAACTTTTGCTGGGATGTCTTTTAATTGCCTTGGCATTGTTTACACTGCTCCATACGTTGATTATTTATCAAGGCTCCCCTTTATAAGAGGAAACCAACTTGTCCACTCAAACGTCAGTAAAAGATTTTCATTATTTATCAAACATCTGCCTTAAAAGTGGGAACTTGTTTCTCTACTTTGGTTCTTGCTGTGAAGAAAATTTATTTTGGCTGTTCCTTTGCATGACTAGTGATAGTTAATCTTTGCTTAACATTTTTTTAATACTGAAAACTGAGAGCGAAGTGCGTGCTGGTTTTTTACTGCTGGTTCTACGCATGGCTATCTGCATGGTCACACAAGCACCTGCATCCAATAAAAACCATATGATGACTACGTGAATATCCTTATATGATACTCTTAGTTATTCAAAAAGAAAGTGAAACAGGTTGTCATGTAGTAATTATAATTTTGTTTTATTTGAACTCACCAATGTGATAAGTTTTCATCTATTGGACTATTTTCATATAAAAAACAGTGATTAATATTAATCATTTCAATAATAAATTGCAAGTGCCTGTTACTTTTCTCTAATAACAGAACAACAAATACATTTACTGGGCTGTCTGCAGTAAGGTTTATTTTTTCTATAACAGGGTCAGTTTCCTAATCATCTCTAGGTTTAACCAGAGACTACCATCCCTCCTAGTATGCCCCACCAAGCCTAGACTATTTATTTCCTGCCATGCTGTTTGCAAACCTTGATGTATATAACACTTCACATTGGCAGATAGAGCAATGGGGCGAAATTCTAATACCAAGCCACATATATCACACTGGATATGTCATACTTTGAGTGCGTAACCTATATTTCATACCTGAGCACTGTGGGCTTTTAAAGTACTCATCCTTAGTCGTAGATATTTTTAGAGCCATTTTACAAAGATATGTTGTTGAGAAAAAGACTTGAATTGACCCTTATAACCCTGGAAATCCAATATGCAGTTTTCATTCATATAAAATCCAAGAAAAATTAATAAAAAATAAAAGAATAAAACTAAATAAAGAGAATGTGGATATAAACCTTAAAGTTGATTTTCAAAAAAAAAAAAAAAAAGGTTTTAGAAAACATATATGGTATTTAGAGACAAAATATATATATATATATATATATATATGGAGTCTGAAAGAATTCCACTCATGGTTGAAAGTCATTACATTGAAATGTTGTAAATTATTACCCAAATAATAACCAAATAATCAACAAAAAACAAAAACATACTTAAATCAACTCTAGTTAAATATAAAAACAGAGATGATTCATTCATGAAAGCACTTTGTAAATCAACACGTCCAACACGTCCAATTTTAGACTAAAAAATTCATAGTCTAAGAGCAAGTCTATAGAGTAAGAAAACCTTTGTGAGGAATATGGCAAGAATGGTCTCTATTCGTGCTCTGACGTCAGTAATGTAAGCAGTATCACTAAGTTCTTCCATGGGTTCCCTCCAGCGATCAGCTCGAGCCAATAACATTGGATTACCTTTGATAAGATTTGGCATGCAATATGGACATTTTGCCTTGCAGCTTGACTGAATCTGCTATTAAACACTTGCATGTGACATCGTTTATACATTCCTTGAAATAAAAATAGCTGCACATGGTACAGGTATGGATCTTAAACCTTTACAAATTCTTTAACAAATCTGATTACTTGTCACAGTGCCTTAAGAAAACATCTAGGTAGTAGTAGTAGTGCACTTGGCCAAGTAAAAGTGGGGAGAAATTGTGAAAGGGATTAGACTCTACTAATTGCACTTTAATGGTCCCAATTAGTGTCCCTCAATTTTTTTTTATCAGAACAAACCAAGCGTGTTGGCTCCAGCAGTCTTGACTGCTGGTAACTAATGCTGTAAGGCACTTAGAATTTCTTTAGTTCACTCCGATTTTATAAATATATATTTACATTGTAAAAATGTATTATAAATCTCTGGCTGAGTTTAAAATTTTCAAAGATCTAAAATAATATTTTCATGTGTAAATAGCTCTTCATTAAACATAGTAATTGGTTGTAAAATAAACTAAACCATGCAGATAAACAACCAACCAGGGCAAAACCAATCTTTGCTTCCTGTTTTATTAGAGGGTGTAGATTTACAGTAAACAGAATACAGAACAAAAAGTACTTTTTTCCAGGCCAAAATTAATCTTCCAGTAGACAAAAAAGAATGTTTTTGGTATTGTTAGCAGGCAAGATCAATGTCTGTCCCATTTATTTAAAAAAGAAGATACCAAAACCATACAAGAATGAAAATAAATGACTTTACCACACCTGATCGGATCACTGGATAGGATATATTACTTACACAAAGTACTTATTTCAAAGCAAAGTACTATACCAGCAAACAAGTATTAATGTGTAGATCTATGTGCCTATATGCTCTCTTTGAGAACAGGGCAAAAAATTGATCCTATGTGCATTTGCCTAATGCTTTACACATTACAAAGATAATGATAAAAAGGGTTTTCCACTCTTGTCTGATCCAAATCCTGAGTGAACTCCATGGAATTTGGCAGCATAATTGGTTGGCCTAAAGGAATGGTAGCTGTCAACAAGTCATACACATTTTCATTGGACTTCATTTCCCCAGTCTGCCTCTTTCCCCACCTTTGCTCTAATAAGAGATATTAGCTATCAACTATTTGTGATAAATGGGCTTTTTAAGGAGGTCATGCAAACACAACAATGACAGGTTAAAGAAAAGGTTGCCCCATGCTTAAGGTGGAAGTAGAAATTTACTTAAGAACAAGATGTGAACTTTACTCACAAAAGCACGAGTCACTTTTTGTACTGAACTCTTAACATAGGTCCATAATCTTATCAAATTATATGTTGTAAAAATGTTTAGCTCCATTGTTAAAACTGTACAAATTTATTTCCTTAACAACAGTGCATAAAATCATTTTTAACTGCAAACCAAACTGAAATGGATATTGTTTCCACTGTTGGCATTTCTTAGTAACCACATATATATAGTATACATAATTCCAACCACAAATAATGGTCCTTTGAGTACATAAAAACATGTGATCCCCATATGTGCTGAAAAACATTGCAAGGATGTGTGAGTGGAGGGACTGACTGTTCTTTCACTTCTTTAAAAAGATCAGAAGTGGACAAATACTTAGTGCCGTTAGTGAAAAAATCAATTCTAAGACCTTTGACAACCCAGGAAATTTAGTTGACGAAAAAGTGATCTCTAGGTGCTTTTCTGAGGCAAAATCCAGTCCCAAGTCAGAAAAGTAAAGTGCTACATGGGGCTGCAAGGAAAAATAAATAAATCATGAGTGATTAAAAAAATATAATGTGCGATAAGAGATCTATAACAGTTTCAGAGTAACCACAAGGCAATGATAACTAACCAAAAGGCTTTATCAGGATTACATCCTACAAAGAAAACTGTTTTTCTATAAAATGATCAAAGCACCATTCAATCTGATAAGTGTATATTGAGCCAATGTTGTCTTAAGATATTTGTTACATTTTCAGAATGCCTCTCTAGAAAGTTAATATCCTGCTATGAAGGAAAGCATCCATCACAGAGAGGAGTCCCACTAGGGACATCCTTGCTGTCAGAAACCAAGATAGCAGCCGTAGGTTGGGATGAGGCTACCTGTTTATCATCACCTGCCAAGCCACAGGAAATCCACCTGTCACTGGCCTTTATTTAGGATGTATAAACCTTCCCCTCAATCCCAATCAACAAAATTCTATATAATGTATTCTTTGTCTTTTTTATCAGATCCAAAAGAAAATAATCGCAAGGATACTGATCTGCTGTATGTTTGATTTTTAGAACAGATGAACCTCTCTCACCTTATATCCACCTCTTAAGATATTATTTATTTTATTTTCACAGAAAGCAAATGCCAGCAACACTTGATGGACAAATTACCATGGAAAAGACTCCAAGTTATTTCATCACAAAAGAAGTTCCCAAAAGAATTTACCAAACAGACAAGGATATGAAGCTTATTTTAGTTGTGCGGGATCCGGTAACTCGTGCAATCTCAGACTACACACAAACTGCTTCTAAACACACAGTTCCAAGTTTCGAAAACTTTGCCATACTGGATAACAGAACTGGTGTGTTAGATACATCCTGGTCAGCCATAAAGATAGGAGTTTACGCAAAACATCTGGAACGCTGGCTCAAATATTTCCCTCTTCATCAAATATGCTTTGTAAGTGGAGAGAGACTTATCACTGATCCCGCCAAGGAGTTGGCAAAGGTGCAAGACTTTTTAGGGTTAAAGCGGGTAATATCTGACAAACATTTTTATTTCAATACCACAAAAGGGTTCCCATGCCTAAAGAAGCCAGAGGGCAGTGGGAATCCAAGGTGCTTGGGAAAAACTAAAGGAAGAGTTCATCCAGCAGTAGATCCTCAAGTTTTGAAAAGGTTACATAACTTTTACCGACCTTTTAATGCTAAATTTTACCAAATGACACAGCATGATTTTGGATGGCCTTAGATTAGACAGAGGCATTTTGTTGATTTTCATTTCAAATTATAAGATTTATAAGGTGAAGACAATATAACATTTTGCTTATCACCATTTTTTTCTATCCGAGGATATGTACAACACGACTGTATGACAGCTGATGTCAAATCATAGTGCATCTTCCTAAACTCAGTGTGTGGAAATTTTCCATTAACTAGTCCTGCTGCATGAGAGAAAATGCTCATTCTTCCAAGGAAGTGTTGCTCATCGTGCAAACACACAACCCCATAGAAATGCTCATGTTATCAGATCCATCCTAGTGAGGGCTGAACAATGCAAACTAGCATTAATGCCAAGCAAGTAAAGTCTACACTGATTGAAGTCAAGTGATGGGCTTCTTTAATGTCTGATTAATCCTTTTCTCAGTTTGACAATATATGCAATGATTCATAAGCCAAAATTGGCTTCAGTGTTGGAACAGCAGCACTTTGTGCATACTGTAGTATTCTGGGTTTATTTACTTATTTTTTCATATTTTAAAATTGGTTTTTATTTTAGTTCATCTATTTATTTATTATCTTTTTTACCATTATTCATTTTGGCATGGTAGAGAAACAGCAAAAAACATACAATAATTTTAACTTGTGTTTTCTCAGGGCAATGGGTTTGCCCTCAACTACAAGTATGGGTTTGAAGCTCAAGGTTCTTCTATTAATGAGGATAGTGTCTGCCATGTCCCTAGAGAAGATTACTAATAAACAAGAAGGAACCTCATGAGCAGCATATAGTGTCTAGAAATGAAGTACATGGATATCTTAAGTAAATCAAGGGAATTTCTATTTAGTGATAAGAATTTCCCTTGTTACCATTTATTACTGACACACATCTGCTGCTAAGGTAAAACTGATCTTGTAAAATCAAGGGAGCAGTCATTTCCTTGAAAAAAGTATGGCTCAGAGATAAATATGTTCCCAAGTGAAAAGATGCCAAATATTTGGACAATCTACCTCGTACTGAACACATCAAGTGTCCCTGTACAACAGCCTGGTAATGTATCAATGCTGGGGTTTATAGACAGTTCATAGAAGTATTTTTCAGATTTCCCTCATTATACACCTTATTCTATCACAACTAATGGTACGCACATGTATTTCTGTTTAACCAAAAAAGCTGTTATGTTTGGTGTTGCTGAAATTTTACAAATTAATAGACTTTTTTAGAAAAAAAATCTAATGTGTACAGTAGCAACTGAAATGTTTAAATACACCCAGCTTTGTGTAGCACATACCATTCTGAAAACATTAAATAGCATGTTTGACCATAAAAGCTGTAGAGCCATCTGTTAGGTGTTGCTGAAATTTTACAATTTAATCAATTTTTTAGAAAAAAAAATCCCATGCATAGAGCAGAAATTGAAATGCTTAATTACAACCTCCCTTGTGTGGAAGGTACCATTCTCAAAACATTAAATTTAAGTACATACTTAAAATGCCTGTGTTTTACTTTCTGATGAAAATCTTTCTCTCAGCTGTTACCTCTCCAATTATATTATTATGACTTCCGTCAACATAAAATCTGTTCCTGTAATTGCTCATTAGTAATCCTGCGCTTGGAGCAAGCCAATTTAGAAGCCTCTGTGACCAGATATTATGGTCCTATGCAAAAATTAAACTGCAGTATTAAAATAGTTATTAGATCACTAAAAATCCTGTATCACCTTATATTTATTTGTGACTCTTAGTACCATTGTTGTTACTGAATAATTGGTTCAATGTATGATCCAGTTTTACTTTAATGTATATTACATTATGTTAATTGTCATGTACAGTGTATCCCTTATGAGGGTATATCTCCTTGCATGTTGTATATAATTAAAACTTGTAAAAGTATTGTTGTGAAAGAATAAGTGTTATTAACACAGAATACAAAAGTACATTAACAGTATAAGAAGTAGCAATATATTTTTTCAAAAACACCCCTATGTATATTGGTTCCCGTTGTATCGAGATATTAGTGTTCTTGGAATAAATATTTTGTGTTTAAAACTGCCATTATAATGCCTTCTCACATATGAATGTATTTCAGTGCATCATGGTAAACATTCTGTGCATTTTATCCCACTTCTATGCCTTTTGGAGAAACATTATTTCAGGTACAAGTGAGATGGAAAATTAATGATTTACTGAACGCACAGATATCTTCTGAAATATTAAAATTTCTCTCTCTCTCACTCTCCTCAACATGTTGTTGCGGTTTCTCATATTCAATAATAGGCTGTGCATTTTCAGGGAATTAAAGATGAAATATAAATGTCTGTACACAGGAAAATTATCTCAAAGCTACATTTCATTTTGACAGATGAAGAAGATTGGCATAAATACAACACAGTTGTATGACTGAAAGTGTTACTTTATTAATCATTCATTATAATATAATTATTGCTGAACATGCATACAAAAAAAGACATTATATCTCAGAGATGCTTTCAATCATTAAACAGAACAATATCAGAAAACATATCAGAGTCTAGGCCATAATATTTAACAAACTCAAATTCATACTGCAAAAAGTTACAAGGCAATTATTGATCCATGAAAAGCTCCTCCACATAACGCTTTATCATGAAAAGCTTCCCTAACCCTTAACCCTGAAAACCTCCCACACATCACCATTAACCTGCCAATGAAGAAATGTAGAAACCATGGGGGGGGGGGGGGGGGGGGGGGTTGAGGGGTACACTCCTGAAAATAAATACATGCCTGTGCCAAGAGACCCCTCCTCCCCATTAAAAATGGATGAAACATTTTTTTCAAAAGCTCTCTTTCCCAAATTTTTACAAAGTGATTTTTATAAATGTAGAAACACCTGTTCACCCTAAAAAAAAGTGCTCAACTTTTTAAGGTGGGGATTTTTGTCACCTGACAGATAAATCTCTGCTATGGCTGCATACCCAGAAGAGCAAAGAAAGTCCAAGAACAACATCATTATACAAGTAAATGAAGATTTACAGCAAGCTTGTTGGAACAGACAACCTCCCTACATAAACAATCTATGGTATTTGTAAGCAAGAAAATTCCGGAAAAAAAAAGAATCGTAGATTTTTTCTTTGAGAAGCACTGAGTGTGACAAAGACCAGAGGTGGATAATGTTTTTCATTTCTCACACTTAAAATGGACCTAGAGCATCAACAAACTGCCATGATTTCAGCTATGTACTTGGTAAATGTCCCTGCTTTTATTGCAATTGGGTGAACTCCCTTGTGACAGAACAATTTACAGTACATGTGTTGCTGACGGCATGCTGGAATGACAGATAGAATTTCACTGAAACGCAGGTGGAAATGTCAGGCATCAGAACACGAAAAGGAAAGGGATTTGTGTGAACACTGTGAATATCTGACTGCTCTCTTTGAAGTCCTGGAGCATTATAAAACTTTCTATCCTGCCTGAAATATCCTTTACCTTAACAGAATTAACATGCCATTAACTTTTCTTTTGCAATTTAGATCCGAGATGAAAACCCACTCAACGTGAAGGTTAATTTCTCAAGAGGCACCATCAACCATGAGAAGCAATGGGGATTGTTCACACTTGATCCAAGAATTTATAGGAATATTCACAGGCTGCAGAACTTGGTCTATGCACAAACATATATTTAGCAAGCGCATATNAAGAGAACTTTTAAAACTCGTTTATTTTCAAGAAAGGCCACTGCTCGCCACGTTACATAACAAGCACAATGGGTGATGGGTAGCCTTTTTCGGCGCAGCGAACCCTCGGCACAGCGAACCATCGGCATAGCGAACCTTTGATTTTGGGGCTCCGGAAAAACTTAGCCAATTTTAGACCAATTTTCCGGTTTTGTCGGCACAGTGAACCCTCGGCACAGCGAACCTTCGGCACAGCGCGCTGTCCCCAAAACATTCTTCTGTATCAAGGAGCAACATATCTGAAATTGGATAACATGGATAAAAATGCCTATTCCAATGTACCACCCAAATCCTCAACACCCACATTCACCAACTCACCCACCTACAAATACAAATCAAATAGACAGACCAAATGCTTTCACAAAGTACATATACACACTCACTCCCACAAGTGCACACACACACACACACATCACAAAGCAAGCACAGACAGACATATGTCTCAATACTAAATGTTCCATGGTCGATGTTTTTAGACTCAAATCTGCAATACTACAACATCCAGGATTAAGGCTTACAAGAGTGAAGATGAAATTTAAATTTTCATTATTTGAGAAGTCATAACATATTGGTAATTGACTGAAAGTTAAATGTTTTTATACATTGAATGAATGAAATTATTTAAGTATGTGAAAATGCCATACCAATTCCCTCATGATTCCATAACAACCCAAAGTTCTGTTACAAACTACCAATGAAAAAGCAAATGAAAAATTACTGATCCAAGAACCTCCCTGCTGAGCAGTCCCAAAATATATATTCAAAATTTGAAATGCAAGCTACACAAGTCATAGATATAGCTTGAATGGTGAAACTGAGCACCAGTAGGGCAGTAACAGCCTTTCATCAACAGCCAGCACTACAGCTGTTCAACTCAGTAAGCAGTGGCTAAATTGAGAAATGCTACTTTGATGGTATCTAGGAAGTCAAGCATAGTCTAGGTAGCAGGCCGTAATGGCAGTCCATCCTAACCTCTCATTCTCTCTCTTCTTCCTTCTACCCTCCAAAAACCTTTAAATCTACAAATATATCTCATAAAGCTGATCTAGATGGGATTACAGAAAAACAGTGCCATGTTGATCAAAATAATTATTGGAATAAAGAAGTCTATAGACTGGTCCCTAAACTAATTAACCTAGTGGACTGCACATCCTGGAAGGGAGATTTTACGACCAAAAATGGCAGGTCTTTTCTGAGACTCAACTATTTCACTAATTGAATAAGGAGAAAAAAAATGGCCTTTTATTTGCTGAATCCAGTTTCAGACACTCATGATGACCACCTACAATTAGTAAAAGTTTGCACCTCCCACTCCTTCAGCTCCCTCCCCCTCCCTGCATGATGATGATGAAAAATGTGTGTGTGTGTGTGTGTGTGTGTGTGTGTGTCCATGTGTGTAGATGTGTATGTAAGAGAGAGCATGTAAGTTTAGTAGGCATGATCTTGTGGTGTGTGTGTGTGTGTGTGTGTATGTGTGTGTGTGTGTGTGTGTGTGCTGGGCAAGCTTGCGCTGGCCACATTTGTTCTATTTTATTTTGTTAAAATAAAAATCATAATTGATGCAATCTTTAAAAAAATTATTTCTACATGCGAGTCTTCTGTTGTTCTTGTAAACGCCTGCAAAAATTGTGAATTTGCAAAACTGCTTTAAATTGAAAGTGATACATGATCAATTAAATGCATAATTCAACTGTCGTTTGTTCAATTCTCTTTGCAATTTCAACTTAACCCCCTTCTCCACACCCACCAAACTTACAAGCAATGAAATTATTCTTCAATGCAGCTAGAATTTGCAATGAAGGTAATTCTCATGTTGAATGTCAAGTTGGTCATATCTCAGTGTGCTTTCTCTGCAGTGCATCAGTTCTTTGGAAATTGAAAACTTCTGGGTTACAAATAAAGGTCAATCTTGAAAATTTCCATTACTGAAAGATTTAGTATGCTAAGAAAGTTGTATACTGTTTAGCTGTCACACAATAGCAGGACCAATGAGAGGCCAGAGAAAACTTAACTTCCAAAGAAAGTTCAAGAAAACCCGGTGGATAGCATGAGAGCAGGATGTGCTATGTTTTATTGTTCATTTGAGGTGCATATGGTTATAGGAATTTTTCTTTTCAACCTGGTATTGCACATCCCCCCCCCACCCCCACACACACACACACAAAACAAAATGGTAATTTAAAAATCTAATTTCACAGCATGTACAGGTACTTTGGTCTATAGCAGCTAAAAAAAAAAAAAAACACGGATTTTCATTCCATTACCCTCAAAAATGTTTTCCTATACATCAGCAATGTGGAAGAATTACTCCAGGTGTTCACTGTCAACCAGTCATTTGTCTTCTCATCTCTCACTACTACATGTTTCTAAAATACTATTTTACACAATCAATATCACCAGTATTGGAAACAAGTCATCTGAGGGATATAATAGAACTGTCAACCTAATTCACACAGAGGTATGAATCTACTCAGACAGAATCACAGTATTCATCTGAAAAAATCCTATGAAAATGGACACTTATTACATAAACTGTTAAATGCATGCCCCTGAAGAGCGTTTTGCCTCCTCTGAACCAGTAATTGGAATGTACATAATTTGGTTTGGGCTCTCACCTGGGGAGACGATATTTCGGGTCTACTGACAAAAATGAAGACAATGAAATGACATCTTTGCACTACTAGTCACCGACTAGTATGGTACAAACAGTAGAGAGCACATACTGACACGTCTGTACAACAAAACACAGATTTTTTCACAAAGATCAACCATCAAATTACGCAACATTAATAATGATATTAGCTATAGCCATGTCTGGTGGGCTCACTTATACAAGCCATTTACAATGCCTTATTGGTGCACACATTATGAAGTATGATGTTTTGAAAATAGTGCTGGGAACTCCTTAAGTGGATTCACAGTTGTATATGTGTGTTGGCATTTTCAAGTCACTAGATTTTTCTAGTCAGATGATTTAGCACAGGGAGTTCCACTTGTACCTTTCAACTTATCTGGATCCAATAATATCTGAAACAAATTATACAAACACTTTTTCCCTGAAATCAAGAAAGGCAAGTCTCTACTCCATCTCATTTCCACCTAAGAAAAAATATACAGCATGCAGAGATTTTGATTAAAATTAATTTAACCATCTTGGTTTTGCCCAAGGTGAATGACTGAATTTTCCATTATTCCATCAAACTGCAAACATCACTGTGCAGGAAAGATATGCACACTGCTGGCACTGACATCAAATTAATCTAAAGTCACTTTCAAGACCTGGGCTAAAACTGATAATGTAAGACGCCCTTGAGTGAAAAAGTGTTACAGGACAAGTGACTTCAGATACATTCAGACAAGGACTATTTCAGACCGGTATGTGGTTAAAAATTGTCATGTGGCATTAAGTAGAATGCAGAACAACTGGTAATGAGAAGAGTATATTGGAAACAAAAGGAGGTGTGACATTCAATTAAGC